TTCTCTAGCTATTGTGCCCTATGGTCTGACTGTACATTAGGAGCCTGCATTCTATAGAGTTCTACCTCTGCCATTTTAGGCCTCATTCTGTTTTGTGTTTTTTTTTTTTTTTTCCTGAATTCAGAATTTATCACAAACATGGTTGTCACTTTCACCTCCCACTACGCCCCTGGTTTTAAGGTCTCATTAGATACGCTATCAAAGCTACAAGTGATTGACCGTATGAGCTATGCTTTGCGATGGCACTTTGTACGCCAATATCTACCTGTCTACCCCACCATGACTGTCACCTAGATTCTTTTAAGGATCTCCATAACAACACGCAGAGTATTGGAGTGTTTACTACATAGGAAGAGTCTCCAAACCTGGGAACCTCAAGGGGGTCCTTAAGCTTCTGCACTTAACACCAGATTCTGAGTTTCCCAAGAGACACATGGAGCTATAGACTAGACACTGGAAGCAGGACCAGGAAATATTACAGGTCAGCATGACTCTGCAAATCTTATAAAATTGCCACAGCTTGATTTCATTACTGCCAGGGGGCTCAATGAGAGTTACGGGATCTTAATAGGAAATCAGAAATAAGACCTCTGTCTGTTAGACTGCAACTTCTGTAACTCATTACTCCACTTGTGTGTTTGGGACTGTCAGCTTTTTTTTTAAGGAATTGTTACGGGTTAGCTGGAGTTTTGGGATTTAAACTGACACTATAGTCACCAGAACAACTACAGCTTATTGTATTTGTTCTGGTGAGTATAATCATTCCCTTCAGGCTTTGTGCCGTAAACACAGTTTTTTTCAGAAAAAATGCAGTGTTTATATTACAGCCTAGGGACAACTCCACTGGCCACTCGTCAGATGGCTACTAGAAGTGCTTCTTGGGGCAGTGCTGCACAGTGTGACTGACATTCAGTGTCTCCACCCCCTGCATTGAGACACTGAACTTTACTCATAGAGATTTATTGATTCAGTTTATCTCTATGAGGAGATGCTGATTGGCCAGGACTGTGATTGGCTTGTGCTGGCTCTGCCTACTTGACAAGCTCAGCCAATCCAATGGGAAAGCATTGAAAACACAACTTCTGATGATGTCAGCCAAGCAGGCAGATCAGGGGCAGAGGCAGCAGCAGCAGACTGCAATACAGGTACAATTTTTTGTTATATTTATATATTTAGGGTGGCAGGAGGACTAGATGGTGGTTTTTAACATTATAGGGTCAGGAATACATGTTAGTGTTCGTTTAAAGGGAACCTGTATCCCCTACCTTGCCCAGGTGGGTGTTACACTTTTCCATTCTGCCCATGCACCTCCTCTGCTGTTCACTGATTTGCCCTTCTTGGAGGCAATTCCCCCAAATAGGGCAAACCTTCTCAGTGACTCCGACACATTGGTTTCATTGCCAGTATCTGAACAGAGTGACGGTATGTCACTCTATTCCTATGCTCCCTTGCCGGCACTGCAATGTCCGCTAGGGAGTTTCCATAGCAACCACAAAGCATGTGCTGTAGTTGCTATGGGTGGAGAGCAGAAGGACCGCCTGTGGGAGGTCTATTCTGCTATCCATTATCAATCAATTCTGTAGCATGACTCCCTGCATATAACCAACTCATTATTCCAGGTTATATTAATGTGATAAAAAATCAATGATTTTTATAATTTTTCTGTATTTTGCAATAATATGGCACTTTTATATTATCCAATTGTTAAAATATTTTATAAATTTATGCAAAAGTTTAGTTTTACTTTTTGCTCATTTTTATCTTTAGCTGCCATATTCCAGGCTTGTTCCTAACGTAGCATAGTCAACACACAGGCGGAAACAGATGATCTAAAGAAGGATGATCCTATGCTACATAAACATGTTTACTTGAACTGACGGGGCTCCACCTGGCATCCAAATAACAGGAGAGAACACACCTCCCTACCCGAGCATTCTGATTGGCTGATCAGACATACCCAGCTGAGAGTCTGAGGATAATTACAGAATGATGTCTTCCTGTCTGAAGTTATTTTGTAACCCACATATATTCCCCCATAATCAGACCCCCAGACTTAATTAGTTCCATTCAATTAGATCATTTAAGGGGATATTTGTTTACTCTATGAAGTTAGAGAATTTACAGTGAAAAATGTGTTGCTGTCACTTTAAATGGACTGTCATCTTTCATTATGAGAAATAATTGTAGCAATTAACGTACTTAAAGGTATTTTTCATTTGGTGTAAACAAGTTTGTGTTCTCTCCTGCAGAGCTATGCACTACAATGTGAACTGTCTGGAATTCAGAGTTAAGTTAACAATTTAGAACCAAAAAAAATCCAATTGGAGAATGCTGGAAAAAATGTTTAATTCTCTCTATCACTTCTCCTTCCCTCCAGTCTTAAAATATAAATGTATATCCAATATTACTTAGTTATTTATTTCTCCATTGTTTTTCTGTTCTTTCTTCCTTTCTTTTCTGTCTTTTTCTGTTCTCATCGACATCCTTCTCTCATCCCTCCATTCTGAAGAACTGCACAATGAAATCTGTGTAACTGAGCCAGTGGCTTGCTGCTTTAAATCCATTTTACGGTGTCATTTATTTGTAATAGAAATCTAATAATTATTGCTATTTGTGTGTAACGGTTCCGCTAGATTCTGTCAGTGTGGCTGCAGAGAAACACAATAGTCACGCCGACAGAAATAATAAGTACTTACACTGCTCGTTCCTAGAGACGCCGGCCACTGCGGTTCCAGTTTTAATAAGGATATAGCCTTTGCCCACATTAAAGATGGTGCTTACGAGCGTGTGACATCATGTCATAGACGTGCACGCACATTTTGGAGTCACAGGCCACATACAGCCAATTACAACTTCAAGAGGGTTATTTAAACCCAGATTGCCTTTTGATCAGTGCCCGTTAAGTCCTGCCATTCTAAGGTCCGGTTAGACGGTGTGATACTATTTCTGCGTGCTGGATCAACAGTAATCCTGACATTATCAAGTAATGTGTCGCGCAAAGCTCAACATTTCCGCTCACCACTTGCCATTGTGATACTTTGTGATATTTTGTATCATTATTTTTTTTTTTTTGTGATGATAGACACCGTCACTGGGGATGGAAGACAAACTCTATGTGTGGGTCCCCAGATTCCTTTTGTGTTTCGGTCACCCATTATTGGTGCAGGGCATGTTGAATGTATTGCTTGTCTGTGCCTCTCCCCCTCCCCCTTTTTCCTGTCCTATTGTTTCCCCAGCAGGCCGTTGTCCCAGGGACACTGCCAGACCAGTTTAAACTAGCTGCCCTGTCTCTCTTCAATATCCCATCAGCCCTTGCTATTGTCTGACCTCACCCTTCCTTGTGCTATAGTACTCTATGCACCCTAATGTATGTAAATGGGTGCTTAAAATATGTGTGCTATGTCTATTAAAGTTAGTTGCTGTTTTAAGCTTCACTAAGTGTCATCTGGTGTTTGGTCCAGGGTGGAAAAAGCCCTCAGTGATTCCAGTCAAGTCTCGGTGACTGGGTCTGAGGTGCTCCAGGGTCCCTGATAGCTACGAGGAAGCAGACTTGTTGGAGGTACTTGGTTGGAGTACTGGAGCTCCGTCACAGTGTTGACTATGTGAAAGATTTAATAAAAACGATAGATACAAAAAACTATGCTGCGGCCTTAACTCCCAATATTCTCATCTACGTAGTGAGTGTTATAGATGACAGTATCTCCAGTGCTCACAAGGGTTAAGACTACACTACCTTTCCCTACACTGATTAAAGGGACCCGCTTAGCACAAAGACAACTCTAGCTGTAATGAAGCAGTTTTGCTATGTAGATTATGTCCCTGCAGTCTTACTGCTCAATTCTCTGACATTTAGGAGTTAATTCACTCTTTTTGCAGCCCTAGGCACAACTCCCTGCATGCGACTTATACAGCCTCACTGCATGCTTCCTGAAAAATAACCTAATGTTTAGCTTCCCTTGTTGCACAGTGTGTTTAATTTAGAATGTATTGCTGTTGAAAGCTTGCTAGACCCTGCAGCATCCTTTTGCAATACAATTTCAATTAACAGAGTAGAGGATAATAACTGTGCAAACAGTAAATACAAAGTGCTGTTAGGTATGATTGGAAATTAAACCATTTTTTTATGCAGGCTGGATGACTAGGGGCTACATAAACAGAAATTAAAGTGGTTTAACTCCTAGTGGCAGATAATTGAGCAGTGAGGCTATGGTGGCCTGATCTATAAACTAAAACGGCTTCAATAAATGACACTGCAGGCACTATAACCATTCTGTCTTATTTATTTTGGTATAGTTCCTGGAGTCACCTAGCGCTGTCTCTCCATTCAGTGTTAAACCATTTTGGTCCCTGGCTTCCTATAACACACCCCCTACTGGAGGTATGGCTAAAGCAGAGATTACACACTTCTTTCTAGCCATACCAATTCATACCAGCAATGGCCACTGTGATAGGTTAAAAATCATCATCCGACACTCTCAGCCAATCATAGCCTTCTGATTCTTCTCAGGCTAATGCCTCTTCATTAGTCCAAGAATCACAGAAGGGATAAAGAATGCTAGGACTGCATTAAAAGCAGATTAACTCAAAATGGAAGGACAGTGCTAGAGGACTCCGGACACTATAGTCACTGCAATGAGATGAAGCCATTACAGTGCCTCCAGTGTCCCTGTAAGCTAAAGTTATTTTGGTACATGGAGTGTCCCTTTAAGGACTCAGGAATAAAAGAGCCAAGACAAATTTTATTTATGTAAAAACTTTTGGCACGAATCTTCTTTATTAATAAAAAAAAAAGTTCTATCGAAAAAAAAACCTCTACAAATTACACCATCCAAAACAATGTTCCCAGCACTTCCTCAACAGCCATTCCTCTCCAGTCAGGTAGTCCTCCAATGCCATTGCTATAAAGGATACTTTTATGATATTTTATTATTATTTATTTTTATTGCCCTTTCTTTTGTTTGTTTTTTTTTAAATTAATAAGCAAAATCCATGCCAAGATTCTTAGATTAAATAAAATTTGACCATGCAGCCCGCGTTCGGTGTTTGTTGACAGTAAGATTGACATTAAAAGACGGTCCAAGGCAAGGTAATATCTGTCTTGCATTCTGTGTGCATTAATGCCTAGTGCAATTTCGTTATAATGTTACATCATTTTTGCTATAATGCACCAACCATTTTTAAGTTGACATTTTTAAAATGAATTTTAGAAAATAAAAAAGGTTATAATACACTTTGACTAATTTATCATTATTATGATAAATTCAATCGTTATGACGACTTGTTCCGCTGATCCCAGAATTCTTCTAATCATTTCAGACCTTCTTCTAAGCAGCAAAGTATTCTATATTTTGTTCTGGCTTCCAGGAAAACATAATCCATACACCCAGTGATACGGCTGGAATGGTCAGGTTAATCTGGTAGATCTGAATATACTTAAAGGACAAATTGTGATTTCAAACCCTTTAATGTTTGTTCTGGCTCCAGAAATGCCCCCGTGGAAGTAACAGGAGACCAAAAAATAAATAAATCCTTTCTACCATCCTGTGTGCGCTGAAAGAACAGGTCGCTATTGAAACGGTTAAAAAAAACGTTAGAAGATTCGTGATTTAATATTTGTTTCCAGCTTGCTTGTTGATTATTTGAGAAGTATTGTTATGTTACATTTTCAGTGATTTTACTATTGCTCTTTAAGTTAATACTTAACATTGTAGCCGCCTGTCTAACAAAACAGGCGAGTTAGATTGCAAAGATATGTTTCTTGTCCGCTGACTACTGACAGACAGATTGACAGACAAACAGATTTAAATGTAACTGTTGATTTCTTTCAGGGCAGATTATGAAAGCGGATATAATTTCACTGTACAGCATTGAAACGTATCCAAGGCAGACTTCATGTTGCCGTATAGTAGATTGTGCTGGATGTGGGCCGCCCGTAGGACTCTGCGTTCCGCACTTTGTTTTAGGACAAGGACAGATAATATTCACTAGCAACGGCCGGCTCAGGTTTCCGTCCCAACATCCTGCTGTAAACAATATCTCCACACATTATGTTTCTAGTCCAAGCCTTCCTCCAGCCCCCAGCTCTCATTGGACGAGCAAGTTGCTGACTAGCCAATGAGCACATCCTGTTTATTATGGAGTGAGAAATGTCCCAGTGCTGTTAATGGCATTCTTAGAATAAACACAGAACTCGACAGAATTAACCATCGAAGTACCAGAACACCTCCAAGCACTAACAGCCCAACCCCTGACCTGGCACACGGCTAATATGGAAATCAATGTCTGCGTTACAGACGTGTTATTTTTAAATTAGTGGGAAATTGTAATTTGACTCAGGATCAAGGCTGCCATGTTATGATGGAATTATTCCTTCATTGGTCCTTAAAGGGTTAAAATACATTATAAAAACTCTCTATATTTCACATGGCCAAAGAGGGGTCACTTCCATTTCAGGGGTGCCGTTTGAGCTACTCCAGAACACTTTACGTGACTTCATGATAAACTGCGAAACATTTATGTATCTGAAAATGTCATTTAAAACCAAAACAAAGTGTCTTATTTATTAAGACTAATTTCTAAACACATTTATTGTAGTCTAAAGAGAGTTTTTATATGTGGAGATCTATTATACTAATACCGATTTATGCACAAAATTTCAAACAGTAGCAAATAAAAATCAGTGTCACATTTTGGGCTATGGTAATTAACCAGGCTGAGCCTACAGCTAAATTGAAGAATTATTTCCAAAAGCAATTGTTGCCATTCTGATTTTAATTTGCTACAATTTGGAGTTTAGTGAATAATTCTATTAAACGCATTCCTTAGAAAATAGGGACTGGTCTTCCTAAACAGGGGAAATTGGGTGGTGTGCATTCCTGCTGGGTAACCTGTATAGCCCTGCTACAAGCATAGATGTCATTGCAGTAAATACTTTCAGTGAAAGGGCTAATTATATATAAGGACAATTGTCAAGTTTCATTTTCAATCCTTCTGTCACTCCCTGTGATTTACACGACTGACCTATGGGGTCTGAACAGGAGGGGACAACAGTGTTCCATATAGTCAAATGATTCTTGTTTTGAACCCAGTGAGGGATAAGGTGACTGGGTATAAATACCCAAGGACCAGCTCAGTCCATCAGCACTAGACGTAGCTGGCTGCATCTCTTGGGTTCTGTGGAGGGATCATAAGACCAGCAGAAAAGGTAGGGGAGCCACCAAACAGGCACATGGTTTATTTATCTGACAAAAAGCATCTTATTTTTACTGGAAAAAAATTTGTTCTTAAATCTAATTTTACACCTAAGGATACAACCGCTTATTGACTTAGAAATTCATATTTTTGTTTCATAATTCTCCATTTAATGATATTTGCATGTGTTGTTTGGAACAGTTGTAGATTAATGGGGTTCATTGATTAATCTAGGAATTGAGGAGAATTGTGAACATAAATGCAAGTTTTAGGCCAAAGTTCTCCAATTCAAATAGTTTTTTCAGCTAAGCCATTGTACCAAAAATGTGTGATTAAATTATCAGTTAATGCTCGTAGTTTAGTTAATAAAGCCTCCTTAAATTACCCTTATTTGAGAGTCCCCTTAATGTAATCATTTTCTTATCAGACATTGATCCATGCAGTAGGATGTGAATACATGTATGTCAGGAGACAGGAGAATGCGCTCTATAACCTGCTTCTGGTAATACCTATCCTTTCAGCATTTATATCAAACACAATGGCGTTACCTTTTAAACAAACTGTGGTTTTCTTTCTTCTAAATCATTTTTTTTCTGGCGTTCAAATTCAGCATGCATTTATCAGCCCTTGTTCTACGGTTCCATCTTTTCACTGCACTTTATCCTCAGGTGAGGATGTCACATTATAAATCAGACACCCACCTTCCTTTAAAATATATTCATTTTTTTATGTTGTTTAAAGTTTACCAAAATCTTTCAATCTTAACGTCCGTACAGATTCCGTAGCACTACCCAATGTAACGTGGCTGCACATAAAAAATTGTGATATAAACATTTCACCTCTCAGCAAAGATATCTCATTAAACTCAAAAAGACTCTTACACCCTGTTATTGTGAGACCTCATTGTTAAGTTCTACCAGAAGTACCGAATAATAGAGGCAGTTATTGCAGGGTTATGACCAAAGCAGTGCTCCAGTTGATAGGAGACACCAAGCTGGTGAGATGCCAAATTGGACTTACCAGGACCCTACTAGAGTACCACTTTGGAGACAACTTGGATCTACGCGTTTCGCCCATTATATGGGATTTACCTTTAATAGGAGATGAAGATTGCACACAGCATTGAATTGACCAAATAACTGCATTTTCAGGTCAAAATAGACACATTGGAATATTCTCAAACTACGTTTACATTTTGACTTAAACCTTGCCATTCTGTGTTTCACTTTATGACAGCTTCTGGCTCAGTATATAATCGTGTGGAGTTTACGCACTAAAAACAGAATTGTAAAGAACTGAAAACCAAATTGTAAATTCACTGTCTACCGACTCTTGATTGGGATTGTTACTTCTCATTACTAATACGATAACTTGATGTGACGTCTGGAATGGACACTCTTATTACACGTTATCCAAACTATAATTAAATTAAACTGCATACAAGCATTTATCTCAGATGGATCGTAATTAGTAAAATATCCATTGTACAGCGCTACGGAATCTGATGGCGCTATATAAATAATAAAATAATAATAATATCTGACTAAATATACAAGCCTTCACCTGAGAGTAGTTTTTTTTTACCAATTTATTTATTTTTTATATTAAATGCTCTTTGCATAATTGTTTATTTATTATCACAGCACCCCTATTGATATATTTATATCTGGGATCCTGCATTCCTAGTCAGAGTTTATTTATAGCACTTGGGGGACTTTACATGTATTAACCCATCGATAGCAAGTCACTTTGGAGTTTATTCGTCAAATGCCAAATTGTAACAAATTTAAAAAAAAAAAGAGAGCGAGAACTGAAAAATTTAGGCTTGACGTTTTTTAGTCTGAATTTAATAGTTTGTGTTTTCTATTTACTACAGTCTGGCACTTGGTAAATAAAATCTTCTGTAAAACAGGAGTCTAACAAAAAAATGGGGCAAAAGGCCCTTTAATCCAAGATGGCAGCCGTGCAATATTTATAGCAGGGCGAGTGAGGTGACTGTTGAGATCACGTGGTCTCAGAGCTAACCGTAATATCAGAACATAGCGTCTCTCTCTGATTACCTTGTGTGCGAGGTCTTTGTTTGGGTTACAAATGTTATTGTTCTTTGAGAGCTGAGCGGCTGTGAGGTAATATTATCCTAATTTTATTTGGCTCAACATGCGTTGTCATAACATTACGGGAACATGATGAGGGCCTGTAAGCTCCTTCACAAAACATGGATTATAGTTATCGGAATGGAACCCGCAGCCCTGCAGCTCTTAGACCAGTGAGGCTTATTCACTAAACGGCAAATTTTAGTAAAAATTGCAAATTTGGGAAAATTATCTTGCTCCAATTACATACCGGTCATTTTACTAAACAATGTGACTTTTAATTCTTCACAATTTGTTTAGTGAATATGGCTGTCCGTTTATAGACTTCAACGTTACACTACAATGCTCATATTTCCGGGCAAACCATCAGCTGGTGTAGAATAAAACTGGTTAAAATACATGTTTTCATATAAAACACAAGATCAGTGAGCTGGTAGATAGCAGACTGGTAGAATTGATGGTTATCGGCATATACGTGTGATTATCAGTTTGGCCTGTAGGGGGCAGTGTAAAAGTCTGATAAAAGTCTGGAAGGGTACCAATTTGGCAGGCTGATGGGGTAGCAGGCTAGCCAGCTGATGATGCAGGAGGTTGGCAGACTGATACGATCTTCTATCCGATTACTTTCTCATATTCAAATTGATTTCCACGACTCTTCACCCCATTCCGCAGCGGCCAAAATACCTGGAAGACATCAGATATAGTCAAAGCGCATAGTTGGGATACATTTATAAACAGATTTCCCCTTTGCCCCAGATCCAGTGGTGTTTCATTGACCCTAATTCCCCTTGGAATAAAATTAACTGTAATGAATTCTAAAATATAGAATGCAACATTGATAAATATTCTGTGATTGTTTCGATTAATAAAATGGTACGGTCATTCAAGACTTGACATCTTCACACTGACAAAGACATACACCATACCTCCCAAGTGTCCCTGTTTATGAGGGACAGTCCATATTTTTGACACAAATCCCTCTGTCCCTCTTTTCTATCCTAATGTCCCTCTTTTCTAGGAGCTCCATATTGTTGGTGTGTCTGTGTTTCACAGAGCTCCACAGCAATAATACTCCCAGTAATGTGACTTTAAGCTACAATAAATGTGTTTAGAAATCAGTCTGTGTATATAAGATACATTGTTCTTGTTCTAAATTCCATTTTAGTTGTATTAATTGTAATCAGTATGTCAACTACATTTTTTCAAAACAGCCCTGACCTTGCCTACTCCCCACTCACACCACACCCCTGAATGTTGGGTATGCGTAAACGTCACAAAGGAAAGGAACCACCAAAATAAATTCTTTAATATAATCTACCTGTGCTGGAGCAAAACAAGTGGCTTACAGTCTAATTTTAGTATTATTTTTAACTGGAAAAGGGATTGTGCCTTTCCACAAATCAACGTATGACATTTGTTTTCCCATTCAGGGCACCGGCTGAGTTGTCTGAGAGTGACAGTCCGTGATACTGAAGGAAGATGGTTGGACTAAAGCCTACAGATCTCCCTCCTACTGCCATGGTTAAATTTATTGGGGCTGGCACTGCGGCCTGTATCGCTGACCTATTCACTTTCCCACTGGACACCGCCAAAGTCAGACTACAGGTATGAGGGCTATTGGGCGGATCCACCTGATCTTAATACAAAATGTGGAGAGGGATAATTAAAGCAATATTATAAATACTGGTTACTGGGAAACAGATGTGTGTGACGTTGAAATTAGTATGACATTCATAGAAGCCAAGATTTCAAAGTGCCATTAGCAAGATAGCATTTGCTGTATTAACACGTCATTTTCCATTATTTTTTTAATGATCTGTGTATAATACAATTAAACATAAATTAAAGCGAGAGTGTGTAAAAACAAATAAATACGGTGGATTGAATGTATAGGCTGCTCAGTATATAAATAGCTGTGAAGAATATTAAAGGGACAGTCAAAAGCAATAAAATATTATGTAACAAAACGTTAGACGTTAGTCTTCACGATATCCTACAACTAATCCCAAAACCAGATAGATCAAAAACGTATCTAATGTGTAACTGGACCCAAAATTTACTGAGTGTGAAATGAAAAAAAAAAAATCACATATAGGCAATAAGCAATGTGGGACGAAAAAAAAGAGAAACACAATAATATTGAAGAGTCTAATAACGCATATCGAATTAATAAAAGCTGTACACTGTATACTACTATCATCCCACGTACTACTATTAAACATTTAAAAACACCTATAACTTGCGTTAACCTTTTTTCTTGTGATAGTGTGTTTTCCTTTAAATTTATACTAAAAGTCTAACAATTGGCATTGCAATCGAGTTAAGTCCAGGCGCACATTGCAAATGAGGATAAATAACAGACATAAACCAGGAATATTTACTAAACAGAGAATTGTCACAAATTCAAAGTGAATGTCAAATTTAAGGCGGAGGTCACTGAATTGGGAGCAGAACTGATTTGGAGAATGTTTCCGGTTCCGCTACTTTAAACCTAAATTTTAAATTCACTTTGAATTCCAGACATTCTCGATTTAGTAAAGAACAAGAAATGTGTCTGTTTCTCCATAACAATGATTGACGGAGAGTCAAGGTGGAGGCACTGAATTCCAGGACAGAAGGAAATCCAGAGGTGGCGGGTCCTACATATAATTTCATTTTTTAGACTTAACAAACACATATTTCTTAAATACAGGTTATAAAGTGAATGTGAAATAAGGTGAATAAAAATGTGAATATTAAACATTAACATAAAAATAGATTTCAACATTCTAGAATTTTGGTCATTCTCATCACACCTTAGCATCAATTACACTACCAGACCTTGCTGAGCCATTTCAAAGATCTCAAGAGCCTTCTCCAAAGGAAAGCGGTGGTAACCAATGGAGCGACATTCACTCCCTTGGATGACAGCATAGAAACAGTGATTGGCCACGTATTGTATCTTCTAACGCCTCTGATATCTACTTCTCGCACAACTGCTCTTGCAATTGGCACATTTACCATTGCAGGACCGAGACCAACAAGAACTGAAGTCCTGCCAAAGGGTGTTGTATAAATTGCGGCTTGAATAAGTTTGTTCCTCTATGCACTCAATTGTAATCTCTGGCATGCAACCTATCAAGGCTTCACTTTCTGTGCTATCTCTCGGGGTCAAATCGTTGGTGACTTATAGATCAAAATCTGCCCCAACTACTCTGGCCTTCTCCAGTCGGGTGGAAGATAAATTATTTGTCACTACCCATAAATTTTGCTACAAGAAGAGATACCAGTCCGATAGGCCCTGCACCACAGATGAAGACTGTGCTACCAAGAGTAATTCCAGCTCTTCTGCAGGTTTAATAAGTACACCTTCTTCAAATGTGACATGTCAGGAAGCTTGTAGCAGTAGTTGGAATTGTGCGTGTAATTTTGAAAAAGCCTTTATACAGGTGAAATGTGTTAGTGTGTTATTAATATTTTAAGCTACTTTTTAATGTTATCATTTTTTTTTATTAATAAAACTGGCTTTTTATTAATTTCTGGACCTTCTTATCTGCATCCTTGAGGATTTTAACTGGAGGACTCCATATTCCTTGGTGGGGAACATACCACCTATGCTGTTTAGGATTGATCAATACTTATTTGCTCTTCCTTTGAGCACTATGTACTGGCATACTAGAATACAGTGAATGTGAGCACCGCTACTACTGCTGCTGACCTTACATCGCTTACCACTGGCCTAAAGACACCTCCTCATATAGGACCAAGACCATCCACATATCCACAGACCGGGATTGTACCAGGCGCAGTGATCTGGAGCTAATCATGAGCTCCATAAAAGTGTGAGTGCAATCTTCTTTATTTGCCATATTTTATACCCTAAAATACTACACTATATTTGGGTTTTGTCTCTTCTATTTTTCACATTGCTCCATTGGAACTAAGAACTTAAGTTGAAAGCGCTGCTTCCCGTCATTCTCTTATTTGTTCTCATCTACGACCAGAAGGAAGAGACTCTGCTTCGGGAAGTTCGAGCTTCTACAGATACAAAAAGCAAGTGCCAGGAATCTCTCTCTTTTTCACATTGTGCGTGTAATTTCTACATAGGTTGCCGTCATCACGAGTGTAGCACAGAAAAAAAAAGGTAGGAGATAAATTGTAGCGGCCTATTTCCTGAAGACCTCTGGGCTCTATAGCCACTTTGTCACCAGGTTATAAGGTGAGTAACAGAAGAATCAACTTTGGCCACTGTTCCAGAAGCTTTGTGTCCTAAAACCATTGTTTTTTTACAAAACATTCCAGTGCAACAATGTTGCCAGAAAGGGATAACTGAATCACATATTCCGACAGAACCCATCTTCAATAACAGCTCATTTGGCCCTGGTACAGGTACTTGTCAATTTTCCAAATGCAGACCTCTGATGCCATAGACCACAACAGATATATTCCCATCATCCTCTCTGCGTTTCATTGCGTCCACTGTTGCTCTTCAAGCAGAATGGAAATGCTCTTTCTTTGGCGACCAGTGTTGTCTTTAATTCCACTTTGACCTGCTAAGACCTCATAGCAGGTGGAAACGTTGCTGTTCTTTTTTGTTTCAATAAAACTGCCTGCGGCTGCAACACCTTAAGTGCCCGGGGAATTTCTTTGTTGCCTTATTGTTGTGGGATTGCTGGTCCTGCTCCAGAGCACCGGGTGGTTGCTGGGATTGAGTGCGGCCCCTACCATCACTTTTTAAATTCCACTTTGGACCTTCAGGCTAAATATTTATCAGAAACTTCTGTTTGCCTGACTTGGTTTCAGCTTTTGACCCAAGTACTGCGTGCTTCTATTGCAACGATAGCTGGGTTACAACAGAATACCGTCTCTTAATCAGCAAGTATTTATTGTTCACAACTCACATATTGGGCATGTTGACTCCCTCTGGATCCCGCTGTAACAAACATCTAACATGGCTGACACGACCCACACTAAGAAGAGGGAGGATATCTGATGTCCGACCGTGTATTTCTGGCACGGTTACTATAGGAGCTGGTTGAGGAAAAGCCATACTTTGTGCACAGCTCCCCTAGAAGTGACTACCAGCATACACCATGTCCTTTCGTTAAATGTTTCTGCACTGAAGCAGCAAAGATGCATTTTTATGAAACAAATGGAACCATTTGAATTCAAAGCTGTGTTCTGATTGTCCGCCTGGTGATTTCAGCCAGATGGAATACCTTATCTGAGAACATTTAAATAATGCTACACACACAGAGAAACCACAAGTGATGATAAGCTAATCACAGCACACAGTCTGTCTCACAATGATGGCTTCCTAGGACAATAAAAAAAAAAAACTAATACATGAATTTCTCAAATATTGTTTTGAACATCTTTAGAGATAAACTATAGTGCCAGGAAAACAAACTCTTTTTCCTGGCACTATAGCTTCCCGCTCCATGAGCTGAAGTGGTCTGGGTGTCCCTTTAAGGATTCTTTTGTATAGAACATTAAAATTATTATTCACCATCTACCAGCTAACCTCTCCCTTTGCTCTTTCCAGATCCAAGGAGAGAGCTTGCCTGAAAGCAATGTGAAGATTGTACAATATAAAGGCGTATATGGAACTATAACCACGATGGTAAAGACGGAAGGGGCAGCCAGTCTCTACAATGGACTGGTGGCTGGACTGCAACGTCAGATGAGCTTCGCTTCCGTCCGAATAGGCCTCTATGATTCCGTGAAACAGTTTTACTGCCGGCAGTCAGACAGTGAGTGTTCAGAATAGGAACTAATAGACTATACACCTGTTTACCCGTCAGATCTCCCCAAACCCTAGAGGAGTCCTCACATAATACGATCTATAGAGAGTAAATTTGAGAGTGGTCAGGACTTGTCTGTGAGACTCCTTTCAAAATACACAGGGGACCTCACTTTTTTATAATCCCTGTAAAAACTATTCTTCCTTCTTAATACAGAAACATTAAATTCAAACCGTTTGTCGAGTGTAGTTTCCCTTAAAGCAGCTTTGTTACTTTTTGGGTTCCGTTTTTGAATGAATCCTTTTTGCCCCTCTCTGTTTTGCTCTTTTTAAAATCAACTTAATCAAATAAATAAAAATGTTAGGACTATCGAACATCACAGCCAAGATAAGAATTAATGTTGTTTTATTGACCCAGATCTACGTTTTCTTATGCTCCAGATTCTGGGGTCATGTGCCGGCTCTTGGCGGGCAGCACCACAGGGGCCTTGGCCGTCACCTTTGCTCAGCCAACGGACGTGGTGAAGGTACGATTCCAGGCGCATATCAAGATTGAAGATGGTAATAAGCGCTATAATGGGACTGTGGACGCCTACAAGACCATTGCAAAAGAAGAGGGTCTCAAAGGACTCTGGAAAGGTAGGACATTTACATTACAAATAATCTAAACATTATGGATAATTTTTAGTGAAATAAAGCTATAATTTACACACGTGGCTGTACCATGTCACGGACACCTTTATATCAAAGTTCCCCAATACTTGGGGGGTTCTTGTTTCTGTAATAAGGCATGAGCTAAAACAAAACTCGGTAGAGGTCTGTAATGCCAGAGACAAAGTTCTCCTACTAACCCTCTGCACACATTCTACCTCCAGCTAAACCAGACAACGGTTCAGGGTCTATTGTTTAACCGGTGAGCGCTTGGTACACTTTACACACATTAAAAAAAAATTCAAATGTCCTACTTGTATATCTGTTACAAGACTATGGCTGGGTTATATGTATGCGTTACACGATATTAATTGTCTGGAAATCTTTTTATTCCCAGGAACCTTCCCCAACATCACCCGTAATGCCATTGTCAACTGTGCAGAGCTTGTGACGTATGACCTCATAAAGGAAGCCATCCTAAAGCAGAGCCTAATGACAGGTAAGTCGGCATTCCTAAAACACTCAGATATCACATCTAGATTAAATAATGGCGATGGACAACAGACCTTGGGCTATTGTTGGACCATCTCGGTGTACCACCCACTGTCTGTAATCTGTATGGATGGACGAGTTTGTACAAAACAGGTTGACTACTTACAATAGGAGGTGCGCCAGGTACTCCTGGCACCATAACCACTATAGAGTGCTCAACGTACCCCTTTAACCTCTCAATTAGTTGCTGTCTTATAATCCCATTAATAATTAGAAAGTGCTGCTGAATATGTTGGCACTATATAATTAATAATAATGATAATAATAATAATAGTGCTTATAGTGTCTAGACTCTTTTTTAAATGTAACCGATTGCTTTGCTTAATAGAATCCGCAGTGTTCATTATCTGAGAATATTAGAAAATCACAATGGTGGCAGCTGGGAGTTGTCCGTGGTACTTCAGATGTTTTATATATAGAGAGAGAGAGAGAGAGAGAGATTTTTAAAAATTATTATTCTTTTTTATTTTACTTTTAATTTTTTTTATTTTTACTAAGAATTTCATATATCACTAAATGCATGTGGTACTCCAAGATGGATTTATGACTAGTAAGAATTATGGAAAAATTTAGTTCAGTTCCAATTAACAAAATATTAAATTACTCAAGCTAATTAAAAAGCTTAATATTTTCATTGTAAATTATTATTGATTTTTCATGACCCATTTTGTATATGGAAAGATTTATATACAGCCCATAAAGCATTTTTGCGCATACTGTATTTTGAGTAGAAGAAAAACCCAATTTACATTTGATATGAAACCATCCTGTTCAAAGCATTATCCCCTGGTTTCCTAAATCAGATAACCTTCCGTGTCATTTTGTGGCTGCCATTGGTGCCGGATTCTGCGCAACTGTTGTGGCATCCCCGGTGGATGTGGTGAAGACAAGGTACATGAATTCCACACCCGGACAATATAAGAACGCCTTGAACTGTGCTTTTACCATGATGGTAAAGGAGGGGAGCACCGCCTTTTACAAGGGGTAAGTAAGAAGCTCGGAATTTAGTTTATGAGATATTATATATGAAATAACTAGAGAATAAATCGTGTTGGCATATCTTGTCAGGTTTACTGATAAATTGAGGAAACTGAATTAAGTATAAGAAAAAGCTCACTAGTTTTCACAATATTCTGTTATTATACGCTAACACTGGACACATAATTGCACTCTAGAACCAGCTGTGGATAACACCCTGGAGGATTCTCACAATGGTTTGTGTCCAACCAAGCACCAGTATCCAGCTCAGCCATAGTATTAACATGTAGGTCAGTGTAGGCCAGGTCAGGATTCTGGTCTTCCTCATACCCGTTATGTTCAAAGGTAAGCGAATATGGAGAAAGTCATGGCTTTAATGGTAGCATTGATGAGTGGAGCAGTATCTCAGTAAAAATGGAGAACGGGTTTTTGAGTTTTAATGTTTACACAATAAACATATTGTAAATACAAAACAATTAATCCAGCATAATGGTTTCTGTGGGTAATTTACCGATTTCTCCTCTCCACAGCTTTGTTCCGGCCTTCCTCAGACTTGGCTCCTGGAACATTGTTATGTTTGTAAGCTACGAGCAGTTGAAGAGAGCCATGATGATGGGCCTTGGTTCCTGAGCGGCTCCTGATGTATAGTACTCTGCATTCATGTTGGAGACATTAAAGGGTGACTCCTGAAATCACAAAACCTGGTCTTTGAGTCCAGTGCATCGTGTGAACAAATTGAAGATGGTTCTGCAAGGTCCAGCTATGTGTGCAACACTGGGAAATCATATGATACGATGGTCACAGTAGCTAGAAAGCACAGGAAGTCTGCAGATACTTGTTGCTACATATAGAATGGCTTAAACTCTTTGGGGTGTGAATATTTCCAAATAAACTGGTGCTACGCCTGGAGAACTGTGGCCTTAAAAACATTTGGAATCCAGTACTGAAACCAAAGGACACATTTACTGTGTGGTGCTCAGCTGAAAAATACTCAAAATGGAGGCATAAAATAATATTGTTGGTACTCGCTGTACTACCCGCCCTGTCTCTCTCTAATCAGATTGTATGTTGACTCCAAAATCTCTACATGTGACATAATATGAGTTCCTAGCAAACATCTAGTCTATTATGTCGATGACTGGGTACCATGATACACTATGTGCCCTTTTAAAAAGGATGCTGCTAAAAGGTCTCTGCTATAATTGAGTCCAAATGACATATCAGGTTTATTCCCAGACTTTCTATAAGATATACAGGATTGTGGGAGGATTAGGGATTTTAAAAAAGTGTAAAAAACATGAATTTAGGACATCGTCCTCAATGTGGAGCAATGGACAATTGCAGAATGTTAATGCTGAATTTACTGGTTTCCATAGTGACTCTTAGCAATTTTAGCTATACTTTTATAAATCTCCACTAACATGTTCACTTACTGACCAAATAGCGATGCTGATCTATCTCTGCCTCCTTTACTACTGTTAACGAACGCGGGCCTTAAGGATGGTGGATGCTGGTTTTGGACCCAGTGCCCAGGCCTGAGATTTGATATATTTGATGGTTCTGAAATCCATTCCATGTTTCGCTTGAAGACGTTTAGAACTGAAAAGATGTGCAATGTCTTACTGAGCTCCTGACGCTCACTGTGTTAAATTGTAAAATCTCCAATGTGTCAATAAAGTTATGTGCAATTTAGCCGCAAATTTTCTGATTAAACACATGATATTTCAATTACCGTATATTATATTTAAACAAGAGAAATCTCAATGTATCTTTCCTGGTAAAATATTTTATAAATAAATAAATATTCTCCTGGCTGATCTCATTAAATCTGTATTTAACCAGGGACAGATCACTACAGTGTTAGGAATACGGATATGTTTTTCTAATGCTATAGTGTTCCTTTAAGAATGAATCATTTATTGCAGATCAACTAAAATGCCAGTGAATCAAGAAGACTGTTGGTGGATTTATCATAGTGTTCTGAAAGTGGCATATTTGGGTGGTTCATTTGTGTCATTTTGTTAAAGTGTACTAATTGCAGGGGTGCAATATGTGTAGGAATAAACAAAGTAGAAAGGTAATATTTTTCAGATTAATTTTATGCTGCACTTAATGTGTGGATATTCTGCTTGTATTCTGCCTCGTTTTGCAGGACAATGAAAGAAAATACCAAAAAAAGTGAATAACTTTGTTGTGTAAAGTAAACATTAAATATTACTTAATGAAATAAATTACGCAAAAAGTTACAGAAAAGAGAAAAAATTATGGAGAAGTTTAAACGTGGCTGTGAATGTGATTAGATCAGAATATGTCTGGTGAACGTGGTTTGATTGGAACGTGGCTTGTGGCTATGATGAGGTTTGGTCCAGTGGCAATAAAATGAAAGCACTCTTTCCGTGGTTTATTTATAGATGTGTTCATTTCTACGTACCCTCAACTGGGTGTAAAGTTCAGGCAGCTAAAATTAAGCCTTGCATTTCTCGCTAGGTGACGCTGGTTTGGAAAGGTTGCACAAACAATGTGTCCTCTACAGAGAAGTAACAGAACCTGCAGTCCGAGTTAGATCACAGATGGCTATTACCAGAAATGCTGGAACAAGCCAGAAACCTGGGGACTTTCAATGTGCGCACATTGGGGAAGATAAGATAAGAAAGCTCTAATCGAAAATGCAAATAGATGGCTAATAGCATCTGAGAGTGTATAATCGCGATAATGTAAAATTCATTGAAGAGAAAATTACCTTCATATGACAATGCTCATAATATTATGTAACAACTTTATAGAATTCCACAGTTTGATAGAGGTTAGAAGTTAGTGACGTTTAAAGGGACACTATATTCACCAGAACAACTACAGCTTATTGAATTTGTTCTGGTGAGTAGAATCATTCCCTTCAGGCTTTTTGCTGTAAACACTGTCTTTTCAGAAAAAATGCAGTGTTTACATTACAGCCTAGTGATAACTTCACTGGCCACTCCTCAGGTGGCTGTTAGAGATCCTTCCTGGGACATGGCTGCCTAAAATGCATCCGAACATTCAGTATCTCCTCCCTCTGCATGCAGACAGTGAACTTTCCTCATAGAGATTAATTGATTCAATTCATCTCTATGAAGAGATGCTGATTGGCCAGGGCTGTGTTTGAATTGTGCTGGCTCTGCCCCTGATCTGCCTATTTGTCAGTCTCAGCCAATCCTATTGGGGAAGCACTGTGATTGGATCAGGCCACCACTTCTGATGATGTCACCAGACTGCTTGTTTTTTTTAGGCAAACAGCATGCAGAGTTACAGCTTCAGGCTTGAATACAGTAAGATTATGCTATATTTATGGCGGCATGAGGGGGCCATGGGGGCTAGATGGTGGCGTTAACACTTATAGGGTCAGGAATACATGTTTCTGTTCCTGACCCTATAGTCATCCTTTAATGTTTATACCAGACAAGAAGCAGGTATTACGTCACACCTCTCACATCCTTCACCTGTATAATTTTACTTTTTTTGACGGCTCCATCTTCCAACACCCAGTAAATCTTCGTCTATCCTACAATCCTACAAGGTGAGATATTTCTCTAGGCTCCAATAATGTGCACACAACTGTTGTGGCAAAGTGTTGGCATTGGGCCTTCAACAGTGCAGAGAGGGGTCATTTAATGAATATGTCCTTTAGGGAATCAGATTCAGTACAGTTATATCAGGACATTTTATGTCAGAGTGATTTTGGCACAACATGCCTGCATGTTGCTGGGAATGTAAGTGATCAGTTCTGTAGCTGTCCCTGTTCTGCCCCATTGTGTTTATTATTATTCTGCTTCAATTGTTTTGACTGTCTGCCCTCAGCACTGGGCTAATTTCTGTGCTTGTCTGTAAAAAGCTGCCATTAAGCAATGAAAATGCCAGCAACCAACTAATGTTTGTAGCAACTTTAGCTTAATGAAGCGGTTTTGGTGTATAGAACATGCCCCTGCAGCCTCACTGCTCAATCCTCAGCCATTTAGGAGTTAAATCCCTTTGTTTATGAACCCTAGTCACACCTCCCTGCATGTGACTTGCACAGCCTTCCATAAACACTTCCTGTAAAGAGAGCCCTATTTAGGCTTTCTTTATTGCAAGTTCTGTTTAATTAAGATTTTCTTATCCCCTGCTATGTTAATAGCTTGCTAGACCCTGCAAGAGCCTCCTGTATGTGATTAAAGTTCAATTTAGAGATTGAGATACAATTCTTTAAGGTAAATTACATAGAAACATAGAAACATAGAATGTGACGGCAGATAAGAACCATTCGGCCCATCTAGTCTGCCCAATTTTCTAAATACTTTCATTAGTCCCTAGCCTTATCTTATAGTTAGGATAGCCTTATGCCTATCCCACGCATGCTTAAACTCCTTTACTGTGTTAACCTCTACCACTTCAGCTGGAAGGCTATTCCATGTATCCACTACCCTCTCAGTAAAGTAATACTTCCTGATATTATTTTTAAACCTTTGTCCCTCTAATTTAAGACTATGTCCTCTTGTTGTGGTAGTTTTTCTTCTTTTAAATATAGTCTCCTCCTTTACTGTGTTGATTCCCTTTATATATTTAAATGTTTCTATCATATCCCCCCTGTCTCGTCTTTCCTCCAAGCTATACATGTTAAGATCCTTTAACCTTTCCTGGTAAGTTTTATCCCTGCAATCCATGAACCAGTTTAGTAGCCCTTCTCTGAACCCTCTCTAAGGTATCAATATCCTTCTGAAGATACGGTCTCCAGTACTGTGTACAATACTCCAAGTGAGGTCTCACCAGTGTTCTGTATAATGGCATGAGCACTTCCCTCTTTCTACTGCCAATACCTCTCCCTATACTACCAAGCATTCTGCTAGCATTTCCTGCTGCTCTATTACATTGTCTGCCTACCTTTAAGTCATCAGAAATAATCACCCCTAAATCCCTTTCCTCATATGTTGAGGTTAGAACTCTATCAAATATTCTATACTCTGCCCTTGGGTTTTTACGTCCAAGATGCATTATCTTGCACTTATCCACATTAAATGTCAGTTGCCACAATTCTGACCATCTGTTTGAAAGTGAAACCAGTTTGTTTTTTCCATGCAGGCTCTGTCAATAATAGCCAGGGGAGGTGTGGCTAGGGCTGCATAAACAGAAACAAAGTGATTTAACTCCTAAATGACAGTGAATTGAGCAGTGAAATTGCAGAGGAATGATTTATACACTAAAACTGCTTTATTTAGCTAAAGTAATTTAGGTGACTATAGTGTTCCTTTAAGGGTTTCCTTAAACTTTCTTTTTGTTTAACATCTGCACGTTACACATGTCCAATTCTACTGGTGCCAACCACCACTAAGTGTGCAATTTACAAATTGAAGTAACACTTCTAACCCCGCCGAGACATTCTGTGGCTGTCCAATCACAGACTTCCCAATGCAGCTCAATGAGAAGTCTTTGCAAGGCAGGTGCTCTGGGCAATTGCTGCCTCTTGAGTTTACCAAACCAGGAAGTAGCGGGAGCGGTTGTCTGATTGACAGCTGGGGGTGGAGGGGAGGTGTAACAAGGTTCATTTATAAAAGTGTAAGTTTCTATTGAAATATGTGTAAAATGAAAAAGAGAAAACACGCTCTTTATACATTAAACTCTTCAGTGAGCTAAAGTGTTTTAGATGTTTTGAGTGTCCCTTTAAGTATACTTGTACTTTTTAAGATCTTTTGTAAATCAATGCACCATTCATTTTAGGATTGCTAATACTGACAAGATGGCAGCTGTTGCCCTGGGTGAGGGCAATGATACCATAGGATGGCTACTTTATTTTGGTTTTATTTTTTTCGTTTTTCATCGTACCATCAGGTTCTGCACACTCTAACAAACAGTCCTGCATGTAGTCATGCCTTCTTTGTAAATAAATATAACAGGGGGTAGATTTAGACCTATTTGAAGTGATAAAGTCAAATCCCAGGGATGGAGTCTAGTATAGGGTTAATGTGTGCAGAGCATGGTATAGGGTTAATATGTGTGCAGAGCATTGTATAGGGTTAATATGTGTGCAGAGTATTGTATAGGGTATAGGGTTAATATGTGTGCAGAGCATTGTATAGGGTTAATGTGTCTGCGGAGCATGGTATAGAGTTAGTGTGTGCAGAGCATGGTATAGGGTTAATATGTGTGCAGAGCATGGTATAGGGTTAATATGTGTGCAGAGCATTGTATAGGGTTAATGTGTGTGCAGAGCATGGTATAGGGTTAATATGTGCAGAGCATGGTATAGAGTTAGTGTGTGCAGAGTATTGTATATGGTTATTGTGTGCGGAGCATGGTATAGAGTTAGTGTGTGCAGAGTATTGTATAGGGTTATTGTGTGCGGAGCATGGTAAAGGGATATTGTGTGCAGAGCATGGTATAGGGTTAATGTGGGTGCAGATCATTGTATAGGGTTAATGTGGGCAGAGCATTGTATAGGGTTAATATGTGTGCAGAGCATTGTATAGGGTTAATGTGGGCAGAGCATGGTATAGGGTAATGTGTGGGCAGAGCATGGTATAGGGTAATGTGTGCAGAGCATTGTATAGGGGTATTGTGTGCAGAGCATGGTATAGGGTTAATGTGTGTGGGGCAGTATATAGGGTTAATGTGTGTGCAGAGCAGTATACAGGGTTTATGCATGTGCGGTGCAGTATATAGAGTTAATGTATGTGTGCAGAGCAGTATATAGGGTTAATGTATGTGTGCGGAGCAGTATATAGGGTTAATGTCTGTGCGGAGCAGTATATAGAGTTAATGTATGTGTGCGGAGCAGTATAGAGGTTAATGTGTGTGCGGAGCAGTATATAGGGTTAATGTATGTGTGTATACTGCTCCACACACATACATTAACCCAATATACTGCTCCACACACACATTAACCTATATACTGCTCCGCACACATATCAATTAATGGGTTAATGTGTGTGTGGAGTATATAGCGTTAATGTGTGTGTGTGTGAAGCAGTATATAGGGTTAATGTGCGTGCGGAGCAGTATATAGGATTAATGTCTGTGCGGAGCAGTATACAGAGTTGATGTGTGTGCGGAGCAGTATATAGGTTAATGTGTGTGCTTTGCAGTATATAGGGTTAATGTATGTGTGTGGAGCAGTATATAGGGTTAATGTCTGTGCGGAGCAGTATATAGAGTTGGTGTGTGTGCGGAGCAGTATATAGGTTAATGTGTGTGCGAAGCAGTATATAGAGTTAATGCATGTGCGGAGCAGTATATAGAGTTAATATATGTGTACAGAACAATATATAGGGTTAATGTATTTGGTCAAAGCAGTATAAAGGGTTAATGTATGTGTGCAAAGCAGTATATAGAGTTAATGTGTGCGGAGCAGTATATAGGGTTAATGTATGTGTGCGGAGCAGTATATAGAGTTAATGTGTGTGGAGCGGTATACAGGGTTAATGTGTGTGCGGAGCAGTATATAGAGTTAATGTGTGCGGAGCAGTATATAGGGCTAATGTATTTGGTCAGAGCAGTATGTAGGGTTAATGTATGTATGCGCAGCAGTATATAGAGTTAATGAATGCGGAGCAGGGTTAATTTGTTTGGGCAGAGCAGTATATAGGGTTAATGTATGTGTGCAGAGCAGTATATGGGGTTAATGTGTGCAGAGCAGTGTATAGGGTTAATGTATGTGTGCGGAGCAGTATATAGAGTTAATGTGTGCGGAGCAGTATATAGGGTTAATGTATGTGTGCGGAGCAGTATATAGGGTTAATGTATTTGGTCAGAGCAGTATATAGGGTTAATGTATGTGTGCGGAGCAGTATATAGGGTTAATGTATTTGGTCAGAGCAGTATATAGAGTTAATGTATGTGTGCAGGGCAGTATACAGGGTTAATGCATGTGTGGAGCAGTATATAGAGTTAATATATGTGTACAGAGCAATATATAGGGTTAATGTATTTGGTCAAAGCGGTATAAAGGGTTAATGTATGTGTGCAAAGCAGTATATAGAGTTAATGTGTGCGGAGCAGTATATAGGGTTAATTTATGTGTGCGGAGCAGTATATAGAGTTAATGTGTGCGGAGCAGTATATAGGGTTAATGTATTTGGTCAGAGCAGTATATAGAGTTAATGTATGTGTGCGGAGCAGTATATAGAGTTAATGTGTGCGGAGCAGTATATAGGGTTAATGTATTTGGTCAGAGCAGTATATAGAGTTAATGTATGTGTGCAGAGCAGTATATAGGGTTAATGTATTTGGTCAGAGCAGTATATACAGTTAATGTATGTGTGCAGAGCAGTATATAGGGTTAATGTATTTGGTCAGAGCAGTATATACAGTTAATGTATGTGTGCAGAGCAGTATATAGGGTTAATGTATTTGGACAAAGTAAGATACAGTTCAGCACAGTTTATGCTAATTGATTGCCACCTGTTGCACACACAGCTCTCTCATCCTGCTCAGTATCTCTCCATCAGCAAATCCACTGCTATTAGAGGTGAGAGCCAGCACCCCCAGCCAGGCAGCCAATAGCAGAGCAGCTCAGGGCACCTGCCTCTCAGGAAGTTTCAGGAGATGCTATTTCCAGTCAGTAACTTATCATGTAAATTCTATCAACTGTTGCATCACCAGTCAGTCTGCATATCTTGCCGGCCATTAATCTCTCCAGGAACCTTCCACGTTCCGCATCTAGAACTGTCCTTGACACGACAACTGTCATCACGTTTTTACTTCTTGTTTTTTTTTTTTTATATTTAACATTTCATTAAATTTTATAATTTATTTTTTAACAATGTATATTGTTTTTTTTGAGAAAATCTCACTTTTTTATCTGGCTGAGCGGCCGTGTTGGATCACACTCTACTGGCTGCTGCTCAACCTATCTTACCTGCCTCTGTTCTTTGTTAACCTACAGCAGCAGCAAGTTAGGCTGAGCAGCAGTGGGTCAGATAACAGTCTGACCCAATCATGGCGGCTTGGCTCGACAAAAAAAAATTTCATCAAAATAAATAAAACAAAAGTTTAATTAAATGTTTAAAAATTTTAAAAAACAAGAAGTGACATTTTGATGACCGTTGTCCTTTAAAGGAACACTTTGAGCGCCATAACATCCTCTCAATGAAGTTGTTATGGTGGCTGGAGATCCTGGGAGCCATCTTACTTTAAAGGCGTAAGCAGTTTACGAATAGCTGAACCCCAAAGTTGGTTAGACATGCCAGTCATATTGGCCCCTCTTCGTCCGGCGATGTCTAAGGCTTCAATAACACAGGTACATGCCATTGTCACACAGTTTTGTTAAAAACGTTTATGGCGAGATTGTTTGTGTGGAGAGAGCACATAATTTGCCTCTTCCACGTGTGCCAGGAGCCTTACATGCCATTTAGGTTGTATGTTCCCAAGCCGAATACGATTGCACAAAATCTGCGATATTTCCATGCAAAATCCTTGGAGGCGTTGTGTTTGTCCTGGACTTTTGAGTAAACATGCGCCGGTTTTGCTGAACTCAACAAAGCAACAGTGTCTATATGCATTGTGAGATGCGCCTGCTGGACTCTTCATGGTGGCTCTTCACGGTGGGTTGCTCATCAAGGACAAAATCGACTACTAAGACAGTTTGTGTGGTGCGTTACATATGGAATTGGTAGAAAGCTGAATGGCCACCAGATAGGTATATGGAAAGGATTATAAAGGATCTTGTGCCTTTCCCATGAATTAAGTATAACTTGTTTGCCTTCTTACGGATAAGGGGGGAAACTCTTTATAAAGTAGAACAGTCTCAGAATTCCAGAAAATGTTGTTTTTGTTCAGAGTAACCGTTCCTACCCTGGTCCCCCCACCATCAAAAAAAAATAGCAAAAATATGCCTTTGTTCCAGCACCAAGCTCTCCTCCAGCCTGATCATCCATCTATGTCTCTTCCCATTGCACAGATGGGAGGGCTGAAGGGAGGACATGGGGGGCCCGGAGGTGGTGTGCTGCCCTTGGCTGTCACTAGTATGCTGTGCGTGCCGATGACAGACGCCACACGTACAGAACTGGGGCGTCATTAACCGTGTTTCAGGATGGCTAATGACGCCCCAATTACGCTGCTAGAGGTAGAGTTACATCTCCGCACCAGAGGGCTTTAATAGCAAAACGCTGCACATACAGACTCCAGGCACCATGACCACTTCAAGTCAGTGAAGTGGTCATGGTGCTTGGAGTAGCTCTTTACGCAGTGCATAAACAAATCATGAAGTCGTTAAAATAGCTATTTAGGTAAACCCAAAGCAAATTGTAAGCAGTTATCTGAACCGACTGTGAATCTTGCCAGTTTGCCATTTCTTCATCTTATTGCCTCTTGGTGGCAATAGTGAGCGGCAGAAATCAGTGAACCCTGCAGGCACGGACCTCAACATATCCTGCTGGTCTCTAAAGAATTAATAATAAATCCAGCTGCCCTCAATTCATTTAATTAGCCTTTCCTGGCAGTCATATAATCACACACTGAACGCTGATTATATCAGTGGCAGTGAAATCAGAATCTGTCTATAGACTCATCATTAACCCCTTAAGGACACAACTTCTGGAATAAAAGGGAATCATGACGGAATATTTCCGTCATGTGTCCTTAAGGGGTTAAACCCTGCAGCCTATTATCTGCAGTTATAATGTGAATTGTGCAGAGTATCTCCTTAACACGGCACTCAGACTCTCGCCACTGACGTACCCTCTAACCCTGTAAAAGTTATAGATCTATTCCTGAACCGTATAGACATTCACTGAATGAGAACCCTGCATATTATCCTTAACATTAAACCATAATCTCTCCGTAGAATTAATACTGAACTCTGCAGCACTCTGTATTCATAGCTACTGCAGCTAATCTCTCTATACTTCTCAGTAAGTCCTGAACCCTAACTTAACAATGAACACTGCAGCCTTAGATCAAAGGGAGAACCTTGCGGTTTTTATGGGCTTAGTAATTAAAGGGTTACGCTAACCTTTATTCCATCTTATCTAACCTTCTTTATACTGCTCTATTGGGAACTCGTTAATAATCCCCTCCCCCCTTATTAATTTCTACATCGCTATAAAAGAAATCAGTGCCGATGAGGATCTTCCGCATCATGTCTAACGTCTGGCTGCGTCACTCCCTTCCTCTCTTTGGCCAATCAAAATCTTTTCATTGAGAAGAGTTGGATTGGAGCTTTCTACTGGCTCAGATCGCATGCGACCACTCTGAGTAAAGTAGGCGATAAAGAAGAATAACAGAGGAAGGCAGGAGGAGGAGCACAGAGAGAGAGAGGAAAGGGAGAGCAAGACGCGCTGCCTGCTAAGAGAAGCTCATTACATCCGTACCCAGTGCGCTGTGCACGCTGATGACAGATGTACATTTTTCACAGAACTCACAGTAGGCAGCCTGTGCTGCCTATGTCACAGGCGGTGGGGTCACGGGTGCTGGCACAAAAATGTGTATATATAATCCTTCTACCATGACCACTTCTAAAAGCTATAGCTCCCTAGAGTGCCCCACTGTCAAACCCCTTCTGTCACTTACCTGAATCCAGCGCAGATGTCCTTCTGTGCTGGTTTGGGCTCCACCTGCACTCCGCAATGGCCACGCTCACATTTGGACTTCCCGCATATGAGAGCATGTATAATGCTTTTCTATGGGGTTTTACACAATGCAGGATGTCCTCATGCACAGCGCAACCAAAAGTCGCCTAACGACTTGGAAGTCCCTCTAGTGGCTGTCTGGTAGACAGCCAGTAGAGGTGGCGTCAACCCTCAAAGGTAATTATTTTAATTTATTAAAAACTGCAATATTTACCTTTGCAAGGTTAAGGGACATGGGACATTGCACCCAGACCACTTCAATGAGCTGACGTAGTCTGGGTGCCTATAATCTCCCTTTAACATTGAACCCGGTATCTCTCTATAGATTTAACAGTGATCAATGCAGCTCTAGACAGAGTAAACTATACACAAAGTTAATATTTAACCCAGCAGATCTCTGCACATATGGGAATTCAATGTGTATTTTACATTTTAGGCAGATATATTTTAACTGGAAATGGAGCTGACTTGGAGAATATTTTTTTACATTTAGCTAATGTGGCCAAAATGTTCAATTCAGTTTGAATTCATGACAATTCCCACCTTAGGGAGTGGAGTCCTTTAGCTCTCCGTATGCTTACAGGGTTATTCAATAAACACTTAATTGTACCAAATTTAAAACAGAATTGCAAAATGGCCCAGCTGTGACTAGAGCTGAGTTTTACAAATCAATTATATGATTTTTTTTTAAATCAATTATTTCAGCCTACATATTACCATACCAATTTTTATTGAGTAGGTAATTTAAAATGACAAAAGACTTATGGTCTGGACATAGGTAGGCCTGATATTGGGAGAGAGAGGGGGAGGTACATAGCAGAACCAATGGGCTGTTAGTTACTGGAATAAGTGCCACAGACATTGTACCCATCCCTATGGAGGCACGCTATCCCAGCACGCAGCACGCTAGGGTGGCAGGCTGCAATACAGGGCGACCAATCAATGCTGCTATATGTTGGGCACTCGTACATTGGTTTAAACACTCCGGGAAACTAAATGCACTCAAAGCGCGTGTTAGTAGGCTCTGTACATTATAACAGTTCTCCTAAAACCAGGTAACAGAAACAGAAGCCAATGTAGAAAAAATATTTGCCACACAAGCCTGTCTAAATTCCAACAACCAACAGGGACAACCTTTATTTTATTTGTTATTTATTTTTATTTTTTTACAAACTTGAAAATATCAGGTAGATTTTTTTCCTCAGTTTAACCCCTTAAGGACCAAACTTCTGGAATAAAAGGGAATCATGACATGTCACACATGTCGTGTCCTTAAGGGGATACGTTATTGTTTTGTTGATAAATTGCTCTTGACTCTTTTGAGAAATTGTTATATTTCATATTCAGATTTCCTATATCGTATGTCTTTTGTGTGCTACGATTTTATTACATAACTGTCTGCAACCCATGTGTTTCATAATAAATAAATAAAACTAAATTAGGAATCACCATGTCAAAACCATTTAACCCCCCAGGGCTACCCATCTCTTCCACTGCATAATAACGACATAATCAGCATGGATTGTAAACTAGTAGACTCAAATCAAATTCCTTAAAATCTGCACCCGAACAAATTGAATGCATCAGTGGAGAATTTAATGAATAAGACTCAACAGGTAAATACTGGACGGATCCATTTCTACGGGCGTATAGTACAAGGAATTTGATTAGTTTGTCGAATAAATTTGTGCACAGGATTTCAAACTAGCGCCATTTGCAATAATATCGTTTAATGACAATCCTTGATAATGTTACATTTATGTAAGGTACAGTTTCACTTTACACCTCTCAGTATTGTGAAATCTATTGCTATAAATTATCATGTTGCATCAACCCACCCAATGCACAAGTGGGTACACAAAGGCCCAGTACAGCAAAAAACTGGTTCCGAGACATTTGGAGCTCTTGTTAAAAAGTGCCCCTGGGGTATAAACCATTGAGCATAAAAAAGATGTTTGGCAATAGGTCTGAAACTCCCTGGGGTTGACCATACATTGATCATGCAGAGGGGCCTTAGCTGTTTATAGAATTTATCATTACAATTACCTCTAGCAATGGGCAACAATAGGAGCGAGTGGAATGAATAGGACATGTAGATTTAAAAATAAAAATGGAAAATGCTGCTTAAATGGCCTGTATTCAATGCAAATTAACAGTGAGAGGCCTTCAGATACATTGGCAAATATTCCACAGTGTCTGCTATGTTGTGTTAATTCTCTGATAGTCACATAATAATCTGAGCTGAGAAATGAATCGATTCCATTGAGTTGAACCTTTCACACATCTGTTACTGAATGACTGTGATTGGAATTTATGTGAATTACCTGGGGATTATTTTAACAGGCTCTGATACTGTAAATGTAGCCTTTAGCACATTACTCTGAAAGGGAAGTTTGTGGTGAAATCACTTCTTGTTCTCAAACCAGCCCACAAGTGAAGACAAGACAGCTCGATTTCCTGCCATTTCTCACGTGATCGGTGTCGATTCTAATAACCAGCGTTCTGATACCTTATTTGGGGATCGCTGCCAAATTATTATACAATTAGGGAACAAATCTGAGCTCGCCATAAACCTTGTGTCAGTTTAACTCACAGTAGAATACTAGTTAGAAGATATCTGCGCACTATCCCAAACTCCCTGCACATTAAATAGCAGGTGATTGGTATCAGTGAATTGTCATTAAAGTGTAAGCTCATCTGCAAACACCAGGACAAGTCACTAGCAACGAGTTCTTTGCTAACAATTCACCTGGCTGGTTTCAACTAAAAGCAAACATGTTTTTTTAATAAAGTGTGAATTGATGGAAATGTCAAATTATAGAAGAAAACAGCGAGAATTAATTGGAAAGAAATCTCTAATCCGGCTTTGTTTTAATTCAGCAATTTTCCCCTAAAATAAGGAATTAACGTTGAATTCTCAATTTAGTAATTAGCTCTATCAAGGATATAGCCATGAAAATCTCCAGTGTGCCAGAAACTAATTACCAAAATCTTAATTATATTAATTATACGACGCTTCGTTTGCTGTAATTTCTTACATTAACGTTAACAGAAGAGAAGCCCAGAGCATGCCTTATAATGAAAAAAACAGATTTTATTTATACATTGTCTAACCCAAGAATGGCACAAATAAAGTGCATGTAACAGGTCAATATATCCATATACACAGAGAAACCATATACCAGACACAGAGATCAGACTAAAGTCCATACATACAGTAAAGGAGGAGACTATATTAAAAGAAGAAAAACTACCACAACAAGAGGACATAGTCTTAAATTAGAGGGACAAAGGTTTAAAAATAATATCAGGAAGTATTACTTTACTGAGAGGGTAGTGGATGCATGGAATAGCCTTCCAGCTGAAGTGGTAGAGGTTAACACAGTAAAGGAGTTTAAGCATGCGTGGGATAGGCATAAGGCTATCCTAACTATAAGATAAGGCCAGGGACTAATGAAAGTATTTAGAAAATTGGGCAGACTAGATGGGCCGAATGGTTCTTATCTGCCGTCACATTCTATGTTTCTATATAAACCCACAAGTGTAACCAATGGTATACTATACTGAGGGTTTATATACTTTTAATCTGATCTATAAATACATAATATATATATTTTGTATTATAATGTGTGCTTTGGGTTTGTTATCGGTTTAATCCTCCCCCCCCCCCACTTAATTTGGTAATAGTATTTTCTAATTTAGCGCTCATTCTTTGAATAAGGTGGTTTTTTTTAAGTCTAAAAAAACAGGTGAATGGGAGAATTTGCCAATTCCTCCTTTTATATGAGAAAGTTGTGTCGCCACCCAGCGGTGTAATGTTAGTACTGCACATCATAAACTGCCACTTTGCTAAGTAAGTACTTTTATAAGAACTTTCAGTTTATTTTGTTTTTCTGTTGATACCAGTGTATTTGAGATATATTTATTTATATTGTGCGGTATTTAGGTTCATTAATCTGAAATATGACAAAAGTAGGTATGAAGATTACAGGTAGATTAGATAAATAAAAGTGAGCTAATTAAAATAATCTGGTGTAAATTATAGCACATATTACAAATGGAATAATATTGCTGATTTATGAGATACATTTCTTGAAGTTGTTACTTTGTGTTCCCAGTGAGAGCCAGGTGAGACCGTATTGAGATGATGCAAGGTGCCAGTTAGCTCGCACTGAGCCCCAGTGAGTGGGAGGTCCAGGGGAGGGGGCTCTGTATTGAGTCAGATCCTCCCCTGGTTTCCTTTTGTCCTGGCTCTATATAAAGGCAGAGAGAGCATCCTTTCTGACTCAGCTCTTTCCTAGCAGTCTGAGGACACTGACTTCCCATCCCCCAACCAATACAGATCACCCCCATACTGCTTGCCCCCCCAAGATTCCCCCATTTCTAACTAAGAGTGATTCATTTCCACCCTTCCCGGTAAGTACATCCACGTGGTGTCCATGTGCCCTCTCTGGGCTTGTTCTAATTTCTGTGATCTGCTGATTGTGTGTCTGTTAATGTATTTGTTCTGTTGCCTGGCTTTCAGTCTATTGTAGAAATTTTTATTAAATGTCTGTTTGTGAATTCACATTGGGGACCGTGTAATCAGGGGAGCAGGTGGTAGATACTAAGGGAATCTGTATCTAGCCTTATTGTTCACTTAGCTGGGAGTGATGGGGGTTATGGTGTCTAGTGATGAGCCATGTCCTTCTAATCCCCTAATGGGATGTGCAGGCCTGCTGCTGCCTGGGGGTGGTTAGAGTTGCCTTGTAGTTTGGGTATTGTCCCTTTATTGGCTGTGCTGCTGCCTGAGGGTGCTTAGAGTTGCCAGGTTAGATCTGGGGAGAAGTCTCGCAGTCTGGGTATTGGATGGGGTTACTAAGCCTGGCTGTGCTGCTGCCTGAGGGTGCTTAGCGTTGCCAGGTTAGATCTGGGGAGAAGTCTCGCAGTCTGGGTATTGGATGGGGTTACTAAGCCTGGCTGTGCTGCTGCCTGAGGGTGCTTAGAGTTACCAGGTTAGATCTGGGGAGAAGTCTTGCAGTCTGGGGTTACTAAGCCTGGCTGTGCTGCTGCCTGAGGGTGGCCACCTACGGGTGGGGGTGGTAGCTGACTCTTCCAGGGGACCTTTAAACAATGGCTGCCCTGCAGAATGGGCTTTTGTCTCCTTTGAAAGGGGGTGTATTTGTTAGAAACCCCCTCATCCGGTTACTGTAACTTAAACTGGTTCTTTAACTCCGAATCTATTACTGTGTGTTGGGCTTTATGGCTCTAATTAGACGTTTTCTGTATAAAGTGCGGTAAGTGTTTTAGTTCTAATTCCATGGATCCCTTTATCAGCTGTTCCTGTCTGCTATAGCTCTGCCTGCAGCCTCCTGTGACTGGTTACAGCACTGTGTGGGGGTGGGGAAGGTTTCAGTATCCTGGTCTGATCTGGTCTAGTGTTGTCTTTAAATATGTTAAAGATCAGTATATTGTATGAGATTGGAATGGATCTTATTGTAGACTGGCTGATGGATATTGATAATAAAGCTGGGCATTGTGTGTGTGTGTGTGTGTGTGTGTGTGTGTATATATAATTTTTTGTGATGTCTAATTTTCTTATTTCCTGCCTGTTGCCATGTCTAATAAATGTCTTTTATCTCTTTGTAGGATAAGTATTATGTTTATACAACTTGTTTTACACCAATTCTCTATGGAAAGTAAAGGGTATCGGATTTTTACTGCCAGTGGCAAGTGTGACGGGCGTGACGCCTTCAGGGAAGCTTGATCCTAGTTTTTCCCAATACACTGGGACACTTGAATAAGGTAACGTTTTCTTTGTCTCGCCTGGATGGGTTCAATGCTAGAACAAAGTGCAAAGTGGAGCAGTTGCCATGGAAACCTATAGAATGTTCAAACTGATCTGCTTTTTAACCCCTTAAGGACCAAACTTCTGGAATAAAAGGGAATCGTGACATGTCACACGCCATGTGTCTTTAAGGGGTTAAAGGTTAAATCGCTGTAGGGTGTCCATGCACGGTGTTAAGAATGACGACCAGTCTGCAGGATAGTGTTAGATTATCCTCCAGCCTGGCTGTAATAGATATTATCCTTCATTATGTCATACTGGTGTATCAAAGTGCTGTGAATAGAAGGAACTATTTACTAAAGTACAGGTGAATCTGCAAATTTGCCAAATGTGGCTATTTTCACCCAAAACTTGAAACTTACATTCCAACAATTTGTAATTTTTTTTATTAAAGTGGTAATATGTAATCAGATCTCCAGTCCTCTCGTCATATGTACATACAGATAATCTGAAATGCCATCGCTGGTTTCCTAGCGGCCATATGTTAAATTTAGGTGAGAGGCCATCGGTTGGGCGGTGTCTGCTTGTCTTGTGTTTTCACAGAAGCTGACTCCCTTACAGTGGAGATAAACTGCTCTAAGGGAAGTGGTAACCCAGTAGTCAGGGCCTCTGCGATGAACTGTTTGTGTGCTGACACTTTGAATGCAAAAACCTGTTACCGGGCTAGATGCTCAAGGCTTTTCGAGGGATATAATTGAATCTGGTGTCTGGAGATCATCTAGTCACTTTCACATCCCTGAGCATAATGGGATTTTTAGTCCACACTAACTACTCCTTCTATTGCCCTCCTATCTCCCCTGCTGGGAGGGTTTCTGGCCTTTTAACTGTTAATGACAGAATGGAAGCCTGGATTCATGATTTAGCTCCAAATCTTGGATCTATAGAATCAGTAACTTGTATATTTAGTCTCTCGCAGACTATGTAACGTGTATCCTGAGTGTCAAGAATTGTCTGAATACAGTACTAGGGAGTCTATTCACGAAACGGTGAATTTAAACCAAAATGGCAGTTCAGGACAAAAATGCATAAACTCCCCAATTCGACTGTAGCAAGGTTTTTTTTTTTTTTTTATTATTATAAAATTACCTTCTCAGTTCATCGTGAATTATTTTACTGTATATTTAGTTGCTAAATTTCAAACCATTGTGAATTGACCTCTGTACGTGGAAAACTTGCCCACCTGTGACGGGGATGGAAAATGTTCCAAAACCACAATGTCTCCGTGCAAAACCTGCAATTCTAACTTCAGGTCTGTTTGTTTGAAGGGTGGAGATCCTTTGCAAACATTCTCATTTTCCCTCTATTTCCACCAAATGGCTCTGAACGTTGCCCACCCCCAGATCTGTCACGATGATGTGCCAAATGGCTTATATTTTTGTGGGCTTTTTAGTCTTCTGATTACACTTAATGTACATCCTTCTAAAAAGAAATGGTGCTCTAACCTTTGGCATTACATTGTGTGGGTGCTGCATAGGTTTCTGAATTTCCCATGAGTCTCAGACTAGCTGAGCATTATAGGGGATGTCATGAAGAAACTGGTTATCTTTATGAATGTGGTTTTATTGAAATCTTCTGAATTCTTAAATGGATTTATTTCTCTTTAGACTCCGGCAGAGTTTATTTGCCTTGTCTTATCACTACAACACATCCCGACTCTCCTGAATTTCTCAATTTCTGCTCTGCTGATATCTGAAAATGGTTGGATTCAAGCCCACCGACGTGCCCCCTACAGCCGCCGTGAAGTTTATTGGCGCAGGTACGGCAGCCTGCATCGCTGACCTGTTCACCTTCCCTCTGGACACTGCCAAAGTCAGGCTTCAGGTAAGTGGCTTTTCATAGTGAACCCAAACTAGGCCTGAATGATGTGAGTTTAATAGACTGCTTGAGATGTGCAGTTTGATATGCTCATCTTGAGGAGAACCATGCTGTGTTAAATACCAAAGGGTTAATGCTTGTGCTGTCATAGTTGCGTTTTTGTTTTTTAATTTTTGCAAACTGGTGCAGAACAGACTATTCTATGTAAAGATGTCTCGAGTCTTATTTGTAAATCAAATCATTTTTGTAATCTCTGCAGATCCAGGGTGAGACAAAGATACCATCGAACTTGAAGTCTGCCCAGTACAAGGGCGTCTTTGGCACCATCTCGACTATGGTGAAGACTGAAGGTCCGAAAAGCCTGTACAATGGCCTGGTGGCTGGTCTGCAGCGCCAGATGAGCTTTGCGTCTGTCCGTATCGGGCTGTATGACTCTGTCAAACAATTCTACACCAAAGGATCTGAGCGTAAGTAACCTCGTACTTCCTCTGCTAAACCCAATGCTGTTTATTGCTGCCATGGACACCACTATTGAGTGACTTCATGATTTTCTTTAGCGCCATTTATGAAAGTATAACTTCGAAGAAGGACAAAGTATCATTTTACAGACTACGCACTTCTCAAAGTTTTTAGTCCTGTTACAGGCTTTTATTGCACCAAAGTAGTTAATTCATACACTTGGCGCTTCTTCGGTAAGAAGGATGGTGTCTCCATGAGGCTGTCCCCTCAATGATAACTTGGGGAAAAATTACTTGCATTTGATGTAGCTGAATAATTTAGTAAATGCAGTAAAAGTTAATACTTTGTTTCTATAGAAAGTAATTATAAATCCTATGTCTGTTGAAAGACCATTCCTACTAGCCTAGTGCCATACAATGCCATAGCAGCAGCACAGTAATGTGATCCAGGTCATGGTTTGTAGTTCTGGATCATTGCTCTGATTACCTAGTAATGCATCAAACAGGCCATTGTCGTGTCCTTGTGTACCACGTCTAACTTGTTCTCTGGTCTCTTTGCAGATGTTGGCATTGGAAGCAGGCTGCTGGCTGGGTGCACCACTGGTGCAATGGCCGTGGCGGTGGCTCAGCCCACAGATGTGGTGAAAGTGCGTTTTCAGGCTCAGGCCAATGCGTCGACAAGCAGGCGTTACAAGGGTACCATGGATGCCTACAAAACAATCGCCAAAGAAGAAGGCATGCGCGGCCTCTGGAAAGGTTTGTGTTAAATAAGACTGCACCATGTATACCAGGGTGGTAGCAAGGTACCCAGCTATTGAATGTTTGGTTCCATGATGCAAGTTGTAGTCCTGAACTAGAATAGACAAATCTGGTAGAACTTATCAAAATGTGTCTGAATGATGCAATTTAGGAAAATGGGAGATTTCTCTCTAAATATGCCAATCTATAACTCACTCGTTTCCTTTAGGTACTGGACCCAATATCACCAGAAATGCTATTGTCAACTGCACAGAGCTGGTGACCTATGATCTGATCAAGGATGCTCTGCTCAAATCCAATCTAATGACAGGTGAGTGACATAGGTTCTTGTGTACAAAGCATCAAAGCCCTTTCAGATCCTAATATCCCTTATTTGGGGGTACATGTAGCTCTAGGATTGGTGATGAGTCACTGTGTATACCTGTCACTCCTGGTTTGATGGTTTCCCATGATGCTCCACTAGGCCAAGGAAGATACATCCTTAAAGTTAACATGTCATTCAATAAATGGAGCTTCGGCTCCAATAGCCCCATGTTAATCTGACCTTGGCAGGGTGCTCTACAGAGGTAAATGTAAAGTTGATCACCATTTTTACAAACCTCAGTCCTGAACTTGCCATATTATACAGACTCCTGCCTGAGGGTAAAATAGATCTGGATACTCCCAGTAACCTTTTTGGAAAGAGCAGCTTAACGTGATCCATATTTCAAACCCTTCCCACCGAAACAATTCAGGAGAAGTCTACCTTGTAGAGGTATATTAACAATGTAAACGTTGGGAGATTGCCATATTCCAAAAGGAACTGTTATAATAGCAATCTAAACTTCTTGATTTTGCTCATTTTATGCAAACTGCTGTAAAGTTAGTCTCTCTTCCTCCTTTCTCCAGATAACCTCCCATGTCACTTTACTTCTGCGTTCGGTGCTGGTTTCTGCACCACTGTGATCGCGTCCCCCGTTGATGTAGTGAAGACAAGATACATGAACTCTGCCAAGGGCCAGTATGAGAGCGCCCTGAAATGTGCCCTTACCATGTTCAGAAAGGAGGGACCCCGGGCCTTCTACAAAGGGTAAGCGTTCAAGTCTTCAACCAGTCACTGCTTTGGCTTGGAATGAGAAATCCCATGATTCCTCCCACTTAAAGGACCTCAACTGCATGCGTCACACTTTTTAAAACCTAGTACCTGATACTTGACCTATTGTGCCATGTGCCACTTTTTAAGGGTTTGCAAGTTAAAAACCAAAAAACAGAACCCTAAATATGGGACCGCGTAGCAATCCTACATTTAGAGAAAGCGAAAGTAACCTTGGTATGAAATCCTAGAGATCAATTGAAAGACATTGTCCTTTCACTTACAATGTAAGCTGCCACTCGCCCCAACCTTTAGATTTTGGCAGTAGCTATTCAGTTGCTATACACGGAGATCTCCTGTCTGATTGGACATTGGCTGTGAACTACAGATTAGTGGGAATACAGACCTCGATGTAATTGTCCCATTCAAGTAACCGTATCAATAACTTGTAACCCTTAACTAAAACCTGAACTTGTTTGTCCCTCTAGGTTTATGCCATCTTTTCTGAGATTAGGATCTTGGAATGTGGTGATGTTTGTAACCTATGAACAGCTGAAGAGAGCCATGATGTCGGCTCGTGTCTCCTGGGAATCTCCTCTCTGAACAGGCCTGAGGACACATTCTGCGGGCATTGTGTTCACACCGAGCACAACTGTCTCTACCTCCCCTTAGATTGTTTACACTAGGTTTAGAGCTTTTTCATTTTTTTCCTTTTCTCCACTTATTCTCATTTTTATGGGTTAACCACTTAAGTTTAATATAAAAAACACAAAAAAACGAAAATGACAGTCAAGCCATTTTAACGCTATAAAGCTTGCAGTGTGGAGTGCATGTTTTTCTGATCTGTGATTAAAATAACTCCACCCTGTGAATTATTCCGCTTTATTCTTTTGGTACCTTTTTAAATGTCTCCCTTAACTTTAAAAACTAGCACTTGTTCTTAACAGCCTGGAACTCGACCGTTAATGTTTCAGCTTTTAATTCTTAGCCCCTTGATTAAAGTAATGGCCATTTTATAACTGTTCTACTAATAATTGTAGACACTTAATAAGGGAACTGCACATGTTGGCCAGACGAGTTTTAGAATGTTTCCAGTCCAGTAACTTTGACCAAACAGGAATTTAAAACTCCCTGTCTTAAATTAATTGCTTGTCTTGAAAAATGTTTGAACTAGCTTTCCCATGATGCCTTGCATTGTCATTATTAAATGTTAATTTCTATCATGGACCTTAATGTTGCAATAATGCATTGTCAGACCTCCTCCTGCTGACTCTTACAAGTTCTCCATGCAAGAATGTTTAATGTCACATTCCAAGCTTCTGCTTAATGCAAATTCCCGCTTCTCAGTGACTCATGCAAACATCATGGCTGTGTAAGCAAAACTTAACTTCCTGTATTTGCCTAAATGCTCAGAATAGAAAGGGATAGGCACCATTAACCTGCTGAGTGCCAATCTGCTAAGGCACACTCATTGACTATTGGCAATTTTACTGGCACTGGCTTTTTAAGGACTTGGTGTCATCTGACGTGTATGTTCGTCCCTGCTCTGATGTAGCGTCTCAACAGACCAAACTTAGTTTTTTAACTTTCCCTTTTTTTATGTCTATGGACCACTTTTGAATGGTTAACAAAATAAAGCCTGTCTTAAAATTCCACTGTCTCGCTGATTTATCTTGTTTCTTTACATGCAGATGGTGTGTACTTTGAAGGGTATTTACTCAAGTTATAAAGTGTTTGGAATCAAACCTGGAGTGTAGTTTTCAGTCCCCTCACGTGTACTTGTAACAGAACTGCTAACTTCTGTTAATGGTCTAGTTTTGCCTTGAGTCAAGGCATGGGAAGTGATAACTTTGGATTGTACAGACTGTGGTGACTCACCCTAGAGATTGATGCGGGGGGCTAGCTTCCTAGAAATTAACATTTCACTGACTTAACCCTTGGTGTTTTGATGAAGGAATCTGACTATAGGAGACTTCCCACGGTAAGGGCAGTGTAGATGGGGAACTTTACTGCCAAAGTGCTTGGGCACATGTAATCATACTCTAGAACAAGTGGGGTGTTGGGTTGGCATGCTGGCTGGTAGTGCCAAATTACATATAATATGCCAGGCCACCAGTCTCACCCCTCTAAAGGACACGACTCCTAAAGCACTTAAGATAACTTAAGCTTTATGTGAAGAGTCCTCTTTTACACGTTGCAAAAATTGCAGATTTCATTAGAAAATTACTTATAAATTTTACTTGTAACACTTCAAGACAACTGGTCCTGTCACTTCCTGGTTTGGTTGGCTTGAGGGGCAGCAATTGCCCCGAGCACCTGCCTTGCAAAGACTTCTCATTGAGCTGGAAAAATTTGATTGTACAGCAACAGTCTGGGCACAGTAGAAGGAAAGCCAAGAGATCTGCTGTTTTTAGATCACTCCAATGGGGGGGGAAAAAATGTATAATCAGAAGGAAGAAGAGACTTTTTTTTTTTGGTATCCCTACTACATAGTGATTAAATTTTGTATATGGGCAGTGGAGTGCCCCTTTAAGTTCCTCTCAATGTGTGAACTGGATACAGTACGACTTCCCTACAAGTCTTCAATAAAATAAACCACTGAGGGTAATTCACTAAAAACGTAGAGCATCAAAAGCCACATTTTGCTATAAGAACTGATTCAGCAAAAATTCAAGAAGCTGTATTAAGGTTGGCTTTTTTTTTTTTGTGTTGTAAATATCTGAATTTGGGGAAAAAAATTCTTCAATAAACAGAAAATGCAGGTGGTGAGGATGAGGAAACATGCAGGTTTCAAATGAGTGAACATCTGGTAAATTGAGTTACACAGATCTCCAAATGAGTAAAGAACTGACACTCAGGTCTCACAGTAAAAGTAGATTCACAGCATATTGGTGTAGAAGAGGGTGTGCAGGTCCCTATTTGCAGGTGTATGATGGACTCCTTTCTCCAAGAAACTACTAGAAGTCTTGATATTTAAGCAGGACTTGGTCCACTCCTGTAGTCTAGAGTACCAAATGGGTCCTGCGGGTTTGGCATGTGTACTGATTCAGTGGCCAATCCCTCCCACTTATGTCTTGTCGGTTTCAGCCATTAGGAGTGATGTCTCCTCCCCCACCATGTCCAGATATGTGACTGGTACTTCCAGTGTCGGAGTAGTGCACTATGGTATTGGTGGATGTGAGTGTAGTTTATGGATTATTGGGAGTAAGTGGTGGAAGTCATGTCCCCCCCCTGCCTTATCTAAGCAATAAGCCCTGTGGCATCGTTATTGCAGATCTCCTATGGGGGTCCCATCACAACGCCTCCGGTTTCAGGGTATTGGCCGTTTGGGACCATATATGGTTGTGATGCCTCATAAATTAAACAATGTTCTGGGAATACGCTGGCTGTGTGCCAGCGGGGAGAAAAATGAGGGTGAAAAAAGGGGAGGAAGAGATGTTTGTCTATGTACGTGTATGTATGAGTGTTGGGGCAACCCAGCATGTAAGGATAGTGATCGAGGTTTGGTGTTTGACATTTCGGGTTTCTGTTGTTGGGCCATTGTGTTGTATACATTGGATGTGTTCAAGCATGGTGGTAGGTCTCCAATGCCCCACCCCTCAGGTAGTCCATACCAGTATGTTTCAGCAGTAGACCTATCAGTTAACCTGTGTGGCAGGGGCGTTAAGGTTGCTTGTTTTAGTCTGAAAACTGACTATTTTCAGTCTGCCATATTTCACTGTTTAATGAGTATCCCGATTTGGTGCTCACTGAAGTGAACATTGTCAGGAATTTCAAATTAAGGCCAGAATAGCTATGCTTCCAGTTTGGCTTTTTAAATTTATTTATTTTTCCTTAAATTTGAAATTTTGTCTTGAATTCTCACTTTAGTAAATAACCCTGATTTTATAGAATAAGGAAAATCTTTAACCTTTATTCTCAAACTCATTTTGGAACTTTTTCAAATCTAACCTTAACCCCTCCTGTACTTTGGTTTGAAAGTTTCCATTTTATCTAACCATTCCTTGCTCTCATGGAGGATGGAGTTCCTACTGATAACTATTCAGTTATCAGATGTGGTTGCTGTAGTCAGAGCCAGACTGGGGATACAAAGCAGCCCTGGAAAAATAAAATCTATGCCAGCTCCATAAGTCACTGCACCATATATCGTTGCATGTAATGTGTAAGGCTATGTCTTGCCACCCCAGATGAGATCTCTCTCTCTCGCGCTCTCTCGCGCTCTCTCGCGCCCTTTCAGAGTAAAACGTTTATACAGTAAGCATACTCGCATGCAGACACAATCTCACTGATATACATAAGCTCACTGACACACAGCCTCATAGGCAGACACAATCTCACTGATATACATAAGCTCACTGACACACAGCCTCATAGGCAGACACAATCTCACTGATATACATAAGCTCACTGACACACAGCCTCATAGGCAGACACAATCTCACTGATATACATAAGCTCACTGACACACAGCCTCATAGGCAGACACAATCTCACTGATATACATAAGCTCACTGACACACAGCCTCATAGGCAGACACAATCTCACTGATATACATAAGCTCACTGACACACAGCCTCATAGGCAGACACAATCTCACTGATATACATAAGCTCATTGACACACAGCCTCATAGACAGACAATCTCACTGATATACATAAGCTCATTGACACACAGCCTCATAGGCAGACACAATCTCACTGATATACATAAGCTCATTGACACACAGCCTCATCAGACAGACAGACAATCTCACTGATATACATAAGCTCATTGACACACAGCCTCATAGACAGACAATCTCACTGATATACATAAGCTCATTGACACACAGCCTCATAGGCAGACAATCTCACTGATATACATAAGCTCATTGACACACAGCCTCATAGACAGACAATCTCACTGATATACATAAGCTCATTGACATAAAAACACAAGCGCACTCACTAGGAGGCAGACAGCTTAATGTAGTGGTTCTGGTGTCTATAGGCTTTCAATGTAAACACTGACTTTTCAGAGAAAAGGCATTGTTTACATTGCTTCCTAATGACACCTCTAGTGACAGACACTAGAGGTGCTTCCTGTATCAGCGCAGATTGGCTGAGATCATCAAGCTTGATGATCTCGGCCATAGAGGCAGGGCCAGTTGAGGGGAGACCAGCACGACGTTGGAGAGTAAAAACACTATTTTTTAAAAACACCCACAGACACACACACCTTGACACACCCAGACACACATAATTGTTGTAACCTGTGGGCAGACAGATTGGTGTGCTGGCGGCTGCAGGGAGCTGGCTCTTCTGGCAGCCGCAGGGGGAGCTGGCTGTCCTGTCTCTGCTCCTCAGCGCACAGCTTAATGAGACCGGGGCCGGAAGATGACGTCATATTCCGGCCCCAGTCTTATTAAATAGCGCACAAGGGCGGGGGAGCAGAAACAGAACAGCCAGCTCCCCCTGCGACCGCCAGCACAGTTCCCCTGCAGGTCAGCCAACTACCTCTCCCCGGCCCCAGGTGCCAACAGTCCACCTGGAAATTTCCCGGTATCCCGGTGGGCCAGTCCGGCCCTGGCTGTAGTGCTTTACATTTTTACAAAGTGCAGATTTCATTCTTATACATTAACATTGTTACATCCCCTGGCTGTCAGACAACCGTCCTTTAACTTCCTGCATCAGTTGTCTCACTGGAGCTAAACTCGAGCCTTGCAAGTACTTCTCATTAAGCCTGATTGGACAGCCACAGAAAGTCTGGGTGGGGTTAAAAGGAGGTGGCTGCTTGGAAAGTCTGTGATTGGACAGCCACAGAAAATCTGGGTGGGGTTAAAAGGAGGGGGCTGCTTGGAAAGGCCTCAGAGAAGAAACCTGCAGGTTTTTAAAGCTTTTTTAAATTTATTTATTATAAACAAACCTCTTGCCCCTCTCCCCCTGGGAAAAAAAGGATAACTAAAATGTAAGTTTTTTTTTTTTCTTTCCAATTTTGGGTAGATCTGTATATAAATTTTTTTTATAGATAATATATACAAACACTACTAGGTTACCGGAACCATCTCACCTGTTATAGGATGTAAATACATATAAAATTGAGAGATGTTTTTTTAAATTAACAGGTTAATTTTCTCAGTGATGTATGTGTGTTCCCAGCATAATTTTTACAATGTGTGAACATAAGGTGAACTTTTAATCCACATTGTTGAATGACAGTTACAAAGTTAGATATCTAAACAATGATTTTATCCTCCCATATCAGTCATTTTATACTGTTCTTTTTATACCTGTGCATGAATGCATTTCAGCTGCTACAAATCAATCAGTCTGGGATTGGTTCATTCAGCAGTAGATTAAGAGGAATTTGATTCATACCAGTTGAAAGGTATTAATGTACAAATCTAGTAATAGTCACAGCCTGCTATGCCCCATGAATCATTCAGGGCAGTGAGTGACGTGGACAGCAGTGCTCCCCCTATTGGTCAGTGCGTCTGGCTAAGAGAAAAGTCCAAGCTTCTGTATATGAAGGCTAAGGCTGGTTTCAACTTGCTGTTTGTACATACACCAGCCATGCCACCTGCAGGATCTCTGGAACATGATTACAGCCAGACCAGTCAGGGAGGTCCTGTGTGTGTGTGTGTGTGTGTGTGTATGTATGTATGTATATATATATTTGCAGTAAATGTAAATAATGAAACTCAGGATGCTATAAGGCTGGACTTTCACCAAGCCTTTAGAAGAAAGTCCATTTAAAAAAAACCCTTAGGAAGTGTTTGTACTTGGCCCAAAGTTTCCCTGCACGCAGGCAGATAATATGAACACCTGATGTACTTACCTTAACAACATTCTGCAGCACATGATAAAAGAAGAGAGAATTATCCCCGAATTCATATGGGATGTGGTGGGGTGAGGAGGAAAATAAAAGTGTGAGGCTCCAACGGCACCTGTCTGTGTGTATATAAATATAGTGTATGTCGATGTGTTCAATTTATGACTGTAAACAGTTTGGCAAAGTCGTATAAAAGATATATGTATATATTTTTGTTTTAACATAGAAATCCCAATCTTTATCACGGTGACATAGATCTCATGATAGAAGCGCCTTACGAAGCATCTGTTTCTTCAGAGGGGTGAGGTGCTCTGGGAATTGGATATCAAACTGGATGATGAGGTCTCCTTTCTGGTTGTAGTCCTTGGAAAGTCGCATGCCTTCCCCTGGGACCACCTTGCTGTACTTCGGACTGCCAAGGAAAAGGATGGGATTTGGTGCTTTGAATATAACAGAATATCAGTTGGATGCATTCAATGTGTATAAAGCCCAATTCTAAAAGTATCCATCTCTCGTCATCTGGAAACGTCTTAACATGTTCTGTGCAGGCAGGTGGAAAGTCTACTTGGAGCTTATTCACCAAAGTGGGATTTGTTGAGAATAGCTAAACCAAATAACTGCAAACTATTAACCAAACTGAACAACTCTCCAGCTCACTCACTTTACTGCGGAGAGAATTAAAAGTGAATTTAAGATTTAAGGTCAGAGTAGCCGATCTGAAAGTAGAGCTAACCAAGAGAATTGTTCCAGCGTGGGTATTTCTGTCTTTGGAATTGACTTTGAGTATTGACTTTAGTCAATATCTCTGTTAGTATTTTGCCTACATTTTATAATTAGCCATAGGTACTGGGATGGAAACGCCCCAACAACAATACCGGTGTTGGACTTGGACAATGTAACAAAATGATTTAGTAAAATTGTAGCTTTAAGGTAGATACAGGTAGATTTAATACACTGTGTCCACTCCTGGCATCAAGGAAGACTGTTACCCCCAGATACTCGCTAATGGGAATATTTGGAGTACTTCATTAGGCACCTGTAATATAACTATTGGAGGACAGAGCACAATAAGAAAATATTAGGGATAGGTAACTTCTGTCACCCTCAGGGCTAAGAAAGATTTTTCTTATTTTGGATGAAATAGAAAATCCCTTAAAATTGTGTTTTTTACACCACTAATAGAGGTGTGTAAAACGCTGAACTTAATGGACTTGGTCTTTTTTCAGTCTATCTTACTATGGAAGCCTTTGGAAGTCTCTTTGCGGACTGATACTCTTACACACAGAATTTAGGGAGTTTTATTGCTGTGGAGCTCTGAGATACACTTTTGCACAATGCTCATTGTAAGTTTTATTGCTATGGAGCTCTGTGATAACCTCATGCACAGTGCACAATAGTGAGTGTTATTGGAAAAGGAGCTCTGTGATAACTTCATACACAGTCCACAGTAGTGTGAGGTCTACTGCTGTGGAGCTGATATGCTCACGCACAATACACACTAGTAAGTTTTATTGCAGTGGAGCTCTGTGATACAATCATGCACAGTCTACATTAATGTGAATTTTATTGCTGTGGAGCTCTGGGATACACTCATACACAGAGTACGTTACTGTGAATTTTATTGCTGTGGAGCTCTGGTATTAGGGCATAAAGCCTCATTAAATAGCAATGCTTATAATGAAATACATGATGGAATACAGCAGTAATTTTAACGCCACACCTGCTCTCAGATAAAGCTGGCATTATATCATCGTGCAAGGTCTAATAGAAATCAAGATTGCTGTTTCCAGTTGTCTTACATTGGTGAACAAATATCAATGAGCGCAACTGCAGACATTTCTTTTTTCAAACGCAAAAACCACCTACAATAGTAACGCAAGTATACAGTATTAAAGGGCAAAGATAAAGTGTACATCTGTTACTTACTGAACGATATCGTTAATGGGGATATTCAGCGTCCGCTCATCTAATGTTTCTATCTCCACAGTACAGCCAATCAGAGCCTGGAATACAATAAATACAGCTAATTAGAAAGCTCATATTAAAATCCCCATTGGCACCCTCTGCTGGTCTGAACGCAAACAGCATAGAAGTAGTTGCACAGCCTTGATAGTTTGACATAGTAAGATTCTTTTTAACCCTTTAAGGACACATGACATGTGTGACATGTCATGATTCCCTTTTATTCCAGAAGTTCGGTCCTTAAGGGGTTAAAGCGGCACCGTCACTGTTTTTTCCGAATTCGCAAAGTTCCCCGAAGGTGACATCGCAACTGGTGGTCCGTTGGCTGGGGAATGGGGAAGGAATAGGATATTACATGCTAGAACCTGTCCATCGCTGATGCCGTCTTCTTGGTCGTGCTGCTCCTCTTCAACTCCTGGCGCTGAAGCATGCGCGAAAGTACAGCACTGAGGTTTGTGGGGAATCCCGCAAGACTGTGGGATCCTCCTCAGACACAGCCAATTCCCTCCGACTTGTGTCAAGAAAAGTCAAGCTGAGGAGAAATACAGAGAGTTTGTCTCAGTATATTTCTTTCAGTGACATTCCAACACAGTCAATATGAATATTTGATAAAAATTCTATCTCCGGGGGCGGGGCCTGGCCGCCGAGCGGGGTAGACGTGGAGCACCTCGGCTCCCTGCTAAAATCGCAGGGACCAGCTTAAAAATGCCCTCCCTTGCCTGGAAACCCCTCAGCTGCCGTGAGAGGGCAAAGGGGACCCAACCAACAGCCTTCGGGGCAAGTATCAGCCCCCGCTCCGCTGGCGATGCAGTCTGGTAGGCGAGGGGGATTGCGGCCTGCTGTGAGGCCCTGGCGGGAGAAGCGGCCGATCTCCCGTGCTTGGTCCGGCAGGACCTCGCACCGCCTGCTAAGGGCCCCGTTACCCCTCCCCCCGTGGGCCGGGGGGGTTATCCCAGACCCTACCGGGGACGCAGTGCTCGTTCAGGGCATCTAAGCGGCAGGAAGACTGACCGGGGACCGCATGGGAAAAACTAAGATGGCCGCCGCACTCATTGTGAGACGAAGTGAGGGGGAAGTACCACAGCAACAGCAGACAGACGGAGTGCTCCTTTCACCCACAGGATACCTGTATAAGGGAAATACTCCACAAGCAAGCCAAGCACAGCTCAGCTCAGCATTATAGCACTCACACCAACAGAGGCATCACCTCTCATTAACACCAGTGGATATAAGGGGACTCTATCTGGACTCTGACCCTGCCTGAGTACAAGGGAACAACGAAAATGGGGAATAAGCTCCACTCCACTCCTGACTGTCAAGCCCCCACAAAGTGAAATAACCAGCTAAACGCACAGCTGCAGGAGGGATCAAGCGGCTTCTAACCATATATGCCTAAAGCTATAACAGACTATGGTGTACCTCTTAATCTAGTATCTCATCTACCATATTAATGTGTGTCTTTATAGTAGATTCTTCCTGCAGTTAGAAAACAATTAAAATGTCTGAGCTTGCATGTATGTCCGACGCTCTGCTGCCCCCTGGTGGTTAAACTTAATTAAGCCTATAGACATCAGTTCTTGATGCTGACCATTGCTCCTGTTTTAAAGGCAAAAATAAGCTCACTGTTTTGGTTCTCACACATATGCCAAATTAGACAAGTTAAGCATCAATTATCTTGCTGTATTTCGTTTAACTTCATGCTAACGATACAAATATTTAGGCAAGCTTGCTAAAAATATAAAATTGTGCAGACTCTCATGCCATTGTTTAACCATTGTATATCTTGCAATACGCTGTTGTGGCGCCTGCTGATTTCTTGTACCCACCTGCACAGCAAAAATAAAGAATTTAAAAAATTCTATCTTCATGAAATACTATTTTTTAATATGGGGGTGACAGTGCTGCTTTAATTTAAAAAAAAATCATTATTCAGAAGTTTAAATGTGAAAATGTTGCACCATTTCCAGTATATATCTGCATATAAAACAATATTTTGACTCTATTAAGTGTTTTGTTTGTTTTTGTTAGTTTGTGTTTAACAACCCAGACATCCCAGACAATGTTTATGTATTTTAGAGTGTTTGGTGCAATTGTTTATATGGTACTAAGTGTCTGGTGAAAATTATCAATGAGCATATTCTATGAAAAAAACAGAAACGCATAAAACCTTTATAATAATATGCATATAGTTTTAAGCTAAGCTCTTCTCCTGGTCTCTCACTTCCTTATGAAAGAGAATAAAATGACAGAATACACAGCCAGCTGTGTTAATCCCACAATCCCCTGCTCTGTGTCCGAATTTGAATTGCGTTCAACCTGGGCCGGCGCTACCTGTTAGGCGGACTAGGCAACTGCCTAGGGCGCCCCTTGGGAAGGGGCGCCACCAGGAGCACGCGCCCCCCTCATGCTTCAGCCGCCCGAGCGCTCTGCATCTTTGCCCGGGCTGGTGCGTCCATGAGGGCGTAGCATGAGGAGATGGGCTGACAGGCGGGAAGGGCTCAGCGCTCCCTCCTGTCACTCCCTCACTGTAGCGTGGCCAAGCCCTGTATGGTCCGCGGGTACAGGGAGCAGGGTACAGGAAGTGCACACTGAGTCCGGCCGTACACAGGAAACAAAAGCTCCCTGTACCCGGGCGCAACATACAGGGCTTGGCCACGCTACAACAGAGGTAGGGGAGGGGGAAGAAAGAAATTGTCGAGGGGGAAGAAATTGACGGGGAAGAAATTGACATGGGGGGGAAGAAATTGACAGGGAGGGGGGAAAGAAAGAAATTGACAGGGAGGGGAATTGATGAGGGAAGGGGAGGGGAGAAGAGAGTGACAAGGGGGTTGAAGAGAGTGACAAGGGAGGGGGGGAGAAGAGAGGGACAAGGGGGGGAGAAGAAAGTGACAAGGGAGGGAGAGGGGGGAGAGATTGACATCAATCACACACACACACACACACACAATGCACCCCTTACACACAAAGATGATGCACCCCTTGCACACAGAAAAACACACAATGCATTACACACACAGACACACACACACAAGCAATGCAACCCTTACACACAATGCATCCCGTACATACACAGAAACACACCTTGCAGCCCTTACACATACAAACACAGATTCACACAATGCATTCCTTACACACATATCAGGACATCCCCTACACACTCCACCCCCTGTGAACAAACTCATTGGTGGAACATGAAGGTGGACCCTGGGACCCAGACCTTGAGCTGTGTAAAGGGCCCCCAAAAAATGGAGCTGCTTCCCGTTCTCCCAGAACATTGATTTTTGTGACCACAGTTACAAACAGCCTCCAGAGAGCCTGTTCTACACCAGACCAGTGGAGCCAGACTACAGCTAGAGCCCATCATCATCCTCATCTGGTTGTAAGTAGGCAATCTAGTATATTATTCGTGGCACTAATCTCTAATTTACCTCACATTAAAGAAACACTATAGTCCCCAGAACCACTGCAGCTTAATGTAGTGGTTCTGGTGTCTATAGCCTGTCCCTGCAGGCCTTTTAATGTAAACACGGCAGCACTGCAGCACTGGCGTTAGTTAACATGGCAGATCATATGGGTGGGGCATTGTGATGTCACATGGGGGGGGGGCGGCAAACTTTACTTTTGCCTAGGGCGGCAAAAGTCCTTGCACCGGCCCTTCGTTCAACAAGCACACAAACGCAAGCCTTCTTGGTGTGGCATTCACATTGAAATAAATCATGATGGGGCATTAAAGGAACCCACACACTCAATGCAGTGTGTGAGCTAGGTGGACGTTTTTTATTATCAGTTAGTTTAGGTCCATTATCTCACCCTTTCTGTCCTTAGCCACTAGTCTGCAGTGTTACCCTCTTTGCTAAAAAGAACACAGCTGTAAGTGATGTCACGACCTTACTCTCCCCATTCAGCACTGTCATAGTAAACTAAAGGAGCAGAATGACTAACTCAGTCAGGTTGTGGTCTGGGCAGAGCTCACTGCAGATAATGTACCTTTCTGTTTTATGTTAATGAATTGCTTAGTTATATTTTATACTTGACTCTACAGCTGCAATCAGGGGAGTGGGGGAGACCAATCCTATCCTATAGTTTATAATTATTATTAGTATAATTATTATTATTTCTATTATTATTTTATTATTTATATAGCGCCATCAGATTCCGTAGCGCTGTACAATAGGTGGACTAACAGACATGTAATTGTAACCAGACAACTGGACGTACAGGAACAGAGAGGTGGAGGGCCCTGCTCAATGAGCTTACATTCTAGAGGGAGTGAGGTATAGTGACACAAAGGGTAAAAGTAGGGGTATGAAGTAGGCTGCTAGAAAAGTATTCACTAGGGCTTAGTAGGTAATTTTTGACAGTTGCAGGAGAGGAGTCATAGATGGGAGTGGGGGGATAAAAACCTTCTAACAGTTTAATTGATATGCTTTCTTGAAGAAGTGAGTTTTCAAAGATTTTTTGAATGAGTGGAGACTGGGTGAAAGTCTTACGGAGAAGGGAAGGGCGTTCCACAGAAGAGGTGCAGCCCTGGATAAATCTTGGAGGTGAGCATTAGAGGTGGGCGTACGGACAGAGCATATACATAGGTCTTTGGCAGAGCATAGGGGCCTTGACGGGACATACTTGTGTATTAGGGAGGATAGGTAGGTTGGAGCAGCATTATGTAGGGACTTGTAGGCAAGCACCAGAATTTTAAATTGAGCCCTACATAACCCCATAAAAATATGAATGAAAGAAAGAAAAATCAATTTCCAATGTATCTAGCAATGCCTTGGACTACATTTCCCATGATTAATACATGAATTCAAAGTATAGTCAAGGATATTAAAATTATGGTGCTACTATCAGCTATGTGTTTACCCCAAACACACAAATAAAGTGCAAATAGTAATCAATATAGTAGTGAGAGCACAGAAACGTAACAATAAAAATTCTTTCACAACACGTTGTACATTTTAAATCTGTAAAAAACATAAAAAAGACAATAGGGTAATACAGTAAAACACCAATATTTTTAAAAACCCAAATTGGTCCCACTCACATGGTACTGAGTCACTCAAATAGCTGGCTCAGACTTGTCAACAAAAGGATGAAGTGGATGTTCTCTGGAAATCTGTTAAAGGACCACTATAGGCACCCAGACCACTTCAGCTTAATGAAGTGGCCTGGGTGCCAGGTCCATCTAGGGTTAACCCTGCAGCTGTAAACATAGCAGTTTCAGAGAAACTGACAGCCGCAAGAGGCGGTTCCGCAATTCTCACAGTGAGAAGACGCCAGCGTCCATAGGAAAGCATTGAGATATGACCTGACTGAATGCGCGAGCGGCTCTTGCTGCGCATGCGCATTCAGCTGATGACGTTGGAAGGAGGAGGAGAGTCCCCAGCGCCAGGCAGCGCTGGAGAAAGGTAAGTGTTTAACCCCTTCCTCTCCCTTCAGCCCGGCGAGAGTGGAACACTAAGGGTGGGGGGGACCCAAAGATCCTATAGTGCCAGGAAAATGAGTTTGTTTTCCTGGCACTATAGTGGTCCTTTAAGTGCAGCTTCCAATACCTTTAAGCTTTATGAATGAACGCGTTTTGGCTAAACCCAGCCTTATTTCCCATGATGCTCAGTCTATACATTATAAAGTAGAAGAGACATTTACCTTTCCCAAATCGATGCATGCTGTGTAAATTAAATCATCCCCCTCTCTCATAAACCGTGGGTGAGGCTTCTCCTTCACAATGAAAACGATGTCAGCCGGAATGATATTGGGGCCCTGTAAAATGTGAGGTACATACATTAAAGTGTTACTGTCACCATCTGCACACATTATTCTAACACATGTTTCTGCTGGAGATGTGGTGCGGATACAGCTGATGAATTACATATATGGTGAGGATGCTTTTTAGTTAAATCCGGTTGGGAAACACTTTTTAAATTCATCAGTAAATATCTGGGATTGAATTGGGTGTGGAGGAAGAGATGGCAATATTACATCTGAAATGACTATCTCTACCGAAAAGTAAAAGATGGTTTTTGATTTGCATCTTAATGGCTTTTAAAAGCTCTATTGCCACAAATTTGAAAACTTCTAAGGTTGAATCATGGCCACAAATTAAAGAGCGTGTCAAGTTTAAGTGTACGATGGAATGGGAAATTACTTCTAATTTTTGTATCAATTGAGAAAAATACTGTATTTGGGACAATTGGTTAACGATCTTGGGAGCAACACCAGAAAGGGAGTTGAGACCCTGGAATGATCTGAGTTGAATGGAAAATAGTCTCCTTTCCCCTCACTTTATGACCTTGCCCCATCACACTGCTCAAAAGTAATTCAGGTTATGTTCATATATGTAAGTTCACATTTTATATGTAACTATTTGATAATGAATAATGTACGTACTTATATTTTGAAAACCAATAAAACATTTATTTATAAAGCTATTCTAACACTTTCAGAATTGCTATATTAGACAATGAATTGACTCTTTACAGCAATGCAGTAATATTCATTTTGTCACACACCCCTTGGGCCTGCCTTGGTGACCCAATTTAGGGACGTATGAAAGTGGTGCCCCGCAGCATATATAGCATTCATATGCTGTGGGGAAACTTATTGAATTAATCAAGGAAGGCATCCCAAAAAAACTGATTTATTAATGAATCCACTAAATCCTTCTTGTGGAATGCGAATGCTTCATATCACTATATTGCCCATCACTATAAGGAAACATGGTAGATCCGGGGACCTAACTTGGTTAATGAAGGGCATCAGATAACTTTCTGGTTACATTGTACAAGTGGCAGAAAGTGTGGGTTGTAAGGGCAAAATAGCTCCCCCAGTTAATGGAAAATATAAATGTGATGTCAAATACCTTGCATTCTCTGATGGAACGTAAAACCTTCCCATTATTCTTTGAATACAACAACAAGCTTTTTATATATGAGACATCAATCATTTATTTAATTTCTCACCTGGTCCCCTTCATTCTGAAACATTATTCTGGTACCCTGACTCCAGCCAGGATGTACATCGATGGACAGGATCTTGTCACGGATGCTTGATGTATGTCCATCTTCATTCATTACCTGTCAGTAGACCCAAAGTGTTAGGACGCCAGGAGTTTGAATAGTCAGCTCCCCCATACATCCATCAGTACAAGTGTTACAGGAGGGCAGGAGAATTGCTCACTTGCATGTTAGAGCTGTCAGTCTTTGGAGGCCAAAATGCTACTTGTTTTAAGAATTCTTTGCTTTACGTTATACTTTATTCAGTAAACAGTGAATGGTGCTGAACGGAATACCAAAAATACAAAATTCAGACTAAAACATCCAATCTGTGATCTGGATTTTTAAATCAGGTTTTAAACTAATTAAAATGAAATGTTTAGTGCATAGACCGACGCCTGTGCCACGCATACTTCTAAGCAGTTTTACATATTCTCCTAAAACCCTGCTATCTATGATCCATTAGTAAATATGTAAATGCGGCACAAACAGGTTTAATCATTAAAATGTGAATTGTGCGGAATACAGCATAAACTTCAAACTTTGGCTAAATCAGCTGAATTATAAAAAATATGAGTCTGCGATGTTATCAATTTGGCCGAGAATTTACAAATTAACTTTAAATTCCTGACAATTGACGCTTTCATGCAGTGCCACCATCAATGCCGGAGACTTTAGTAAATATGGAGTCAGATGAAACAAGACAATTCTGTCACCATTAGGGCTTATATTAGGCAAAGACCCAACGTGGTTATAGTCACATCTTTGCTTATTTATCTTGAGTTTTGTAATTGAGTTTAAGTTCACGGTAATTTACTAACAAACCCAAACATGAAGAACACACGTGGGGCGCCTTCTTAACGCGCATTGAAGATTTACAAGGACTCGGAGGCCAAAATGTATATCTATGTCCTTTGAATTGAAACAGTTGCACTGAACCTTTATTTAGGACATGTGACATTATATATATAGTTCACTGGGTTTCTGGGAGTATTCAATAACAAGAAACAGTCCTCAGTCCACACATGCCACGTAGACCTACAGTTAGACAGGGACAGTATTGGCTGTCGATATATGATAATCAGATAATCAATGTTCTGCATACCCTACGAGAGATTTTGATCTTCTTGGTGCAACCAAAGTACAAATCCTCCAGAGACAAGTAGAGATCCCTTTCGACCGGGGGGTCTTGTTTTTTCACCCCTCGCCCGCGCAGCCCGCCAAATCCTGTGTTCACCTCAGCACCATCTTGTGTGAAAAAATCTTTAGAAATAAAAATAAACAAAAACGCAAAACCTTCAGTATGCAATAATTATAATAAAATAATGAAGACACTATACGTCACAATGGGGTGGCCAAACAAATAGATCTACGGGTGTTACTGAAGGACAACTCCCATGATGCTTTGTCAGATTTCAGGAAAGCAAAACATTGTGGGAGCTGTAACTCAGCAACAGATGGACATCAACCATTTGCAACCCGTGTTTTAAATATGCAGCACAGTAAATCACATTTTACTAGATAGTGTCGTTTTGGCTTTCTCCGGCACCCGGCATCTAAAAAGAAAGCAATGACTAGGCGAGTAAAATGCTGGCTGTCATCTTTGATTTGAGAGTTTAAGCTGTAAAACGAATGCGGCAAAATCCTATCGCAGGACAATTAGTTTCAAATTTACAGAACATTTCCTGATGGAATTTAGATCTATGAATAGAAATGGTGCATGTTTTAATGTGTTGATGTTGCTATATGTCTTATATGTAAGTAAGTTGCATGGATTGCATGTCGTATGATTTAGTTATGTATATTGCATGCTTGAATATATATTGCATGTTTCAGTATATATCAATGATGGAATCTTATATATATGTGTGTGTGTGTGCTGCATATTTTAGCAAATATTTTGTAATCAATGCATTTATTTGACACGTGGCACATTTAAGGAGAGTTTAGATAATCACACGGTTCCAGTTACAGAGTGGTTAAAGTAATTGTGGTCATGGTGGATCTGATGCTGGCATGTATAGCATTTTAGCACCAGGCAACAAATGGCGGCATGTCACCTCTGTCCTCCTCGACCTTGCTACCACTCCAGCAAGGCGGGTGTCATCAGTAAAGGAGACGTTTTAGCCTTTTTCTTTTTAATTTGGGGTGGCAGACCATTGCAGCGTGAGTAACCTGGTTGGAGTGTTGTAGAATTATTAGGCCTCTATAAATCTGTAAGGCCCCTTTAAATCCTCTTGCTATACCTCTAAGAGGCCCCCATAGTTTTATAAGAAAGCCTTGTCTATAGAACATAGAATTTGCATGCCAGCAAGAAATAGCTTTGATAAAATGTGTATTTACTAAAAGCCTTGAAACCTAACCTTGAGAAACTAACTAACTAAGTGCCAGCTACGCTCTAAATGGATAGCTGCCAAAAGGCCCCTCCCGTCGAGTGAGCTCCTCATGTTAGCAAAATGGCGCTAAAACCTGGAGGAGTTAAGAAATGACGTGGATAGTGACCTAAGAATGGGGAGGGCATTTTACTAACATCTTAGCATCTAAGCCAATTAACAATGTCTATTTGTCTATATCTTGATTTTCTTCAATGATGTAATAATGCCTTTAAAAGGGTCTGCGCACCCATTTTCTGTCAGAAGCCATTAAACTTCTCTGAAGTTCTTTCATTACCCTGAACTTTGTGTCTCAGTGTGAATTTACTTCTGCGTGCACGCAACTTTATTATCTTTAATTTGGACAGGAACAGATAGTCATTCAAACTAATTGGTTTGCAGTAAATTATCTACTACAATTGGCGCTTCCAACGTGGGGCTCTGGGTTATGTCCTGCCTGGGCAGCCGTCCAAGAAGACGCGGGGAGGGTGAATCCTGGGGGAAGGAAAAGAGCCTGATCACCTCTGAATACACGGTAGAGATTGCTGCAGCACCTAGCCGGTATGCTCCTGCCCCTGTGATTGACCTGTCCCAGTGTCTGTGACTGCTGCCGAGAGGACATCAAAGTCAGGTAATAACTTGCCCAGAGTCTTTGTATTGTTAATGATACTTAATTTACCTGCATGTTGACTATCTGTTGCCTGGGTGTGTTTGTATTGGTATGTGTTTAACTTAGTACCCGGGGAGTGTAAGTGCCTGTTTAACTCCTTTTAGGTACCACGTGGCTGTGGTAGTAAGGAAAAAGGGGGATGGACCTGTGGAAGTTTTCCTGGGGTCCTCTATTGCCTGTTTAACTCTTTTAGGAGCCACGTGGCTGTGGCTGTAAGGAAAAAGAGTAGGGGGAATCTGTGGAGGGGTGTAGACTCACTGCTTTCTGGGGGTTCCCCATAGTGTCATTTTGACCGCTTAGCTAGCCTCATCGGACACTTCTTCTTGGTAAAATTCCAGCCTCGAGCGCTGAGGCAGGTAAGATTCCAATTCTTTAGGCTATACAGGATTCGGGTTGGAAGCTGTTGCTGTTTCCTGTGGCTGCTGGTAGTGAGACTTGCGGGTGGGTCCGCAACAGGGACACTACGAGGTTGAGGGAGGTGGCTTTTGGCCACACGAGTAAAGGCAAGGGATAAAACTGTTGAACTTATTTGAACTGTGATGCATGCACTGTATTTACACTGAAATGTTATTGTCTTAATTGTCTGTCACACAGATTCCTGTGTTTACTTTTATCTTACTCACTGTACTATTTACACTTTCCCCTCCTATTTCTCTTTCTCTGTTGAGAGAAGTGATTGGTCACACACTTCTCGCCACGCTCCAATCCGCGGCTACCACGGGTAGGCGGAATCAGTGACTAGTCTACGTTTTGGGAAGACGTACTTAAAGAGCTTGCTCTTAAAGTAGCAGTCGAGCACGGTAGACGTTCTGTTCCTTTCTCTCTCTATATCTGGGACGCCTTATATAGGGAGGATGGGACAGAAGTTAGATAAACCCAGTAAGGGTTGGTTAGCGTGTGATCTAGTGGAAGACAGAGAAGGAGAAGAGATGGTTAAGAAAGTGAGTAAGATTGCTAAAGTATGTGGAATTACCGTACCTCTGTGCGGCAGATTGTAGCCAGAGAGCTGGCGTAAGTTACTGACAGAGAAGAAAGGGAAGCTGTCGGACCACGATTTGGTTTGTACAGCAGAAGCCTGGTACCGAGTAGCAAGAGCTATTCAGCAAAAGGGATAGGTTGAGGAAGAAATTGATCACAAAGGTTTAAGATTGTTTGTGTATTATAATAATTGTGTTACTGGATGCTGATGGATCCCTATTCTCCCCCCCCCATCAGTCCTACAGATCTCGTCACCCTCATCCTCTCTCTGCAGCTCCCTGCACCTCCAGTCCGTTTCTCCCGTCAAAGATTTCTGGTTTCCAAACGTATAAGTCTCTGTCCTTCTGTCTTGTTACTTTCCAGCACTCACATGGTTAATCTTCATGCCTGCAGCTTCACTCCCTTTTTTGCACTGTCTAACTTTCTCCCCCCCTCTCCTCCCCGCTTGCCTGCATTTCTACTGATAAGAGTTAGAGACAGGATTTTTGCTGGAAAATATTCTAATTCAAAGGTTATGGTGTTATAATTGTGTAATAATATTATTATTGTTGCCGTTTGCCGTTTATATATATATATATATAAATTGTGTTTTGTGATAAGGTACTGAGGATTGTGGGAGTGACGAGCTCACAAGATTGCATTCAGTGTTGAATACGGGATTTAGGAAGGTGTAGAGGGAATATGCGATGTTGTTAAGTCAGTATAAGAGGAGGAAAGTGATTAATGGTTTGAGGAAGATAAGGGAATTTGGTTGAATTCCGCGAGTTTATCTTGCATCATTTTAAAGAACATGTTTCTAGAAGACAGCTGTATGGGCTGTTAAATGCATAATGTTTTCAACTGTCTTATTTAACCTGCCAGGTCTGTTCATAGTTTAGTATTTCATTTTGCAGAACAGAATGTTGCTTCTCTGACTTATTTTATTAGTTATAATATAGTGTATTGTTGAAAGTGCATCAGCCACCACTCTAAAGATGGCGCCTAGTACAGAAGGAGGTTGACCCTGCCAGTCCCGTGACCTATCTACAGTCACGGTTGCTTCTAAAGTGACGTCACTCCGCCCTTACCATGCCCACACCTCCTGTCTTCCTTTCCCACACCTATCATGGACGTCACCCCTCTAACTTCCTCCCTTGCTGTCATTTCCTTCCCCGCCCCTGTCATGGCTGCCTCCTTCATGAGGCCTACCCCTATCATGCTCGTCCTATTTAGAGACATGTTGTTTTCCTTACACTCTACATATTATGAAATGAAACATTATAATTACTAAAACAATCATGCCATTTGTTTCCCTGTATCAGAAATTTGTCCGTGATATAAAAAAAAAAGAAGGTTGCTAAAATGTAATTTGCAACTGTGGTGTGACCTACAAATGAGATCTGTTGGACACGAATATAAGAGCATAACAGCTGATTATCCAGATTAATCTTGCAACAAGGGAAATAGCCAAATAATGCAAGTTATTTTAAACATTGTATCTTTGCTTAATCGAATCTTGCTAGTTACAGATCGTATGTTTACAGTAACATCCTTTACGTTAAATGGTGGTTTAGCATTAGAAGGATTAGTGACATGTTTTATTAACCCAGCCACTACTGGTTGTTTATTTTAGTTACAGGGTGGTATAATTGTTATAGTCTAATTAATATAAATGATAGTACCGCAATAGTTAATGTTTTATCCAAAGACATATAGGAACTTTACTTCACTTACTATTAACCATTATTTATAATGATAGACATGTTCAGACTGCAAAAAGCTATGGCTAATGACATAGAAAGGGGTTTGAGTCAGTAACACAGCCCATACAGAGGAGAGCAAACCCGCTGATGCTTAATGCCCCTGCCATGGCAGTGTCTACAGGGAACAAGGGGGGCCACTAGCCACTGTAACTTTACCTATTGAAGGTCACCCTACTACTTTCCTGGTTAACACAGGTGCAGCCCGCAGTGTTCCTAGAGAACAAGACCTGCCTGACTCATCGTTCCTGCCTGACACCGATGTCTCTTGTGTTGGTGCTGATGTCCTATCCCGCCTCCAAGCATCCATCACCCTCACTGCAGACGGCCAGGTTCAATTAAATACACCTTTGTCACGAAAAGACACTACAGTTCTTTGTTCCCTTCCCATTTTACTGTGGAGATGATCTACCCACAACAGAACAATGCTCAATTAATCTTCTTTACTATCTAGCAGAACAAGGATGTGAAGCTTCACGTCTCAAGCTGCAATTCTGCCAACCTACTGTTATCTTCCTTGGCCATTGTCTGTCTCAGGGAACCAGACATCTCACTCGTGACCGAGTTAGAGCAGTACTGGACATTCCACCTCCAAGGACCTCAAAGTCACTACACGCCTTCCTAGGCCTCATTTCCTATTGCCGAGCATGGATCCCTGAAGCCTCGCTCCTTATGCAACCTCTTTATGATGCTCTCAAGTCAGACCCATTTTGCTTGTCCACAGAAGCCCTTGACAACTTCTGTTCTCTCAAACGTGCTATTGCTTCTGCTCCTGCTCTTGGCCTACCAGACTATACCAAACCCTTCAAATTGTTTGTTTCTGAAAGACAAGGCCATGCAACAGGAGTACTCACTCAGGCCCATGGTCCTGGAGGCCGCCAAAGGCCTATTGGATTTTTCTCCTGCCAACTGGATATTGTGGCCAGAGGACGTCCCTCTTGCCTTCGGGCCGTCTTTGCTGCCAGAGAGCTCATTGAAAGAACTGGGGATCTTGTCCTTGGCCACCCCCTGGTTGTCTTGGCCCCTCATGACATTTCTGCCATAGTCAACCAGGTCCAACTTAAGCATGTTACTCCTGCTAGGCATCTTCGCCTTCAATGTCACCTTTTGTTGCCTGACAACATTACCCTTCAAAGATGTCAAGTTCTCAATCCGTCCACTCTTCTGCCACTCCCTGAGGGGGGTGTATACTACGGATTCATCATGGACGAAACTTATGTTTTTCTCCTCACTGGCACCATCAAGAAGGAAATGCATCCCAACCTATCCTTTCATGATGGACAAGCACTCCTTCATGACGGAGCAGGATATGCCTTCTGTACCATGTGGTACAAACCAAACATCACTCCTGAACCCTGCTATGAAGATGAACTCTATCATCTGGTCGAAGTAAAACTCACTGCACAAGACTTCTACTGTGATTCTGAAGGCAACAGTATGGTCTTGATTCATCTACCTCCGGAACTCAAGCATTTGTACCGTCATTGGGACACTGCCATTCCACATGTCCCTGTGACCAAGTTGAAAACAATATCATGGAATGATCTTGGGCCTATGGCAAAAGCATGGGCCACTATGGACGAATCACAGCTACAGGAAAATGGTGTTGTCAAATATCCAACAACTGACCACCTAAAAGCATGGCCACGTCATTTCCTGGAAAATGAGTTCCAAGATTTAACCATAGTGAATGACTACGACCCATATACACCTCATGACTGTTTTGAACAGATGAAAATGGAAACAACACATCTACCAACTGTGCATGAAGACCCATTGGTAGATCCCGATCTCACCCTGTTTGTGGACGGCACAAGATATGCTGATGAAGAAGGAAGATACCATACAGGATATGCCGTAACCACAACAGATGAAATTGTCAAATCATCATCTTTACCATCAACTATGTCTGCACAAGAAGCTGAATTGCAAGCCCTGACTTCAGCATGCAAGATCTCTGAAGGAAAGCGCGCCAATATCTACACGGATTCAAGATATGCACTGGGCGTGGCTCACGACTTCGGATTAATTTGGAAAACAAGAGGATTTCTTACCACTGCCGGTACACCAGTCAAGCACAGTTCTGCGATCAAGGAGCTGATGGACGCCCTCCTACTCCCAGAAGAAGTGGCTATTTTGAAGATAAAAGCACATGGGAAGTTGGACTCAGATGAAGCAAAGGGCAACCATCTAGCTGATCAGGCTGCAAAACAAGCTGCAAAAGAACCACAGGAAGTGGAAAGAAGAGTGTCCGGAAATGAAGAAACTCCCATATTTACTCTGCAGACTCTTCCAACTGACCTGAAAATCCTGCGGGAACAACAGGCTACAGTTGCCCCTGAAGAAATACAGAAGTGGAAACAGAAAGGGGCAGTTCTGAAGGATGGAGTGTACTCCAACAACCTCAATTTCTGCCTCCCTAAGAATTTGTACCCAGCAGTCGTACAATGGGCACACGGACCTGCACATTTATCAAAGGATCTAATGAATGCTCTTGTACAAAAATACTACCTCATTGTCCCCATATGAGATTCTATTTGGGACTGCACCTAGGCTAGGTTGCTATTTTCCCCAACAACTACAACTTCAAACTGATGTCTTAGTAGATTATGTAACTGAACTCGCAAATGCTTTGAACAAAATCCATGCCCAAGTTTTCTCTTCAATTCCAGATCCTGATTCTGACACAGGCAACCACAGTCTGCTCCCCGGTGACTGGGTTCTGGTCAAGAAATTTGTGCGAAAACACACCCTGGAAGCAAGATTTGACGGACCGTTCCAAGTTCTCCTGATCTCCCCTTCCTCTGTCAAATTGGCCGGAAGGCCTAACTGGATCCACGCTTCCCATTGCAAGAAGACACCTGCCCCAGAGGAAGCTAACTCTATGCAACCATGTGCCTCTGGTACATTATCTCCTTAGTTGGCCTCCTTAAAGCCCAGCAGGTGGCCATCACCAAAGATGCTAGTGGGTACACTTTCTGGTATAATTCATCATGTACCCATGTGGCTACATTCACTTTTGATTACTGTGATATTGTAGAATGCCCATTCCCTAAGTCACAGATTCAAGCCATTTATAAAGATATCCCACAAGCAAAAGACCCTTACGTTTGTGTAGTAGATGAACAATGGGGTTATGACTGTAACTACTGGGGGGCTGCGGGATGGAATACTGGGCCTGCCTGGGGTTATAAACCCAAAAGTGCTTTATCTAAGATAGACAATCAGGGTAGATCCCTCCTTCAAAGAATGACTTTAAGAAAGCCTGGAGGAAGTACCCCTATGAAATTAATGTTAAATATTGAACATCCTGGCCCCGAGGATGCAGACCGATATGTAATGGGAATGTATTGGAAGAAAGGTTCCTACAACAAATTAGGTCATTTCTACCTCAGAGATATGTACCACTCTCCAGAGTGGCAAGGGGCTGATAATATGGTCCCAAATCCGCTAAAACCACATATCCAGTCCTTTATGATGGCCATCGCTAACCCCACTTTTGAAGATACCATGGCCGCTGAAACTGGATTCAATGACATTAATTTGTGGTTAGAATGGATGAGGTATAATGCCAACAAACATAATAAAACAGCATGTTATGTATGTGGCGGTGCCCGACCCCACCTTGGCACCGTCCCCCTAATTCTCCATTTAGAGATAGAAGATTGCTTCTTAAGCCTTTTTGCCTACCAATATGACTTTAATAGGTCCCTCTGCATGGCATGGACGGCAGAGTACCCTCTCTTAGTTGAAAATGTTAAGCCACCAGATGGAATCACAGTCTATAGAGGTAATTACACTTGTTATGCCATGTATGACGGGATTGGTAAATTCATGGGTAACTTTTCTAAAGGTTATTGCGCCACTTACAGAACTGTTCCTATACGCCTGTTGCAACACCATACCAGGTCATTGGGGGATATTTACTGGTTATGTGGGGATCTACAGTTAAGATCTAGGCTGGAAACTGAGTGGTGGGGTGAGTGTACCCTGGCCAAAGTTATCATGCCCATTCATATTATTTCTGATAATCATCATGACACATACGACCCTCCACATACACCAGCCAGAGTGAGGTGCGAAACCCCAGTAAAAGGCAGTTTTGACCCCCACATTTACATAGATGCCATTGGGGTACCTAGGGGGGTACCTAATGAATTTAAAGCTAGAGATGAAGTAGCTGCAGGTTTTGAATCACTGTTCACTATAGTCACTGCCAACAAAAACCTTAATTGGATTAACTACATTTATTACAACCAACAGCGTTTTGTCAACTACACCAGGGATGCCCTCCAGGGCCTGGCCGAGCAGTTGCAGGCCACATCCCAGATGACCTTCCAGAACAGAATGGCCTTAGACATGATTCTAGCTGAAAAGGGGGGTGTATGTAAAATACTACCTGATACCATGACTTGTTGCACTTATATCCCAGAAAACACAGGTCCTAATGGTAAAGTCACTCTGGCCATAGCTAAATTAAATAGACTCTCAGAAGAGTTAAAGAGAAACTCTGGAGTTACTGATCCCTGGGAAAAATGGTTTGGTTGGATGACTGGTTGGCAGAGAGCTTTAGTCCAGATTGGTATTGCCTTACTAATTTTTCTTTTTATTCTCGCTCTTCTCATTTGTTGTGTCCTCCCATGCCTAAGGAAATTCCTGCAGAAAACTGTAGACCAAGCAACACCAACCTTCACTCATCTGACAATCGATGATCAAGACCTCATCTCACCCTGTATTCCGCTACAAACTCTCCCTTATACTGATGAAGTGCAGAAAGTCTAGGAAGGGACAGTACAGGGACAGCGTCCGTCTTTATGGGTAGACTGCCGTACGGAGAAGTAGTGGATAAGCCACTATGGGTTACCAGCGGAGTGAAGAGTGTTCCTGAACCGTACTGACGGATGTGCTGCAGCCTGTTAGGGTCAAGAGAGGGATAGACTTGCACTTTGCATTAACACTAAGTCAGCGGTCATGGGGTTTCTGTGTCTTTGGGCTAACACATATTCTGATACTAACAAATAAAGTTTGTCTTTTAGCAAATAACATTTTAGGGGGGACTGTTGTAGAATTATTAGGCCTCTATAAATCTGTAAGGCCCCTTTAAATCCTCTTGCTATACCTCTAAGCGGCCCCCATAGTTTTATAAGAAAGCCTTGTCTATAGAACATAGAATTTGCATGCCAGCAAGAAATAGCTTTGATAAAATGTGTATTTACTAAAAGCCTTGAAACCTAACCTTGAGAAACTAACTAACTAAGTGCCAGCTACGCTCTAAATGGATAGCTGCCAAAAGGCCCCCCCCCGTCGAGTGAGCTCCTCATGTTAGCAAAATGGCGCTAAAACCTGGAGGAGTTAAGAAATGACGTGGATAGTGACCTAAGAATGGGGAGGGCATTTTACTAACATCTTAGCATCTAAGCCAATTAACAATGTCTATTTGTCTATATCTTGATTTTCTTCAATGATGTAATAATGCCTTTAAAAGGGTCTGCGCACCCATTTTCTGTCAGAAGCCATTAAACTTCTCTGAAGTTCTTTCATTACCCTGAACTTTGTGTCTCAGTGTGAATTTACTTCTGCGTGCACGCAACTTTATTATCTTTAATTTGGACAGGAACAGATAGTCATTCAAACTAATTGGTTTGCAGTAAATTATCTACTACAGGAGCAACCCTTTATTAAGATGCTGTGAGAATTAGGATACTAGTGAATAAATTCTTCCTCTCTCTCATCTCACCTGCAAATGGATTATCTCCTCCAAAGAACTCTTTGAATGTTTTTTCTGCGTCCCCATGGTAAACGTATCCGGTGATCCATGCTTCTTCACCACCAAATCCAGGGGGGATTCCACCTTTCAGACCTTCTTCTCCAAACTTATCATACGTTGCTTTTTTCCTGACTGATTAAAAAAAACACATAAATATTGCCAGGACAAACCAATCAACTGAGTACCAAGGAGCGTTATAAAATATACTGTGGTGGGCAGAATCCCTTGAGCAAAACCTATGAGAGGAGGATTCTAGTAAATTCTGTTTTAGGAGGTTTATCCACTAAACTATGGGATGCAGAGAACCAAAAATAGACTATAGCTAAGCTGAAGAATGTTTTCAAACCAAGTACCGTGGACTACACTTTGCAATTAAATTTTATATTCACAAGTCAGAGTTTAGTGAATATAAAATGGAATTGCTAAGTGTAGTCCAGGGATATTCATAACATCTGAATGCAGTCTAAATTTGCAATCTGCATGTGTATTAAATAAAAAGTCAAATATTCAAATAGCAAAATAAATTCACCTGCTTTTTGCAGAAATCCAATATGTGTAAATTGTGTCAATTCAATTATCGTTAATTATTATAGATATATTTTTAATCTGGACCAGAAGAATTCACGTGTTACTGAAAGAAAATCCCATAGAGTGCAATGGCATGCAGAAAAACATTTCTATTTAACGCGTAGGCTTTAAAGTACATTTTATAATTATTACTGGTATTTATTAAGAATGTCTTAAGGAACTTTAAAGAAAAAATAAATAAAAAAAATGATCTAGGCAACATTTCAACCTAACTTGTCCTTTATCAAACCTAGCAAACAGTTAGACTGAGGGGCATATATTTCTGGAGCCATAACTGGATAAGGCGTGGAGTAACACCATAACAAATAGTGATTGACATAAATACATAACCACATATTGATCAATAAATGCTTGTCATTTAAAGTGAACACAGTTAATAAAGTGCAGAGTGCCCAAAACAATGTGCATATAAGTGTAAAAATAAATTGCATCATATATTGCTGGAGAGAACAAAGTGCAGAATAATTATACATATATCATCTACCACCTATCTTAAAACATTCTACATTGGAAATATATAATATAATACACAATGTAATACTATTCACATTGATTTTTCCCCCCCAAGAATGTTTAGGACACCATAGAGAAAGGTAGTACAGATTCACGATGATGCAGGGAACATGGTCAAATCACACAATATGTCCCATCACATAGTATACAGCATTGTGGTACAGTGTCAAGACATTATGGAAAGGACTAAGCTATGTGATAGTTCGGACGAATCTCACATCTGTGTCACTGCATTAACAGAACCAGAGAAAAGGTGTAGAAAGAGTTCTATTTTCACATTTAATTTTAAGAGTGCATAAATAACATCAGAGAAAATTCTTTATTATTATTTTTATTATTATCTATATTGTCACAGGATGTCCCTTTTTCATTTGTGCAGCATGTAGTAATGTTATTAAAGGGACACCCCAGATCCCTAAAGCACTTTAGCTTGCTGAAGTGCTTTATGTGTGAAAAGTGTGGCTTCCTTTCCTCATTTTCTAAAAAAGTGCAGATTTCGATAGAAACCTTGTTACACCCCCATGGCTCTCAATCAGACACCCGGTCCTGTTATTTCCTGGTTTGTTTAGCTCAGTTGAGCTAAACTTAAGAGGCAGCAATTACTCCGAGCACCTGACATGCAAAGACTTCTCATTGAGCTGCATTGGGAAGTTTGTGATTGGACAGCCACAGAAGGTCTGGGCTAAGTTAGAAGGAGGGACTGCAACTTTTGCAAACTGTTTTTAATTACAAAACTAAATGCATGCATGCTTTAATTGGGGTTATATATATTAACACTAAACTGGGATTTATTTATTATTTTAATTTGGGCACCAAATCTAGGGATCTAAATTTGGGATATCCCCTTAATGTTAGGAAGTGTGAGATTAAGGGACAGTTTATATTTAACACTTCCCACGTTATTTATATGTTGATAGAATAATGTCCTATTGGCATCATTTATATATCACCCCCTAGAAAAACAGTCAAAGAGTGTTTTAAACTAAAGTTTAAATGCCCCTGTGGAGAAATCTACATAGGTAAGACTAACAAAAATTAAGGACAGGGTTTCTAGCCACAAATCTACAAATCCAGTACGATTAGGGGTTATGATCTATGTCTCTTCCTCTAATGTCCCTTTTCTTTATATGTTTCAGGGGTCGTGTTGCAATTGATGTAACTAATGGCCTCACTCAAGAGCAGAGCATTATTGGATATATTTCGCTGCTATTGTTTCTTGTAGAAGGTTGTATGGTTTGCATGTTGTCATTTGCATCTTTGCAGTAATATCCACATGAATGTGTCAAAGTAACATCCACGTGTATGCCAGGATCCAACGTTTCCAGCAGAACACTGCCCAGAGCCTTCTTCCCATAGTGCATCCTGCTGCCATCTCTTGCCCAGGTAAATGATGCAGATGCACCCGGCCATCCACCTGATCTAAGAGAAAACGTGATTCATCAGACCAGGCAACATTCTTCCATTGCACCATGGTCCAGCACTCACGCTCACGTCCCCATTGAAGGCAGTGGACAGGGATCATCATGGGCATTCTGACGGCTATGCCGCCTCATACGCAGCAAATTGAGATGCACTGTGTGTTCTGACACCTTTCTATCATGGCCACCATTAAGTTTTTCAGCAATTTGAGCTACAGTAGCTCTTCTATGTGATGGGACCAGAAGGGCTAACCTTTGCTCTCCATGTGCATCAATGAGCCTTGAGCACCCATGACCCTGATGACGGTTCACTGGTTGACCTATCTTGCACCACTTTTGGTAGGTACTAACCACTGCATACTGGTAACAGTCCACGAGACTCGCCATTTTGAAGATGCTCTGACCCAGTTGTTGAGCCATCATTATTTGGCCCTTGTCAAAGCCACTCAGATCTTTTCACGTGCCCATTTTTCCTGCTTCCAGCACATGAAATTCAAGAACTGACTGTTTGCCTAATATATCGCACCCCTTGGCAAGTGCCATTTAACGATATAACCATTTGAGCAGGGTCCTCATCTGCCTATTGTTCCTGTATCATTTTGTAAATGTCTCATTTATTGCTAAATCTCCCCCCCCCCCATTTAGAATATTGTAAAGCCCTGCGGAATAAGCTGGCGCTATATAAATACCAATAATAATAATAATAATAATAATAATACTAAATTTTATTCACTTCACCAGTCATTTGTTTTAATGTTGTGGTGTTGTGGTTGATCAGTGTATATATATATATGCTCTAGGTCTAGGTCTACACTGTAAGCTCACGGGACATTTAGCCAAGTACTTCAGTGGCTAGATCTAAGCTCAAGGGCAAGGCCCTATTCACACTGATATATATATATGGATTATATATATATATTGTTTTATACACTTATATGCACTTTTTTGGCACTATGCACTTTATTAACCGTGTTTACTTTAAATTACAATCATTTATTGATCAGTGGAGGGTTAACTTGTATTTATGTAAATCACAATTTCTTAGTATCTTACTCCACCCCTTATCCGATTATTTCTCTCTCTCTCTCTCTCTCTCTCTCTATATATGCGCACTTCGGTCTAGCTGTTCAATAGGTTTGGTAAAGGCGAGGTCCGGCTGAAACGTTGCCTATTATCTTGGTACCACAATAAAGTATGACTTTGAGGATTGTGCTGAATCTTTTATTTTGTTTCTTGAGCCGTGGTCCCTGCACTCCTTTATGGTATTACATAATTTTGATAACAGAATCCTAACCGCCCCCATATTTATTTATTGAGATGATGAGGGGTGTCTAGTGTCCCGCTTACTCTGTCAGAATGTTAATGTAATTCCTATAAAATAACATATTATTACTTACGGTCACTCAGCACATCATAGGCCTCGGCAATCTGCCTAAATCGGTGCGGTGCTGATGGTTCTTTATTTTTTAGTGGATGGTACTTCAGCGCTAATTTCCGGTATCTGAAAATACACCAAATGTATCACCGTGTAAATAAATGTCCGTTTCAAAAAAGTGTCACTAACAATTTAAAAAGTGCACATTTTCATCATTGGTTTACTCACGAATCTGGGATTTGCCAAGTTTAGGCAATAATAGGTGACTGAAACAAATGGCTACTGACACAATGCTTTCCTTGCCAGTTCACCAGTTGAGTGACTATCATGCAAATTAATTACAGTGGCTCAATAATGGATAATGATATGCTTTCTTTTGATGTATTTCACGAAGGAAGCGATGCTTAACATTTGGCACTCCGGCTGTGGTGGACTTTGAAATGCTTATGTAATCCTATAAAGAACTGGAAGTAAAATATCAATCCACGTCAAGACATACATGTGCGAGGCTGGATTTGGTGTGTATAAACACTGAAACATAACCTGCATGTGGCAACATTACACTGTCTGTGTGTATCTTACTGGGGTTGGCTTATAGGAATTATGGAGAATGGAGGTATAGTGAGGTGAGGAGAGAGGTTAAAGGACCACCCAGATCACCTCAATGAAGTGGTCCGAGTGCAGTGGTCCTGTAGGCTTAACCCTGTAATGTAAAACACGTTATTTTTGGAGAAACACTAATGTTTGCATTGCAGGGTTAAACACGCCTCCAGTGACTATCTTCCTGAAAGCCATTAGAGGCACTTCCTACTGCAGCCACTGCGTTACTGCCTCCTCAATAATGCCGCAGGAGGAGAGGTAAGCGGCACCAAGTGGCAAGGTAAGTAAAAAGCTTTAAAACAAATTTTTTTGCTGCGGATATCTGTCTAGATAGGGACAGAAACACTAAAGTGTTAGGATCATAGGTTTGTATTTCTAATGTTTTAGTTCTCATTTAATGGAACACTATACTCACTATAACAACTTAATCAATTGAGGTTGTTACAGTGCCTATAGTCGCTAACCCCATGCTCTGCTCTCCAAAGCCACCCCTTCAAGCCCTGTGAATAGGAGAGCAGGAAATGTTACTTATATCCAGACAGAATGTGAAATCAATCAAAGGGGCGCATGTGGCAATGCTGGAGAAAAGGTGACGAAATTTACCTTTATTATTTTCCAGTGCACACAAGTGGGAATAGATAGAGACCGTGATACTATAGCAATTCTGCATCGGTATACAGAATTCTATTCCAAATGCTAAAATGCTCCTTTAAATTAACACAATAAAAAAAGAAATGAAAAATAGATCTACCTTCAAAGAAAATACGTATATTATTTGTTTTGCATATTCTCCTTGGTGGCACATGAAATCTTGACCTGCAATAGCTGCAGATATAGTATCTGCAGCTACTGCTTGGCCTCCTTCTTCCACAGCAGAGACTTTCTTCAGCTGTCCAATCACAGACTTCTCAATGAACAGTATTATAGCACACTGAGAAGTCTTTGCAAGGCTGGTGCCACAAGCAATTGTTTGACTCCAGAGTTTAGCTCCATTGAATGGCTGTCCGATAAGGTAAAACAAGGTTCATTTATAAAATACTGATTTCTAAGGAAATCTACGTATAATACGCAAACCTATGGCACGCGTGCCAAGCCCTCTCTGAGGGCATGCGGCCATAGGTCACCCATAGGGTGCCCAGCGGTGTATTCACCACGAGGCTAACAAGGCATTTGTCTTGTTGGCCTCACTGGTCTAGACTGTAAGCTCACCGGATATTAAGCCAAGTACTTTGCATAAAAGTGGCTAGATCTAAGCTCAGGGCCCTATTTACATTGTTTTATTGTTCTGTGTATATTGTATTGTCTTTTTCCCCAACTGTACAACGCTGTGGGGGTGGCGCTTTACAAATGTCAGTAATAATAATAACATTAATAATACATTATCTTTTAGTTGTACTAATTAAGGACCCTATTCCCTAATTTTCACCAATGATTGCATTTTTTATATTATCAAACTATTTATATGTTAATGGTATTAATGAGAACACATTACAGGTTACTTTTTTGTGAGCAGTCTAACGAAAGGCTAAAATCTTACATTTAGGTTATATGAGTAATTCTGTGACATAGAATTAATTTCTAGAGTACCTGATGAAAGGGTTTAATTTACCGAGCCAGGCCATGTAATGTGCAATATTGGGTTCAAATAATATAACGATTAAAATAAACCAGGTGCCGTGAATTACATGTGATACTGTTGCAGCCCTGATAATTTTGTACAATACATGGTCTGGCCCAGTAACAGTCAGATCCCGAAACAATTAAACCCTTTCGCCAGATCTTCTAGAGATTGAGTCTATGTCCCAGTGAACCTAAATGTAAGATGTTATCCTTACATGATGTCCTTATACGGATATGCATAGCTCACAAAATAAAGCAACTTCTGCTGTGTTCGGATTAATCCCTTTAAAATATAAATAGTTGGACAATATCAAAAACGCAATCATTGGGGAGACTTAACGCTAGGGTCATTTAATTTTGCAGTTTACAATAGAGGGTTTCTTTGAATAGCGCTGTCTCTAAGGGCGGCATGACATGCTTTATTTTTATACTAGAATTTATTAAAGATTTTTTACATAATTAAAATATCAATAAGAAGAGCCCCCCCTCCACCCATGATGCCCTGGCATGGAGCCCAGGGGGTGCAGGGCATGGCTTCCAAACCCAATATTACAAAGATCATATCTGTTATGACTCCCACTCTCATGATGCTCAGCCAGCCAGGGTTAGAGACCCTGGCTGCATGGTGGATGGGGTTATTGGAAGCCTTGGGGTGCTCACCTTGGCCCCAGGATATATTTTTTTTGGGGGGGGGGTGTCCCTGCCCTCCTTGACAGGGATCCCCGATACTTACGCCTTTTTAATGTCGGGGTCCCCCGCACTGCGAGTGATTTCCAGCACCGAGTAGTAATCCTGACCCATGGCTGCCTCCTGCCCGGCCCTGTATACACTCTGCGTTGCTATGGACACGGCGCGCGCGGCATCACGGGAGCTGGAGTCCGCTCAGCCACGGGCGCGGCCAGGTTACCATGGGGACAGGCACCAAGCGCACTACACGGACCAGCATGCACCGCGGGCCCCCATGGTTGTGTTTAACTGACTCTTCTCCAAAGCTGGAAAAATGATTACTGTATAAAATAATAATAAACTGGCTTGTTTATATATATATATATGTAACTGGAAACTGTCTGAGAATGGGAAATACCACACACTATTAGAATTACAGAAATGACAATAATAATAATAATAATAGTTATTATTATTATTATTGGTATTTATATGGCACCAACATATTCCGCAGCGCTTCACAATATTATGTTATAAAGGGAGCAATTTAACAATAAATAAGACAATTACAAAATGTCACGGGAACAATAGGTTGATGAGGACCCTGATCAAATGAGCTTACAATCTAGGGGAGGTGGGGTATCAAAACACAGCAAGAATGGCATAGACGGGGATAGCAATTAAACGACAAGGTGGGAAAGTGGCCCTTTAAGACAGTGGAGTGTGGCCCTTTAAGAAAGTAAGTTGCTCTGGAGGACGTAGGTCTCCCATAACTTACAAATAAATAAATAAAAAGTATAGCTTTTCGATGAGACTTACAAAGCAGAGTAAGTATTTAGAGGATAGAACAGCAATTGTATCATGCAGAAAATGTGACAAAAATAAATATAAATAGTCTATATTTCCTGCTTTCAGGTCTGTGTAAATAACGTGAAAATGTGTGAAGTACAATAATTATATCATATGTACAGCACAGTACATTAAAAGCCGCCATTACAGGAATTTCTGCTTAAACCCCATTATCTTGCTTTAGGGTTTTTTCCTAAAATGATTTTGTGAGAGTCTCTGACCCCAGTTTGAGCAGTGTTACAATCTTGGATTTAACTTTAGAGATCTTGGTTTTGAACATTCTCCGATTAGCCCTTTTTGTGATCTTTACATGTAAGCTATTTAGCAGCCCTGAATTTTAGATGCACTTTGATTAGTTAGCGTTAGTGTGATTCCCAATTCTTCTATTCTATTTTACAATATTGTGTTTTTACTCAGCGTGGATTATTGCCTACCCAGCATGGATTATTGCCTGTATTGCCTATAAGAGCATTTGGGGCCTTCATTGCACGAATACCAGGGTGGAGATTCCACTAACCCTGATGGAGGAGTATCCACATCAAGCACTTAGGTCTGAGTCAGACAATATACAGTATCCCACAAAAGTGAGTACACCCTTCAGATTTTTGTAAATATTTTATTATATCTTTTCATGTGACAACACTGAAGAAATGACGCTCTGCTACAATGTAAAGTAGTAAGTGTACACCACATAGTTGCCAACTGTGACAGGTAGGCTTGAAATACTCAGGCAGGCTCAGTCTATGCAGGATCTCCCCTGCCGGTCTATGCAGGTCCGGCACTATCCGAGAGTCGGCCCTGCTGCATTCCATGACGGGCCGGTGGGGAGATCAAAGATCTCACAGCACCCTCACTCACACATACACACTGCACCCCCTGACACTCACAGCACCCCTGACACTAACAGCGGTCAGTCAGTGCTCCCTGTATAGTGCTGCTCTCTGTAAAGTAAAGGTCTGTGTGTATAATATCCTGAGACAGTCAGTGCTCCCTGTATAGTGCTGCTCTCTGTACAATACAGGTCTGTTAGTGTATAATATCCCAGCATAGTCAGTGCTCCCTGTATAGTGCTGCTCTCTGTATAGTACAGGTCTGTGTCTGTATAATATCCTGTGACAGTCAGTGTTCCCTGTATAGTGCTGCTCTCTGTAAAGTAAAGGTCTGTGTGTATAATATCCTGAGACAGTCAGTGCTCCCTGTATAGTGCTGCTCTCTGTACAATACAGGTCTGTTAGTGTATAATATCCCAGCATAGTCAGTGCTCCCTGTATAGTGCTGCTCTCTGTATAGTACAGGTCTGTGTCTGTATAATATCCTGTGACAGTCAGTGTATAATACGATAAGACTCCTGGAACTAAAAGATTGAGAAGCAGTGGAGTGGTGACTGAAGCTTCGATCTCAGACATTTAACATGTTGAATTGGGGGGTATGTAAAGGGGCTAATGGAATATGTGCATATGTTTTCCTTTTGCTCCCATTTCTCTCAATAATTCCATTCTGTAAATTCTGCTTCTATATCTTTCATTTCCTATTTTTAGCTTTTTTTACTATATTCACTCCCCAATATAATTATTTTTGTGAACTAATGTATGTTCTATGGTGTAGACACAGCTCTCTGACTGTAGCACTGACAGTGTCACTACTGATACCAACTCACGTTAAAGTGATAAAATGTACCTGCCTGATATAGATGCTGTGCTGTGAATGTGTCTATCGCATACCAAGGATGCATGGTACTGTTGGTGGGAACTTGGTGTTATAAAGGTCAATAAAGAGAGAGTTGCAGGGAATTGAGATGGGAATTTCAAACTTTAGGCAGAAGCAATGCAGCTGAATTGGAAAATTTTTCTAGCTCGGCTACTTTGACCTTAAGTTTAAAATAACTATCTCAATTCCCTGTAATTCTCTCCTTATTAAGTAGATCCTGTAATCAGCATGATAAGTAGGCGGAGATTAATTATGTGGGTTGGACATCATGGTCGGAGCTTTGCGGCAGTGGGTGGGGTAAATTTTCAAGGTAGTAATTGATAGCTGTGCTGCAAAGTGTCCCTGGAAATGTTTTTCAAATGTTGGCAACTATGTAACAGCCTATATAACAGTGTAAATATGCTGTCCCCTCAAATTAACTCAACACACAGCCATTATAGTCAAACCTGTTGGCAAAACATGTGAGATGAAATATCCAAATTGTTCCTAATTAGCCATTTTCCCTCCCTGGTGTCATGTGACTCGTTAGTGCTACAAGTTCTCAGGTGTGAATGGGGAGCAGATGTGTTAAATTTGGTTTTATCGCTCTCAAACTCTCTCATACTAATTACTGGAAGTTCAACATGGCATCTAATGGCAAAGAACTCTGAGGATCTGAAAAAAATAATTGTTGCTCTACATAAAGATGGCCTAGGCTAAAAGAAGATTGCCAAGACCCTGAAACTGAGCTGCTGCACGGTGGGCAAGACCATACAGCGGTTTTACAGGACAAGTTGAGTGCACGTGCTCAGCATCATATCCAGAGGTTGTCTTTGGGAAATAGACGTTTGAGTGCTGCCAGCATTGCTGTAGAGGTTGAAGGGGTGGGCATTCAGCCTGTCGGTGCTCAGATAATACGCCGCATACTGCATCAAATTGGTCTGCGTGGCTGTCGTCCCAGAAGGAAGACTCTTCTAAAGATGATGCACAAGAAAGCCTGCAAACAGTTTTCTGAAGACAAGCAGACTAAGGCCATGGATTACTGTGGTCCGATGAAACCAAGATAAACTTATTTGGTTCAGATGGTGTCAAGTGTGTGTGGAGGCAACGAGGTGAGGAGTACAAAGACAAGTGTGTCATGCCTAAAGTCAAGCATGGTGGTGGGAGTGCCTGAATGAGTGCTGCCGGCACTGGGGAGCTACAGTTCATTGAGGGAACCATGAATGCAAACATGTACCGTGACATACTGAAGCAGAGCATTATCCCTTCTCTTCTGAGACTTGGCCGCAGGGCAGTATTCCAACATGATAATGACCCCAAACACACCTCCAAGGCGACCACTGCCTTGCTAAAGAAGCTGAAGGTAAAGGTGATGGATTGGCCAAGCATGTCTCCAGACCTAAACACTATTGAGCATCTGTGGGGCATCCTCAAACAGAAGGTGGGGGAGTGCAAGGTCTCTAACATCCACCAGCTCCTTGATGTCGTCATGTAGGAGTGGAAGAGGACTCCAGTGGCAACCTGTGAAGCTCTGGTTAACTCCATGCCCATGAGAGTTAAGGCAGTGCTGGAAAATAATGGTGGCCACACAAAATATTGACACGTTTGGCCCAATGTGGACATTTCCACTTGGGGTGAACTCACTTTTGTTGCCAACGGTTTAGACATTAATGGCTGTGTGTTGAGTTATTTTGACGGGACAGCAAATGTACACGGTTATACAGGCTGAACACTTACTTCAGTGTTTTCACATGAAAAGATATAATAAAATATTTACAAAAATGTGAGGGGTGTACTCACTTTTGTGAGATACTGTATATACTGTCTTTTTAACCTTGATATACTACACCATGTATTTTTAATTTGTGTTTAATTCAGCTTTGTATGATATAAGTATTCATGTTATTAGTATCTATATGTGCATCTCTAATTAGTAACACCTACACTATTTTGATAATTGTCCACTGAATTGTGAATTAATGCCTAGACTAGAGAATTGCAAATGTAAGATGAAGCAGTGAATAAGAGAATCTCTGAATGTTTGCTATTCTTGCAACATTTTTTTTTTTCCGAATAGCCACATATGTGATATCTCTGCACAGTCAGAAATCTCCCTGTTACATGATAACAATCCAACACACTGTAATTTAATCATCAGTGTTTGGCCAGTAGGGAGGTGAGTTAAAATCTCAACATTGTCAATTGAATATATAATTTATCTCTATGGTAAATTCTTGGTCTTTGTGGGATTTCTGTTTAAGTGGCACCATCACCATTTGGAGACTGTGCAAAGACTCCTGACGGTGACATCGCCCCTAAGGGTACCGTGGCCAGAGGCAGGTAAACATAAGATTTACTTATCTATCCTGTACCTCGCAGGCGTGGCCATCTTCAGCACTAGAGGCTTACGCCACTACTGTACTCTCACGCATGCGCAAGAGTACAGCACTAAGGACTTCGGAGGATCCCGCAAGATCCTCAACAGACAGAGCCAATTCCCTGCAGCCGTCACTGGTGCCGGCTTTCGGGATTGACACTGTAGCTCTGCCTAAAGTCTAAGAAAGTCAGGCAGAGAAAATATACTGAGACAAACTAGTCCCTACTTTGTCCTAATTTGTCTGTGTATATCTCTTGACAGGTTAGAATTTCAGTGAAATTCCATTTTCATGAAATACTACATTTTCAGGGAATGCCACTTTAAAGTGAAGTTGTCATGATGGGTTCACTTAAAAATGTGGCTAGTCTAGTGAATTTAACCCAAGAGCTGATACCAAATAAAAATAGAAAGATACTGTAATGACGTTGTTATTTTATCAGTAAAACACCCATTACAGTGTTGCTCAAGCGAAGCTTGTTAGTTAGAACTCCTGGGTTTCAACGCAAAATGTTTTAATGGAGATAATTATTAGTAAGACAATAATACAGTCAACATAATAAATAGAACACAATGTACAATTTCCACATATTAAAAACAGAATTGTCTCTTTATTTGTGGCTTTTTTGATGTTTAATGAGATGGGGTATCTGGGCAAAGCATTTTCCGCATTCAGAGCATATGTAAGGTCTTTCACCTGTGTGGATTCTCTGATGTGTCAGGAGGTTAGAGCACTGCGTAAAGGACTTTCCACAATGCGAGCACACAAATGGCTTCTCTCCTGTGTGAATGCGCTGGTGTATAACCAAATTTGAGTTTTTGCTGAAACATTTTCCGCAGTCCGAACATGCATACGGCTTCTGGCCAGTGTGACTTCGCTGATGCACAACAAGATTTGAATTCTGGCTGAAGCACTTGCCGCAATCAGAGCACGCAAACGTCCCGGTGTGAATTCTCTGATGTTTAACAAGGGTTGATTTGTGCGTAAAACATTTGCCGCAATCCGAGCAGGAAAATGGTTTTTCTCTGGTGTGAAATCTAAGGTGTACGAGAAGATTGGCGCTCTGAGTATAGGATTTTCCACATTCGAAGCAGACGAACAGTTTCTTTCCCGTGTGGACTGTCTGATGGTCGAGCAGATCTGAATGGTCATTGAAAGTTTCTTGACACTCGGTACATGCGTAGATCAACTCTGTGCAGTGTGTCCCTTGGTGATAGATAAGATCTAGCTCATTTTGGAAGCTTTTTTCACACTCTCTACATTTATACATTGTTACCGACAAACTCTCGGGATTTTTCTGCATATCTGAGTTTTCTTTGCTACATAAATCAGTAGCTAGGGGTGAATTTGCGGTCCATACAGATTCTTTGGCAAAGTCTGTGAGATTTAAATCTTTTTCGAGGATATTCACAGGGTTACTCATCGTGTCGCTGGACAATTGGTCACTTATACTGTCTGATTCTGAAAGATTCTGGGTAATGTCATGATCACTCACTCCACATTCTGGAGCAGAAAGACAAAGATCGTTTTGTTCTGGATGGGATTCCCAGGTAATGGACAAGCCTGTTCGGTAAAAAATAATTTTATAATTAAATGTCTATAAAAAGATAAATAATATTCAGGAAATTAGTCATGAACACCTCCCACCATCTTGTACACATGAACCAGGAAATCAATGATATGATGCACACACACATATATTGATTAGATATCACCTTAAAACCCCCTGGTGCTGCCAAAACAGCTCTGATGCGTCGAGACATGGACTCCACAAGACCTTTGTTTTTGGTGAGATAACAATCCCTGAATATTCATTTTTGTTTCAGAATGTCATATTTGCTTTGGAATCTTTCCCTCAGCATTTGTGTGTATGAATTTATTTCCTAATTTACTTTAACACCCTTTGCAAACATTCTATTTAAACTGAGAATGGGTTACTGTTAACGACTAATTCTGACTTGTTTTATTTTAAATTTACGTTGAATTGTGGCCGGGCTACAATCCAACAAAAATGAATAAAAATGGTAAAATAAATTTAAAAAAAATCTTAACAGAGTGTTTCCATCTTACCTGTGCTGATTTCCGTAGAGTCTTCTTCTTGCTTACACCGTAGCGGAAATATCTCATCTTCCCGCTCCATCTGTAAAAGAAGGTCACATTCTGTTAGACTTTATGTGTCTCCAGTAATACTTACTGTTAGAAGCTGCTGTCTTTCAAAAAATGGTATTAATGCTGCTATTAAAAAAATAAAGGAAAATTAACATGAAATTTCTCCAATGGACCAACAGTCCTCTTCACATGAACTATTTTAGCGGGCTCTTCTTAACCAGTAACTTATAAAGAGGCAAAATTGTGTATGATGGGATAAACCTGCTAAAATAATGCTTTTTAAGAATGAGATTTGGTACCTGATAATCTGATGTAATCTTGTTATCTTCCAGTATGTCATCTGATGAATAATGAGGGCTGTGATTGTTCTCTGTCTTATATCTGCTGCTAGATACCTCTGTGAGGAACCAACACAATATGAGCAACAGTATTACATAACAGATTTAAATGTGCTATGGAAAAACATAACCTGCAGTTCGATGCACTTACTTTCATGTTATGACTTTTTTGATAATCTTCTATATTTTCTACATTGTGATTATGCTTTTCTCTGTTGCCTCCCCCCTTTCCCTGCCTGTGCTGCCATTTTCATTGATCTTGGGTTCGAAACAGCGGTTATCCGATCCTAGATCACTCTTTGCTGCCACGCTTCTTTGTGTTCACACAGTGATGACGTTACTTGTTTCCCATGGAGAAGCCAGCCCCAGCACTTTTCACAGAAGTCTTCACTTAAAGGGATTCTATAGTGCCCTCTGACCCCCAGTACTTTCGGCCCTTCCCTTGTGGCAGATAAATAGTGCTTCACCTCCTCCGATGTCACCTAAGAGGGAACCAATGCACATGAGAGGTGAGCGCATTAAGCCTTCCCCATAGGAATGCACTGAATCAATGCTTTCCTATAGGGATTTCACTTATGCTGGACGACATCATGCAGATTGTAAGGACGTGCAGTGTCGCAAAGATCCAGAGTCTGGTACACTTGCGGAAGTGCCTCTAGTGGCTGTCTTAGTACTGCAATGTACGCATGGCTGTTTCTTAAAAACTGTAATGTTTTACAACGCAGGACTAAAGGGGACATGGACAGTGCACCCAGACACTTCAATGAGATTTAGTGGTGTGGGTGCCTATAGTGTCCCTTTAATCTCAGGAAAGCTAAACAGCCACAAGTACTGTGGTGTCAGCTGAGATGATAAGCAAAGGCACACTGTTTTGCATATATAACTCAAAATGGCAGCACAGGCAGAGGAAGGGTGAAAGTGTCAGAGAAAATGTGTAAAATTAATATTAAAAAATGCAATACGATAATTAATCTAAAAATGCAAAAAATGAAAGTGAGTACCTCAGAAGTGCTAAAAATAGTAATAGAAACAAATAGTGCTTGTTTGCCTGCAAATTAATTTATTGTAAAACTAATAAAAAAATAAACCAAACAAAATAAAAACCAATTAATAAAATTTCAGGTGACGTGACTTTAAGCTTACATTATATGTACAAGCCTCATTTCTCAACGACAATTAATTAATTGCTTAATCACTGAACTGGGAAATCTGTAGGGCTGATAAGAATTGAAATGTTTTCACCATAGTAGCTGAGCTAACACAAAGTGAACTTTTCCGATTCAGTTTCTTTGGCTTAACATGAAAAATTATGTTTTCAATTCTCCACAGTCCCCAGTTTAGCGAATAACTCTGGTAGTGCTGGTTTGGCCCTTTTGCTCGAGACATTGAGGAGACCAGCTGCTATTTTGGAGACGAAGGAGACTCCGCAGTGTGTTTAATATAAAGCATATCACTGAGCTTTAATGTAACGTGTTTAATATAAAGCATATCACCAAGCTTTAACGTAACGTGTTTAATATAAAGCATATCACCGAGCTTTAACGTAACGTGTTTAATATAAAGCATATCACCAAGCTTTAACGTAACGTGTTTAATATAAAGCATATCACTGAGCTTTAATGTAATGTGTGTTTAATATAAAGCATATCACCGAGCTTTAACGTAACGTGTGTTTAATATAAAGCATATCACCGAGCTTTAACGTAACGTGTTTAATATAAAGCATATCACTGATAAAGCATATCACTGAGCTTTAACGTAACGTGTTTAATATAAAGCATATCACCGAGCTTTAACGTAACGTGTTTAATATAAAGCATATCACTGAGCTTTAATGTAACGTGTTTAATATAAAGCATATCACTGAGCTTTAATGTAACGTGTTTAATATAAAGCATATCACTGAGCTTTAATGTAACGTGTTTAATATAAAGCATATCACTGAGCTTTAACGTAACGTGTTTAATATAAAGCATATCACTGAGCTTTAATGTAACGTGTTTAATATAAAGCATATCACTGAGCTTTAATGTAACGTGTTTAATATAAAGCATATCACTGAGCTTTAATGTAAAGCGTGTTTAATATAAATCATATCACTGAGCTTTAATGAAACGTGTTTAATATAAAGCATATCACTGAGCTTTAATGTAAAGTGTTTAATATAAAGCATATCACTGAGCTTTAATGTAACGTGTTTAATATAAAGCATATCACTGAGCTTTAATGTAAAGCGTGTTTAATATAAATCATATCACTGAGCTTTAATGTAACGTGTTTAATATAAAGCATATCACTGAGCTTTAATGTAAAGTGTGTTTAATATAAAGCATATCACTGAGCTTTAATGTAAAGTGTTTAATATAAAGCATATCACTGAGCTTTAATGTAACATGTTTAATATAAAGCATATCACTGAGCTTTAATGTAACGAGTTTAATATAAAGCATATCACTGAGCTTTAACGTAACGTGTTTAATATAAAGCATATCACTGAGCTTTAACGTAACGTGTTTAATATAAAGCATATCACTGAGCTTTAATGTAACGTGTGTTTAATATACAGCATATCACCGAGCTTTAACGTAACGTGTTTAATATAAATCATATCACTGAGCTTTAACGTAATGTGTTTAATATAAAGCATATCACTGAGCTTTAATGTAACGTGTTTAATATAAAGCATATCACTGAGCTTTAACGTAACGTGTTTAATATAAAGCATATCACTGAGCTTTAATGTAACGTGTTTAATATAAAGCATATCACTGAGCTTTAATGTAAAGCGTGTTTAATATAAATCATATCACTGAGCTTTAATGTAACGTGTTTAATATAAAGCATATCACTGAGCTTTAATGTAAAGTGTTTAATATAAAGCACATCACTGAGCTTTAATGTAACGTGTTTAATATAAAGCATATCACTGAGCTTTAATGTAAAGCGTGTTTAATATAAATCATATCACTGAGCTTTAATGTAACGTGTTTAATATAAAGCATATCACTGAGCTTTAATGTAAAGTGTGTTTAATATAAAGCATATCACTGAGCTTTAATGTAAAGTGTTTAATATAAAGCATATCACTGAGCTTTAATGTAACATGTTTAATATAAAGCATATCACTGAGCTTTAATGTAACGAGTTTAATATAAAGCATATCACTGAGCTTTAACGTAACGTGTTTAATATAAAGCATATCACTGAGCTTTAACGTAACGTGTTTAATATAAAGCATATCACTGAGCTTTAATGTAACGTGTGTTTAATATACAGCATATCACCGAGCTTTAACGTAACGTGTTTAATATAAATCATATCACTGAGCTTTAACGTAATGTGTTTAATATAAAGCATATCACTGAGCTTTAATGTAACGTGTTTAATATAAAGCATATCACTGAGCTTTAACGTAACGTGTTTAATATAAAGCATATCACTGAGCTTTAATGTAAAGTGTGTTTAATATAAAGCATATCACTGAGCTTTAATGTAAAGTGTGTTTAATATAAAGCATATCACTGAGCTTTAATGTAACGTGTTTAATATAAATCATATCACTGAGCTTTAACGTAACGTGTTTAATATAAAGCATATCACTGAGCTTTAATGTAACGTGTTTAATATAAATCATATCACTGAGCTTTAATGTAACGTATTTAATATAAAGCATATCACTGAGCTTTAATGTAACATGTTTAATATAAAGCATATCACTGAGCTTTAATGTAACGAGTTTAATATAAAGCATATCACTGAGCTTTAACGTAACGTGTTTAATATAAAGCATATCACTGAGCTTTAACGTAACGTGTTTAATATAAAGCATATCACTGAGCTTTAATGTAACGTGTGTTTAATATACAGCATATCACCGAGCTTTAACGTAACGTGTTTAATATAAATCATATCACTGAGCTTTAACGTAATGTGTTTAATATAAAGCATATCACTGAGCTTTAATGTAACGTGTTTAATATAAAGCATATCACTGAGCTTTAACGTAACGTGTTTAATATAAAGCATATCACTGAGCTTTAATGTAACGTGTGTTTAATATAAAGCATATCACTGAGCTTTAATGTAAAGTGTGTTTAATATAAAGCATATCACTGAGCTTTAATGTAAAGTGTGTTTAATATAAAGCATATCACTGAGCTTTAATGTAAAGTGTGTTTAATATAAAGCATATCACTGAGCTTTAATGTAACGTGTTTAATATAAATCATATCACTGAGCTTTAATGTAACGTATTTAATATAAAGCATATCACTGAGCTTTAATGTAACGTGTTTAATATAAAGCATATCACTGAGCTTTAATGTAACGTGTTTAATATAAAGCATATCACTGAGCTTTAATGTAAAGTGTGTTTAATATAAAGCATATTACTGACCTGCACATATATCTTCATGTATATTCTTTTCTGGAAGGTCCTGATAGTCATTCCCACCGGCTTTTAGACTTCTCTCCTTCTCTGCTGTTATTTCCTGATTCACAATATCACCATCTGTTCAGATGCAGAACACAAACATCATAATACATGTGGCTTTTTATGTGGAAATTCTATTCAACCACAATTGTAGGTGTAAAGTTACAGCCGATATTGCGTTGAGGGACCGGGACGTGATGACGTGAGACGCCGCACGTGCCTTAGGTGGGCGTGTCCGGAGGGAGGCTGAGGAGAGAGGACGCGGAGTCGAGAGCAAGCAATGCCGCTCCGTGCCGATTTGTGAGTGTGGTCCGGCTTAGACGAAGTGGAGGGAGTGCTCGGTCCGGTGAAGATTTTGTGGGTCGGTGGACCTGGTCTGGCGTGGTGGTATATGCCGGTTCTTGCTGGGGGTTTGTTGCCTCCGTTTTTGCCTCCGTTTTTGGGCAAATAGTGGCAAATAGTGGCGATTCCCTTATAGACCGTTAAAAAGGTCAAGGAAGAAATAAAAACAGTTCCTGTATAAATTCCTGTATAAATTATCAAGCAAAAAAACGAAAAAAAAAAAAAGAAGAAGAAAAAAGGGATACAAAGAAGGAAAGAATAAGAGAGAAATAAAGGGAAAAAGAGGAAATACATCCCTCAGTGATCTCCTAAACAGCCATATATAAAAAACTGTGAGTACTTCTGTATTTACTAAAAAATATGACTGTAAGGCATCATACCTGTATATAATTACTGGCCTGGAAAAAGAAAAGTGGAAGAAAATCTTTTTTTTTTTTTTTTTTCCTCGTTGGAGGAGATTGACATCAAGAATCAATTATTTGACCAATTGATTTAATCTAGTTTTTTGAGCTTGGAGTTGAAATTTTATATGTGACATCTAGTTTTAATTTGTCACTGAGAAGCATTTAAGAAATAAAACAAAATGTCAACCAGGAAAACAACGGAAAAAAAAAAAGAAATTAAGTCAGTTCAACAAACAGAAAAGAGGTTGTCAGGTTTTTTTGCAACTCCTATTAAAGATCCTATTAAAGATCCGCAGGAACAGATAATTGATAGTAAGACACACCCAAGTAATACTTCCAATATTATCCAAGAAGTTGCACTTAATCAATTTCCATCAGAAGCTCAAGCAATTGCTTCAATTAGTATCCAAGATCAATTTAAGCAAACGCTGGAACTACAATTAAATTTATTGAAACAAGAAATGCTTGTAAGTTTCAATGAGATAAAACAAGAAATTAAAAATGTTGCAGTATCAGTGGTGGAAGTTGAAAAAAAATGTGAAGTGTTTGGAACGCAAATTAAAGCAATTAATACGGAGGTGCAGTTTCTAGTAAATAAAGTTGATAATCTTGAAAATAAAATAGCAGCTTTGGAAGATAGGTCAAGAAAAAGAAACATCAGAGTAAGAGGTGTTTCTGAAGAAATCTCCAATGAAAAATTGAGAGAATATTTAAACAATTTATTTGAAGAAGTTTTACCAGAAATACCTACAGATGAATATAAAATAGAAAATTTTCACCGGATACATAAACCAGATACAACGGCTCCACATCTCCCAAGAGATGTAATAGTGAGTTTTTCCTCATTATCATTGAGAAATAATTTAATGAAAGCCTGCCGTACCAAACCCCGAACAAATTCTATTTACAAAGACATAATTTTTTTGCAAGACTTTTCTTATCATACCAGGACTTGGAGGAAATCTTTCTCTATCGTGACGGATTTTTTAAGAAAAGCAGAGATCAGGTTTCAATGGGCCTATCCAACATCTTTAAGATTTACTTGGAAACAAGAAAGAAAAATTTTTTTGGATGCAAATGAAGCAAATAGTTGGTTATCAAGTATTAATAAAAAAGCTTGAAGGGTCTGTTGCGGCGGAGAGGAAGATGGAAGGAAGAGAGAAGAGAGGAGAAGAGAGAGGAGGGAGAGAGGAAGGAATGAAAGAGGAAGAAAATTAACTTTTTTTTTTTTTTCACTTATATAGAATCACTTAATTGTGCTTTGCACAATTTGCTAATTTGTTGATGTTATTGGGGCTTGTTTTCACTTTAAAGCTACTAGTCAATTGAGAATTAAGTATATGCACACAAGCATTTGGAACATAAGGATTTAAAAGCAAATATGTCTAAGTATTGATATTAATTAGATTTAACTCAACGAGGTGGTTAAAAGAAAATTATTCACATGTATTAGTAAGTTAAGTAGAAACAGATTTATTTAAAGTAAAGAATCACAGAGTAATTGATCTAAGTATAAAATAATGGAAGAAATTTTATTTTTTTTTATTTTATTTTTTATTTATTTTTTTATTTTTTTGTTGTCCTCACTCATGTGGGTATATGCATGTAACCATGTGGAACATAAGGATTTAAAAGTAAATATGTCTAAGTATTAATATTAATTAGATTTGTACTTAAAGAGGTGGTTAAAAGAAAATTATTCATAGAGCGATGAAGTTAAGTATAAAATAAGCAAAGAAATGTTTTTTTTTTTTTTTTCTCTCATATAGAATTACTTAATTGTGCTTTGCACAATTTGCTAATTTGTTGATGTTAATGGGGCTTGTTTTCATTTTAAAGCTACTAGTCAATTGAGAATTAAGTATATGCACACAAGCATTTGGAACATAAGGATTTAAAAGCAAATATGTCTAAGTATTGATATTAATTAGATTTGAACTCAACGAGGTGGTTAAAAGAAAATTATTCACATGTATTAGTAAGTTAAGTGGAAATAGATTTATTTAAAGTAAAGAATCACAGAGTAACTGATTTAAGTATAAAATAATGGAAGAAAATTTTTATTTATTTATTTTTTTTTTTTTTCTCTTCTCTCTCTCTCCCTCTTGGAGAGAGATTGCAAACTTGTAAATATTACTACCTCTTTCTGGATACGCCCACTTAGTGTCTAATTTAAAGACACAGTAAAGACTGAATTTCTATATGAAAATTTACAGTCTTTGTGATAAAAAAGGAGGATTTCCTCCTATGATTTTAATATTTTGTTCTATGTGTTTGTGTAGATATGTTTATGCAGCAATAGGGAAGGGCAATGGTTATCGAGTGGAAAGGGATGCAGGGAGGTTTTTGAAAATAATATGATAAAAATGCTTACACTTAATGTTCAGGGATTGAATACTATAGCGAAAAGAAATCTATTGTACAAATACCTCAGTGAAAAACAATTGAATTTATTATTCCTACAAGAAACTCACTGGAGACAAGTGGATAAACAAAATTGGGGGGGTAAAAGATTTCCACTTATAATTCAAGCTTCCAATAAGGAAAAAAAAAAAATGTGGAGTAGCTGTGGTATTTGGAGAAAAGATTAAAGTTGAAGTAATTCATCAAATACAAGACACTAAAGGCAGGTATTTAATAATAATATGCAAAATTGACTCTGTACTTTTTACATTATGTAATATATATCTTCCTAATCATTTACCAGTTGCTTATTTAAAAACAATTCTGGAAAAAGTAGATGAAGTTAAAGTGGGAAAGTTAATAGTGGCGGGGGATTTCAATGCTGTACTAGACCCTCAGATAGATAAAAAATTAATGAAAGGAAATACTTTAAATCAGATGGTTATAAAACAAGCAAAAGCCTTAAAAAAAATTAAAGATGAATATAATCTATTCGATATTTGGAGAATTTTTAATCCTAATGAGAGAGACTATACGCATTTTTCTAAAGTGCATTTTTCCTATTCAAGATTAGACATGATTTGGGTCGACCCAAGTATTATTGATATGACCAAAAAAACAAAGATTGACGAGATAGTATGGACAGATCACGATGGAGTTTTTTGTGAAATGATTTTTAGTACATTTAAAAGAGAAGCTTATACTTGGCGGTTAAGAGATAATTTGCTTTGTTGTGAATTAAAAAAAACTTATATAAGAGATAATATAAAAAATTATTTTAAAGAAAATATCTCAGAAAATATTGATTCATCTATTTTGTGGTGTGCCTTTAAGGCCGTTATAAGAGGTCATATTATCAAGTTACAAAGCCAACTTGATAAAAATAATACTTTGGCATTTTTACATACAAAATTAAGAGATTTGACTCATATCAATAAACAATCTCCATCTTCTGAAATTTATGAAAAAATATTAGAACTTAAAGAAAAAATAAAGCAAAAATTAATGGACACGATAGCTAAAAATATGGTTAGACTAAAATTTAAATATTATTCCAAAGGCAATCGAGCTGAAAAGATGCTATCCCAAAAACTTAGAAAACAAAAAGTACAAAATAAGGTAGACAAAATAATACAGAATGGAAAAATAGCACTAACCCCCAGAGAGATTGGAAAGTGTTTTAATGAATATTATTCCAATCTATACAATATTCCTCAGATTAATAAAGATGAGGATATTAAAAACTATTTAAATAATATAAAGAAGCCTCAATTAACTTCTATTGAAAATGATTTCTTAAATAAACCTATAACTATGGAGGAGACTATGAAAGCAATAAATGATTTAGAAAGATCTAAAACACCAGGCCCGGATGGGTTTAGCAACCTATTTTATAAAACATTTAAAGATTTAATATGTCCACATTTGACCTCTGCTTTTAACATAGCGGCAAACAGAGGATTTTTACCAGCAGAGATGCTAAAAGCTAATATCTTGCCTATTCTAAAAAATGATAAAAACCCCACTGATATCAAAAACTACCGTCCGATATCTTTAATAGATGTTGACACTAAGTTATACGCTTCGGTTTTGGCTGCTAGAATAAAAAAACTTCTTCCACTAATCATCCATAAAGATCAAATAGGATATGTTCCAGGTAGAAATTCCTATACAAGTATAAGGAAAATTATTAATATCTTGGATGATGCAAATAGATATGATGTTCCAGTTCTGACTCTGTCGATTGATGCTGAAAAAGCATTCGACAGAGTCGAAGTTATTGGTGTGGTTTAAGCTATAAGCAAACTTATCCCAATAAGTGGAGCGCTCCTAATACAAGTACAGCTTACCAAATGGCATCCCATTCAATGGCGCAGTGTAAGGTACATGTTTAAAAAGATACAAAGGAATACAATATAGTGTAGACGGTATGGAAGGTGTTAATTTAGTAATAATAGTTATATCGGGTAAATTGAACACTCACATTTCTAGGAGCCTGTATGTGAGAACACTGGCTCCGTATATTAGCCGATGTGCTTATAAGGGTAGCACCGCCCGCCTCCTTCAGTGTGGGATAATTCTGGTCCTGAGCCTGTGGGTCCCGGCTCTAGGTGTGTGCGCTTGGTGTCACTTTAAGTGGGGGTGACACTACCCCTGGGAAGATTCTCCTGAGGTTTCCAAAAGAGGGACTTAAGAGGAATGTAGTAAAAAAATAATGGTTTTATTTAGATCAAAATCAATAAAAACAATAGTTAAAAAGTCCTCTTTAAAAGTCCTCTTTTAAATAGCCAAAACGCGTTTCACTGCTTCTATGGAGCTTCCTCAGTCAGCTGTAGTAGTTATCCTCTGAATCTTCCATCTTAAATGTTTCTGGGGTCCTCCCCTTTGGTGTGTTCAATCATTGTCCTCCAATCATAATAGGGGTTGTATATTCCTCATATAATGGAATTCGTATGTGTCCCTTTAATTGGCCCAGGTTTCTGGCGCCTTTTTTGGTGTTATAATCTCATTGGTGGGTGGTGGTTGGTTGGCGGAAGTACTCCGCATCCGTCCGGGTGGTTGGCGGAAGTGACGTCACGAACCCACGTGACCGTCACTTCGCTTCCGCCCGGACGTTCCCTGTCTCCCCGGTCGTGCCGCACATGATCTTTGCGTGCAGGTCGGGGAGGAGGGAATGGTGTGAGCATTTCTTCTAATACCGCCCATTAGGGCGTTTCTAAGTGCCGGTATAGAGCCCCTCCCCCTGGTACCGATCACCCGCACTGTAATCATGTCCAGTGCAGGTCCGGCCAGGGGGGGGACTAACTAAGGGTACTTTCACTGAAATAGCAAAGTGAAAAGTATGTTAATATAAATCATAAGTAAAAAACATATAAGTGTATATATACATATTATCTCATGGTGGTATATGGTGAAATATTAAAGTGCTAAGTGTAATAGAGTGATATTCTATTGATAATAATTGAATGGTATTCATAAAGAGATTAGTGTTAAACTTTGATCATTAAAAGATCAATAAGGGATTTAAATTATAGAGTGGTACTTGTTCAAAAAAAGGGAATGAAAGGGGAAATTTGGACATTAGGTGAATAGTGGGAATTTTTTATTATTATCAATAGAATATCACTCTATTACACTTAGCACTTTAATATTTCACCATATACCACCATGAGATAATATGTATATATACACTTATATGTTTTTTACTTATGATTTATATTAACATACTTTTCACTTTGCTATTTCAGTGAAAGTACCCTTAGTTAGTCCCCCCCCTGGCCGGACCTGCACTGGACATGATTACAGTGCGGGTGATCGGTACCAGGGGGAGGGGCTCTATACCGGCACTTAGAAACGCCCTAATGGGCGGTATTAGAAGAAATGCTCACACCATTCCCTCCTCCCCGACCTGCACGCAAAGATCATGTGCGGCACGACCGGGGAGACAGGGAACGTCCGGGCGGAAGCGAAGTGACGGTCACGTGGGTTCGTGACGTCACTTCCGCCAACCACCCGGACGGATGCGGAGTACTTCCGCCAACCAACCACCACCCACCAATGAGATTATAACACCAAAAAAGGCGCCAGAAACCTGGGCCAATTAAAGGGACACATACGAATTCCATTATATGAGGAATATACAACCCCTATTATGATTGGAGGACAATGATTGAACACACCAAAGGGGAGGACCCCAGAAACATTTAAGATGGAAGATTCAGAGGATAACTACTACAGCTGACTGAGGAAGCTCCATAGAAGCAGTGAAACGCGTTTTGGCTATTTAAAAGAGGACTTTTAAAGAGGACTTTTTAACTATTGTTTTTATTGATTTTGATCTAAATAAAACCATTATTTTTTTACTACATTCCTCTTAAGTCCCTCTTTTGGAAACCTCAGGAGAATCTTCCCAGGGGTAGTGTCACCCCCACTTAAAGTGACACCAAGCGCACACACCTAGAGCCGGGACCCACAGGCTCAGGACCAGAATTATCCCACACTGAAGGAGGCGGGCGGTGCTACCCTTATAAGCACATCGGCTAATATACGGAGCCAGTGTTCTCACATACAGGCTCCTAGAAATGTGAGTGTTCAATTTACCCGATATAACTATTATTACTAAATTAACACCTTCCATACCGTCTACACTATATTGTATTCCTTTGTATCTTTTTAAACATGTACCTTACACTGCGCCATTGAATGGGATGCCATTTGGTAAGCTGTACTTGTGTTAGGAGCGCTCCACTTATTGGGATAAGTTTGTTTATAGCTTAAACCACACCAATAACTTCAACTGTATTTTGTGAAATAGAGGATATTTTCACATAAGTGTATTGAGCAGCCTACAAATCACTTCACTTGTTTTAAAGCACTGTACTATACACACTCCTCTGTAAAAGGAGGTAACCTTTGACTGGTATTCATTCGACAGAGTCAGCTGGAAATATTTAGAAGCCGTTTTACAACATTATGGATTGGAAGGTTGGATTAAGAAAGCTATAATGGCACTATATGTAAATCCTGTTGCACGAACTATTGGACCTAATATAGTCGCCCCATGGTTCCAACTTAGAAATGGTACCCGACAGGGTTGTCCCCTCTCACCATTGCTCTACTTGCTGACTATCGAGCCATTGGCTGAGAATATTAGGAATAATAAAGAGATCCATGGTTATAAAATAATGGATGAGGATCAAAAAATTAGCTTATATGCTGATGACATTTTAATTACTCTTACAAACCCTAAAAATTCTTTGGAACGCATAATGCAAGAAATAGAGCGATATAGCTTCATATCAAACTATAAGTTAAATATAAATAAATCCTTGATATTAGATGTTAACCTAAATAAAAGGATACAACGAGAGATTAAAAACAAATATGATTTTATTTGGGTTAAAGAAAGTATGGATTACTTAGGAATTAAAATAACCAGAGAGACAAATAAGATTATGGAAGTAAATTTCCTAACATTATTATTAGATCTCAATAAATGGTTAAAAGATCGCAGAAACCTAGAGATTACTTTTTTGGGGCGAATAAACGTTATTAATTCATATGTTATACCAAAGTGGAATTATATGTTTCAAATGTTACCTCTCCATATCCCAATCCATTGGCTTCAATTAATACAAAGAAGTTTTACTCAATACATCTGGAAAGGCAAGAAGCCGAGATTGAAACAGTCAATATTAGCGCAGAAAATATATAAAGGTGGACTTGATTATCCACTCATAATGAATAACTTTAAAGCAGCTATTACCCTACATGTTTATAGAATGCAAATGAAAGAAAATAAAGATGAGGGATGGTATAAAATGGAATTGAAGGCAGGAGAAGTTTCTAGCTTAGATTGTTTAATCTGGAATATAAATAAAATGCCAAAGAAAAAAGAATATGCCAGTATTATTCTAACTCAATTATTGGAAAATTGGTTAAAAATTAAAAAAGTAATGAATATAGAAAAAAAAGTTCCAAGTTATTTAGAGTTAGACATTGTAGAAAAACAAGTGGAAGACTTAAACTTAAATAATTGGAAAAAAGTAGGGATAACGACTCTGGACCAATTATTGACAGAAGGATTAATTAAAACCTTTGCTCAAATAACAGAGATACACAATCTCCCTCCTAGAGAGGTGTTTAATTTTTTAAGACTTAAAAGCTATATTAATACACATCTAATAATACCAAAATCTAATTTAAGCAATTCGATAGATTTATTATTTACATCAAAAAAAGTTAATAAACCACTTTCTAAAGCTCTAATACTAATTAAATCAATAGCTGAAGACACAAATCCTACTGCCATACAGGCTTGGAAACAAGACTTGAATATCGATATAAATCTGAATCAATGGGGTTCTTCAATGATGGATGTTAAGAAGAATATACATTCATTAAATTTATTAGAAACGCACTTTAAAGTTTTAAATAGGTGGTACTTAGTACCAGCTAAATTGAATAAAATTTACCCTCTAGTAAATCCTATCTGTTGGAGATGCAATAGTATTAGAGGCAATTTTAGACATATTTGGTGGGATTGCTATAAATTAAAAAATCTCTGGTTGAAAATGCAGCATTTTATATCTAACAATTTAAAACTCGAGTTGATTATCTCTCCAGAGGTAGTTCTACTTCATCTAAATTGGCCTCATATGACATATGAATTAAAAGCAATCCTTATACATCTGTTTTTAGCGGCTAAAATAGTAATTGCGAGATGGTGGAAAAGGGATTTAGAAGTCCCCTGGAAGAAAGTTAAAACTCAACTCGAGTTTCAGATTAGAATGGAGCTGATGCTAAGTAAACAAAGACTAAGCAATAAGATTTCTGTTTGGTTAAAGTGTATTGAGATGATTGATGTATAAAATAGTGTCGTTCAATTAACAGTAGAACAATTCCATGAACACTGTAAATAATTATGAGATTTATCTAAATGATATTACCACTCTATTATGGAAGTCTTTCTGATGTATTTTTCTTCTCCCTCCCCTATTTTGCTGCTGTGTTGTTTGTTTGTATTACAAATGTATATTTGTATGATATTTGTATTTGTATGATATATGTATTTAATGAGATTTAAAAGAAAAAAAATTTAAAATAAAGATTAAATATTCAAAAAAAAAAAGTTACAGCCGATATCTATAGATCTCCTTGTAATTGTACTAATGTAGCACATAGGCAATCGTCTCCATCTTCAATATTGCTCCATACACAGGTTTGGTGTTGGAGATCCATTCTCCCTGAAAGCATTTAAGATCTGATTAACCACAAATGCCTGGTTACCCAATGAACAGAGGGCCTGTTGTTTGTCCATCATGAGGTTTTGGTATGGATCCTTGTGCTCCTCAAAGTAGTCTATGTCTCCCATGGAGAAGCCAAATGTCACTTTTTTACACCTTGAAAGAACCTGGAAAATAGAATCCCACATTCGATCAATCCCTCTTTTTATTAAAATGATTTTTTGGTATTGTTAACATTAAGTAGTTGGAAAGAAAGAAAGACATTCTGCAAAGAACACAGTACGTAAAGGGACAATCTAAGCACCATGATCACCTTACCCATTTCGGTGCATGCAGAACTACCGTCTGACTCCCTTAATCCATTTTAACTATTTAAATTAAAAATGACATCAGTTATATAGGTCACAAGATCTTGTATCACCCACTTTACAAGTACCAAGTCATTAAACGGTCTAATTTATTTTAATAATGTTACAACTTGTTAAACCTAGCTACATCAGTGTGCTTGTGCTGTGTCTAATATTTTGTGTTTGAACTCCTAGGTCACATGGTCTGGTAGCTATTTTTATTTTGTGACTAATTTTGCACAACATTCAAAAATTGAAAACATTTGTCAGAACAAAGTAATATCTGGGACATGTCTCCACAGCTAGATCCTATGCTACAAAAGCAAGTCAATGTCAAAATAAAGATGGCCTCCGGGAGGCAGTTATTCACAAAGCTTAGATGCCTGCTAGCCATTTGAATGTACATTTCTGTGTTTCATTCTTTGTTCTAAGTTAGGGGTTCACAACCTCCAGCCTGGTCAAACCTGACCCACAAATACATTACCACCGACCCACAGCCCTCAGAGTACAAAATTACACATAGCACCAACTGGGCATGCTGCCTGCTGTAACAAGAAATGGCATCACCACCGTCAACCAATGTCGGCCCTTGTTAAGTGAGACCTAGCGACAGGTGTCTTCATCAACTTTACAACTTGGCACTGAGTGTGAAGAATGAGAGGTGGGCACTGCAGATGACCAGACTTCCCATTCTCTCTCCTCATAAGCAGAGCCCTCTGTGGATGAGGAGGTGAACATCACCCTTGAGAGGGGATTAATACCAGGTGGAAATGGAGGGACTGAAGTCACATGGGGGAGTGTGAAAAGGAGCATAAGCATGGAAAGGGAGTAATGGGGATAGAAAGAGGCAGAAGGCAAGGGAAGTGGAGAGATGGGGACAGATACAAGGGAGGGAGTGGCAGGTGAAGCAGCGGCAAAATTGGGGAGGATGAGAAGATATGAAAATCTTCAAGGAATTCTACAGATTTCATCCAGCAGCCTGTAACCAGACCTCAGAAAGATCACTTCCAAGATTCAAGCACAACCACCTCATTGACATCATATGACAGTGGCCCCCAGTAAGAATTTTAAAAAGTTCTAATTTTACCTCCAATACATTTGAATTGAACTTTTAGTGTTACAAATTATATGCAGTAGTCATAGCAACTTAAACAAGGAGACTCCTGTAGTGTTGCAGTGAAGAAGTAGAACAACGTGGTCCAAAAATATATAAATTCACTTTATTTAGAAAATATCAAAATATATGAAGCCAGAAAACAGCAGTTCAGTGTGACAAGATCTCTACCACCTCACACGTTTTATGTGGTCAATCCTCACTTAATCAAAGAGTCCTAATTACTGTTGACCCCAGCCTGGCTCATGAACAGTGTTTGTAAGTCCAGCGGAAAGGACTAAATGGCGACATGCCTTCTCCAAATATCCAGTGCAATATAAGTGCTCACTAATATATTTTCAGTAGTCATCGCAACAGTAAGATACATTCACTGTCTTCTGTGCACATCGACAGATTCTATTACATGTGTGCAGCATAGTGTATCCGAGAAAGGATTACAGCATCCTATCCCCAACAAGCTCACCTCTCCAGTCAGCAGATGGATAACCGTGTTGGCCAGTTCCAAGACCTTCTCATCACTGTTCCTCTCCTGTGAGTAATTTGGGTGATCTGTGAAAGGGTTCTGGGACCTGCAGAATCTGTCTGATACACGGGAGCTTCTATCATTTCCCATACGGTCTCCCTGGTTCTTTACAACCACGTAATCCTGTGTAATGAGACCCCAGTAAAAATCTCTGTGTCATAGTCAGACTGAAAATGGATAATGAAGGCTTTTGAAAATAACAATCCATCCTGTTGCATAATCTGTAAAGTATTACTCTGTCCTCTATGACCACTGCTGCTGAAGTGGTCATGGAGAAAGCAATCTGTGTATGCAGCGTTTCTGCCTGAAACGTAGCCTATATACATAGATAAATTTGTAAATTTGTGCCTGGGTTTAGCTACACCCCCAGCACACGTTACCAAGGAAACCGGGAACTGTTCCAGATTGCCAAATGTTAGTTCTGTGCAAAAATGACATATGTTGTCAGAACGCACTGCGTGCTGCTGATATTCGTAATCAGCTTCTTTCTTGCAGGAAGCACAGTAGAACTCTGTATGTCTACAGGAAAAGGTATCCCCTTCCTTATGCAAGTTCTCCCAGCCCACCCAATTTGCACTTTTTATTTTTTGTACTCTCCCCTTGTCCATGCCAATTTGCTCCCTCACTCAATCCCTCCCTGAATCCTCCCTTTGAGAGCAGTCACCATGGAAACCAATGGATTTTACCTGCTGGTGTATTCATCAATATTAATATTATGGCAAGTAATTCTGACAGTCTCTGTACCACAAGGACTGGAGATCCCCCTACCATTACGTGGCGCAAATCTGATCTTTTTTCACAGGCTTTTGCTTATTTCTGAATGTAAATGAAGGTTGTGGGTTGAATGTCACATGACCCACTGTCACTCACCTCTCCAGTTAGCAGGTAGATGACCTCCAAAGTGAGGTTTAAGATCCTCTCAGTCATCTGATCCACTCCTTTACTCATCATTAGGGAGCTATGGAGATTTCTGCCAAGAGAAGATGTGTTTATAATAAATATTATAAAAGAGAGGGATTGAAAGGAGTTGATATACACAAAAAAAAAAAAAATAGATGCAAAGAAAAAAATGACATTTCACTCTTTGGTCAATAAATATACATTCAATCTATGGGGTGAAGAATAGTCTGGACACACTAAGGATTTTGTGTCTGTAACAATGCAATAAGATTTGCTGGGAGGAGGATCCCTGTGTAGGTAACCATGTAGTGATACGTATTTCAATGTTCTATTCATTTTCAAGAAAAAAAATGTATAAAATAAGTATACAAGATACCCCAAGATATCAGGGTTGCCAGGGAGACACACGGGTCTCTTATTAATTACATTTGTTCAGACCACGCAGGGTCTAAATATAAAATGAATCATACAAAATGCAAAAATCATTTACATATTTCAAAATAAACTCAACAGTCTCTACTCCCAAGCAGAGACTCTCTGGTACCCCAGACGCCAAGAGTCCCCCTCCCCCCCCCATTGCTCATATCTATCTATGGTATCAAGGAAAGGAAGAAAATAAAAAATAACAAAACACTGAGTGAAGCCCCAAGTGCCTGGGGAGCCGCCGACCACGCATCCCCCTCTCTCCCAAAAAACAAGACCACTAAGTGTAAATGTAATCTATACCTTTGCACTATGGAGTATAATTAAAGCTAACACTTCCTTCTTAAATAAGTGGAGTCTGTTTATCATGGAGTCCTTTCTTATAATCTTCATCTGCCTTACTTTTATTTTCGATAATATCGTAAAACAACATCCTCCTTAACATACAGTCTCTCATCAAACTAGGACATATATCTACGCTTGGTTGTAGATCATGAACTATAGTTCCCAACCCCGCTCCCGCATATCAATTCTACTGTCACATCCACTCATTACCCACGGGTCCCATGTAGTAAAGAGGGACAGTTATACTGCAGTGGTTTTTCTAAACATGCCGTATGAAGGACAGATATGCCAGAATGAGATTCATTGTGCCTATAACCGTACTGCATGGGATTGACGGTGTATGTAACAGCGAGGTATTATAGACAGACTCCATCTGGTAGGGGTGTTATTACACATGGTGCAGTATAAATGCAGGCATAGAATCAACTCACTTTCTTTACCTGAAACCTTACTCCCTAGAGTGACTGTCAGTAGTTACATTATTATACTATTCAGATACTCTGTGATTTCTTACTACCGGTAGCTGACATATGTCAGCATGCAGAATAAAAACTGTTTCTATGTATTGATACCTCTACCTCGTGCCCACAGTGTTTGTTTGGGATATCTGATGGAGCATAGCAAGGGTGCTTGTGAAACCATGAGCTGATCTCTTGGCCACAAAAAGGACGGAGGGTCTGGGATAGACAGAATTTTGAAAGAATTCCTTGGTCTATTGGTCGTGGCAAGAATGGGGTATCTAGAATGGACTAACCATTAAATAATTTACATGTCTATTTGACACGGCACAAATGGAAAGGCTATTGCAGATTGGCCAATAAACTGAGTTCCTGAATAGAATGGCCATTTAATGATGAGCTGGTGTCTGGGATAGACTGTCCATAAAATGATGAGCCAGTCTTTTAGATATATACACTTACATAATAAACTGTTATTGGCATGGATGAAGCATCTAGAACAGATGTATCAATAATTATGAGCAGTTCTGTTGGATGTAGCAAAGAAGGA